AACGTTTGTGCATGCAGGTCGTGTTTGTAACCCGAAACCCAAAAGACGTAGCAGTGTCGATGTGGCATTTTGTTGTGCCATTCCAGTTTGACAAGCGACATAAAGACTGGGACTTCTACTTCCAACCGTACCTGGAAGGAGAGAGTAAGTTTAAAATGGGATCATTCGTAATTTGTAAAACTGAGTTGGAATTTCGGGAAAAAAAGAACACAATTATTCGAATCTCCCTTATACCAAAGAAGATATTTGTCTATCTTTTACTTATTTTGAGTAAAACGTTGACATCGCAATAGTTATGTGCGGTGATCTTACCGCAGTAAAATTGGCTCTTAGCGTCTTTAAAAATGGCGTATACGTGCTTTTTGGGTGTGGCACCTTTAAAAATAGACTCTAAAATTGAACTGATAATTTTCTAGCATTTAATGCATTAGTTATAATCTTTCCAATGAGACATCGCACGACAAGTAATCAATTAATTAATTTCAACTTTTGAATGAAGAGCGGGAGCGGAACTGGAGTGCACCATTTAAATCCAATTTTGTAAACTGTATAAAGGCCTGAAAAAACAAACAAAGACAGTATAGTCCTTTAAATTTCGTTCGGGAAAAGAAATCGAAATTTTGAAAAGCAAGTATATACAAACTTAAAACTTTGTTCTTCTTCCTTATCCTTTTTTTTCTCCAGCTGTATATGGATCTTGGTTTGACTACACCCTGAATTTCTGGAACAAACATCGCCACGACAAGAACTTCCTCTTCATAACGTTCGAGGATATGAAAAAGGTTGTTGTCATAGGCCTAACTAGAAAGCTTTCCTTGGGAACCATGCAGTGGCGTAGCCAGGATTGTGTTTCAGTGGGAGCCCGGGGGAGGCACCACCATATTATGAGGGAGCACCAAGGGCGGACCCAACAACAACATTTCCCCCAAATGTTTAGGCAACCGCAAGTGCTTCAAATTCGAAAAGCGGGGGGGGGGGGGGGGGGGGGGGGGGAGGCTGCAAGTGTACGGTTAAGGGAAGTCAAAAATAATCATCTGGCAATTTTTCTCAGACTATAAGTTTAATATTAGATTCGGTGAATTTGAATAAAAACGGCAAAATAGCCGGGAAAACCTATATTTCCAACTTTGTGTGTTACATATTTGTGTTACATATTTTAACGTTCACTTTGAATAATTACGTCCGCTAGTCCTCAAAAACAATCCTACTTTATGTTCTTTTTATGATCGTCGCAATTTCTTGAATCTAAAACCAAAATTCTTGTTCGTTTGTTGTCAAGGACATCAGGGGATCCGTCATCCGTATTGCTGACTTCCTCGGGAAACCTCTCTCGGAGGAAGTCATCAATCGTGTGATTTAGTTCAGCAGCATGAAGAGTATGAAGACTCGATTTGACTCTGCCGATAACCCACAACTGATGACAGACTCCAATCAGAAAAGAGAGGATTTCAAGCACGGGGCTCCGTCCATACTCAGAAAAGGTAAAGCCGTGAACTGTGTATATGCATGAATCTATAATTCCGAAATGAAAACACAAGTCCGAGAAATTCCAACAATGTAGCTATTATTGGGAGAATTTTGAGGCGTTGGTGGCAGCCAACACACCGATTCCCTTTCCATTGTTTGACTTATATTGAGCATGCGCGCTTTAGTTTAAATATGACGTAAACAATTGAAAAGGACCGATGTGTTTGCTGCCACCAACGTCTCAAAAGTCTCCCATTGGATGGTCAGAGATGGTCCAACTTCATATCTTAGGAGGACAGCCATCAAAATGTGCTTTCTCAGTTCGCCCTCTGTAGAAAAACATATCCTCCTTATTGATGAGTCTGTCATCCTTTTTTTGAGATGGCGTCCACAAAAGGAGAGCACTTTTTTTGAAATCTGTTTTTCCCCGTCTTTCCACAGGAGTGACTGGTGATTGGAAGAATAAGCTGACTGTGGCTCAGAACGAGGCTTTGGATGCACTTTATCAACAGAGAATGGCAGGATCGGACATAAAAATACAGTTTGAATAAAGAATAAAGCTACTGTCCTATCTATATACCAAGGTTCAATTGGTATGCCAAGCAGACGGGACGAAGACAAGTTCACTTTTGTTTTAGAGTGTTTTCCTACTTTTCCAAGAACGATCTTGCATGGCTGAAAACATAATGGAGTTCTATTTCTGTGTTTATTGGACCAGTTCTTCTAGCTCAAGTAAAACCTTGAAAGAATTCCAGGTCAAGAAAATTGCATTCAATCTTGCTAAATTATTATACTACATAAAACCACCAAATACAGAGTAAGTCAATGTACATAAATAATGTATTACAAGACTACATTGAAATAAGAGATCTCACGAGCTAAAGGGCAACAATGAATCAGAATTAGGTATATATCAGGTGTTACAGTAGCAATATGATCACAGAGGGTACAAAAAATATAGAACAAATCCTTCATGCATGCCTAAGTATAGTTAGCAAAAGAAAACATGCGGTAGTAATCTCTTAGAACAATTTCAAATTAGCATTAAATAAACCGAGAACCTCACTGTTTTCTATGGCATGGAGAAGATTTTTTTTAAAAGTGCTAAATTAGGCCCTAAAAATAATTCTGCTTCCGGTTACATTACCTATACCCTATTTTTGAAAGCCCCCGCCCTATTTTTTGATTGGGAAAAATGAGAATAACCCCCCCCCAAAAAAAACCCCATCAATTACTGCCATTTACACTTGACTATATGCAGACACCTAGATAATTGTGATCTAGGCCTACACAAAAAAATTCCCCCAAATAATCCTTACCTTCCTACCCTATTTTGAAATGCCATGTTTCAGAAGCAGAACTATATGTTTTGGACTTATATACATTAGCTAATTAACACGGATGAGAGCCTCGGGTTGGATTATATAAATAATGAAATTCCTAAATTTTATATATCTGTAATTGATGGTAAATAAATTGAAATTATAAAAATACAACATAACTTTGTAATATTGGTAAATTAAACATAAGAACTATCATTTGTAGAAGAAAAAAAATGTTATAATTTCCCGCGCAAGTGAGTAATACACAGATCTACATCTCAATCTGCCCTGTTACGCCTGATGAGGTCTCACAGGGTGTGTCAAGAGTAGAGGGTTGTATCATGGATGTGCAAGACTGGATGTCATCAAACTTCCTCAAACTCAACGCCGACAAGACAGAGGTATTAATAGTGATTGGTTTCAGGGCTCAACTTGCCAAGTTCAACCTGTCATCTCTGAAAGTTGCTGGAATTGACGTCCCTGTCCAAGCTAATCCAGTCAGGAATCTTGGGGTCATGTTTGACTCTGGGATGACTATGTTTGGGATGACAGCTGTAGCTGTCAACGCCCGTATAAGTGAAGCGACTTCGCGCGGCAGCTTGTGCCGACATGACAGAATGTACTATTTTTTGACATGGGTTGCAGAACCTGACTTTAGCTTCGCGGAGTTTTGAGCAGTGGTGTTTATTATTTATATACTCCACTGTGTTCTTATTCCCTCTTCCTTTCCCATTCCTTCTCTATTTTACGGAATACTGGTGCCTAGGGCCTACGAAACACTTAATCCGGGCCTGGACTTTTGATCGCCTTTTCCTTCTGCATTGCGCTGCAAACCGATAACCGATTTTTCCAAAGCCGAGTAACGAGTACTTTAGGGGCCGAGTCCTGGGCCGAGACCAAGTACACTCTGAAGAGTCCGATATACAGCAACAAGACCGAGTACATTCAAGGCCGAGTACCGGGTCGAGTCCGAGTACTAAGTCCGAGTTCGCGTCCGAGTCCGAGTACAATACAAAAAGGACAAAAAAAATAAATGAATAAATGAATAAGCGAGTGAATAAATTAAGGAAAAAGAACAAAATTAACTTAAGTTATATAAAACAATTAAACCCAATTGCAATTCAATTCTTTTTAACAAAATGGTTAACACCAACAATTTTATTAAGGCTGACACCAACAAAATTGGGCGAAAGGAACGACACGGACTTCAATGGTTCAACCACACACACAGCATAATATTAGGGGGAAAAATATGTACAGTAAGCAGTACATATACACATGACACGCACGTGAAAAGGCAAGGCATTCCGATCACATAAAATATTGTTTGTGTAAAATTCCCAAGATATCCCTATATAGGTATACGGACAATTAATGCGCTTTTTGTAGCACTGAGGATTCATGAATCAAATTCGAGTACAAAGAACGAGAACGGGCCGGGTCGAAATAATTTTCGAGCACTGATAGTCGAGTACGGGCCGAGTACTTGAGTGTACTCGAGTTGTACTCGAGTACGAGTACATGTACTCCAACACTGCCAGCCATACACTTTATTTGGCCCAAAACGGTGAAAATGTGAATGAAATTATGCAATTATTGACAATTAATTGATCCCGAAAAAATGCACTTTTGTAAACGTGTAAGTTGAGTGTGAACCACAAGTTGTACATGTACAAACGTGCAACTTGTTTCGGTATCATTTGTATTATTTTCAGTGTATTATCAACAAGCATGCTTCAGCACATATCTACTCGTACTAACGACATCACGTCGTACTGACGTGTATTATTAACAAGCATGCGTCAGCATTCTGCACAAGCACTGCAGTCGAACACTGTACGGACCCCGAGCCATTGGCATAGGTCAAATCCAATGTCATCCAGTGTTTACTAGACACAAATAAACTTGACGGTGGCCTTTGCCTCTGTAGTATCGGCCCAAGCCTGGTTTGATATGTTATCAACGCGCACTGCATTCAAGCTGATGCACGCGTATGAGGTATGCTCGGGATTTTCTGGGTAGCGCTGCCGAGGTTCCCAAGACAGGATTTGATTCATCTTGATGATAGCGCCCTCAAATATCGCAGCGGCTTTAAAACACTTGTTAGGGCTCGGCTGTATTAGAGGAATAACAACCAAAGTCAGTCTTGGCCAAAGACTAATACTTCCGTCGTATCGTTGAGCAAAGTGCAAGGTGCTTTTCAGTGTTCAATAAAGGCCTTGAAGAACGGGGCTCAAATATAAATCTGTGCACTGAGATATGTCAGATTAATCCCACTGATTGCAGGGAAAACAAAATGGCGGAACATTACCAGAATGGTATCGTAGACGCCCCGCCTCAGCGACAAGGCACGAGACAGATGGAAGGCCTGAACTGGCCCACTATGGTCACACAGGAATGTCTGGATGCACTGAAAACCTACGATGTCTGGGAGGATGATGTGTGGGTGACCACGTACCCCAAATCAGGTAGGCTGAGGACAAACACAGGAGAGGATTTTTACGGACATAGTACCATGCTGGATTTTGCTGACGACTCATTTAATATACATATATTAATAGTATTTGATGTTGAGCTTGGCATTTTTTTTTCAATTACAAAATCATTCATATAAATTTACTGCGTTCTGTAAAACTGATCACCCCGGCCTGAGAACTACCACCGGTGTCGTACACAATATCTGACGCATGCTGCCCGAGTCTACTTTTTGAGCTGGTAATGGGGCAATGACTTCTTTTTTGTTGTCAAATGGGGAAAGTCATTGGCCATAATAAGCATGAGTAAAGTATGACAGCTGATTCAAATACATTGGGTGATTTGTGAAACTTTTTAGAAGGTTTTCACTCCAAAGAGAGATCGAATTGGCGGCGTGACCGCTAGTGGTTTAATTAGTCGTGTTTTTTTTAATGACTGCCTAGGTTCGAGTCCTATCGAACATATTTATTCCAAAATATCATTTTATTCTTTTTATCGTGTTTACTCAGAACAATCAGAACAAATGTACTTTTCTTCTGATTCAGGGCTTTAGATGATTATTTTTTGAAGGAGAAATAAAGCCGATCCGACAACAGTTATGCGTTACAACCACCTCATGAGCATTATGTTCCGTGAATGAACTTGGTTGCTGAAAAAAAACACCCCAACAAAACAAACAAACAAACAAACAAACAATCAAAACAAAAACAAGACAGCCAACTGGAACACGTGACGTATTCAGCGCCCCTACCTGTCAGTGTGAACAGAATATTAGGGAGGCATTTCCACCTAATGTTAAGGTCATGTACCAAGACTGACTCAGATTGCTTGACACGGATCTCTTTGACAGGTTCCCATTGGGTAATGGAGATAGTTAACCTGATTCTAGCCGACGGCAACGAGCAGACAATCGACCGAAGTCAGCAATCAGTGCCAGCCGAGTTTGATTTCACGGAGGCCAATTTGGGTTCAGGCCCGGGACCGAGACCTAAACCTGTCCCGCAATACAAGGAGATGTTAACATGGAAGGCACCACGTGTCATTATGACGCACGTTACGGAGGAACTGATGCCGGCCCAAATCTACCAGGGCAAAGGAAAGGTATAATAGGCTAAGGGCTTTAATATCAAGCACAAGGGGGAGCTCTTTCACCCTTTATTGTTTTCGTTTTGTCTTTCTCCTTAATCAATCAATTAGAACTATTCACAATGAAGAAAAGCTGTCGGGGGCGCAGTGTTTGTCTTGACCAGCAGCGCATCGTGGGAACGAATTTACGTCCATTTTAGACATTGAAAAACTTGAATGATTTTGAGCCTTTAGAGTTCTTGCTTAGTATTTATGACATCCGAAATTTACGTTCCAACTTGATGTGTGGTACCACCAATACACGAAGATTAACGGCAGTTTGTGCCTCTTTATCGCAAACACAAGCTGGCTCATTCCAATCACTTGAGTCAAGAAATCAAGGTTGAAGATCATTCCAATTAGGATGATAATAATATTTACATAGTTGCTAAAACAACTCTTCTCTTAATGAACTCTGCGTATTCTCTGTGAACAACTTCAGTTTTCATAGTTTTGTTAAATTTCTCGCTGGTTGTAGGTTATTTTCGTCATCAGAAACCCTAAGGACGCTATAGTGTCCAAATGGCACTTTTCGAGAGCGAAGGGCTTCGGACCCCGATACGAAGACTGGGATACTTTTCTCCAAGAATATCTGTCGGGAGCCGGTATGTTTTTTCTTTAATTTTTATTTATTGGGGAGATGGGGGATGACTTCTTCGGATTGAATCGGCATGGCTACCGTGTGAATAGATCCTTTTCACAGCCAATTCACTATGTTATACCTAGCTAGCTAGTTCCCTAATTGATAACCAGAATATGTATTATGCACTTTCCGAAACAGGTGGTTTTTTTTAGAGTACACAAACTCTGCATGACTATTCAATGTGAATTAATTTTCCAGTTCTTTGATAGCCTTCATCTGAATCACTCTTTGATTTTATTGTTTGTAAGTGTGTTTATGATTTGTGATAGGCCAATGTTATTATTTTCATCTAGGTACATATGGCACGTGGTTTTCCTACGTGTCTGGCTTTTGGAAGAAACATCGGCACGACAAAAACTTTCTCTTTCTGATGTACGAGGATATGAAAAAGGTTGGTGCAAAATAATGTTGACCCAATGTTAAATAATATACATGTGCTCTGTTTCTAGAGTGAACTTTGTACACAATTACATGTATTGGTGTACCTGTTAAACGAAATTGGTAAACCTGTTGCCTTGAAACTAGTCCAACAATTCTGTACTGATTTGGGGATCAAAAACAACACTGTTGACACTAATTGCACACGTCATATTAAAACAAAATTACTTAGACAGTAGCGGAATGTTATTCCTTGTTTTCGACATTTTTGACTGGCGTGAAAGTTCGGAAGAGAGGTAGGGTCTGGACATTATTCGACGCAAGAGGGTGATGACACTAGTGATACAAAATGCAAGCATTAAAGTTCATGAAGAAAATAATTCGCATTTTAGGCCCCCTCCCATGAATTTCAACTATTCGATTTACAAACATTATATGGTTAATATTAGTTGGGCACCTTTCATTTTCCCCAAGGATCTCAAAGGGGCCGTCGTTCAAATCGCCGATTTCCTAGGGAAGCCTCTCTCGGAGGACACCCTCAACAGGGTCGTTGACTTCAGCAGCGTGAAGAGCATGAAACAGCGTTTCCATGTCAACACCGCCCCAGCAGCAAAGTCAGGAGTGCCAAACGCTGACGCAAGGGCGCCCCCTCCCGGTCCTAGTGAAACACTCGTGCCCGCCGCACGCGCAAGCGAAAAGATCGGAGCTCCAGCAACGATGAGGAAAGGTACATTTGACCTGCATCAGAATGTGAGAGTTTGAAGTCAAGCTGAAGCTACATCTCGTGCATTATAAAAGCTTGTCTAACTATTACTCCATCGTGATTAATTTTTGGCTCCATTCTTTCAGGAATCGTTGGCGACTGGAAGTCGATGTTCACCGTCGCCCAAAACGAGGCTTTCGACGAAGTCTTCCGAAAGGAAATGAAGGGATCGGGTTTGAAGATACAGTTCGAGTGAATGTTTTTCCTCGATCTCGATTTGAATGAGCGCAACACTTCTGAAATGGCACTCAAGGCACTGCTCGTGAACTTTGAGAATAGCTTACAAAGGGTAGTTTTGCACGTTTTTTTTATTATCATGAACGATGTTTTGCGTTTAGGGCGTATAATAGCGATACGATCTGATACATGGTATCCTGTGAAGACATGTGTATAATAGGGAACGAAAGATGGTATACGTCTCCACATGGCAATTTCGTCTCCACAAGGTTATCACGAAATAGATATATGGATTTTACTCAAAAACTAGGAATTTCCAAGGTGAGTTGATGCGTCGCAGATTGAAGTATTTTATGTAAGTGATATTAAGTCCGAATTTCACCCAAGGTAATTCATTCTGGTTATCAAAAAAGGAGCATTTTGAAACTAGATATTGAAACTCAAACTTGTAGTACACGAGAACAAAGAAATGTCTCCACGCAGGCCCGGATTAAATGTTTCGTAGGCCCTAGGCACTAGTGTTCCGAATAATGGAGAAGGAAGGGGAAAAGGAAGAGGGAAAAAGAACAAACTGGAGAATGTAAATAATAAACACCGCTGCCCAAAACTCCGCGAAGCTAAAATCAGGTTCTGCAACCCATGGCAAAAGATCGTACATTCTGTCATATCGGCACAAGCTGCCGCGCGAAGTTGCCTCATGTACGGGCGTTGACAGCAACAGCTGTGCAAAACACAAGCACGTGCTCCGTCGCTCGCAGGCAGTTACGAATTGAGCTGATTCTTATTAGTGACGACTCAAAATAACGAGGCCATATTTTGATAGAGAGTCAAGCTACAATTTTGATATTTGCGCCACAGAGCATCTGCAATCCAAACATTTCCCGTGGCTCTTAAGCGTCCCCGGACCCCACGCCTTCAGGGCTTCGCACTCGCATATAAAGAATTCCACTATATAGGATTTAAAGACCCCCCCCTGCAGTCTGGGATTAGGGAACATGCCTGAACAAGGAATGCGCAAGGTACTGAGCATGTACATGCAGTTTTACGACAATGAAATAAAAACATTATAGCTGGATTGAATTTTGTATTCTCGAGCAATTTAAACATTAATTTCGAACGATTACAGTACAAGCTCTCAATAACAAATTAATCATTCTTGCAATTGTCCTCCAATAGAAAAGAAAGAAAATAAAACAAAAAGTTATGTGGCGATGGCCAAGTCTTCAGGAGTCGGACTTATGACCCTAACTCAATGAGCCCCTTACCGACTTCCAATATAGAACTCTTCCGGGACTCGGTACCCGGCCCACCACACCTCCTTCCCTGTCCATCCATGTAACTCGAAAGTCAGGCACCATAAAGGGAGGAAACGAGGTGGCACCCTAAGCCTTGCTGCCGAGTCAGCAAAAGAACCCCGTACCTATACGCAGATGCCAACCTGGACTTCGCAGACAGTCCCAACTTGTGAGTCAGCTTACCGACCGACCGAGCTAACTGCTGTTGGTAAATGACGACGAGAAATTAATACTCTTAAATGACAGAACCGCGGGCATCGAAAACTAAAAAATGACACCAAGCGGGTTCGAACCCCTAACTCTGGGTCCGCTGTCAGACAGCTTAACAACTAGGCTGTTTCAGTAGGTGCTTTTCTTTTCGTTTAAAACATAATCTTATTTCCGCAGTGGGAGAGTTACTTTGTGTTTCATAGCTGCACGAAAGATGCATCAGCATCGCGCTATACACATGAACGCTGTTACGTAACTCTTTTCTACAATCATTCTTATGTACCGAGCAGTTGACTATTCAGAGTCACTACGAGCTATCAACCTTACCAAGCTCGTCCTTATTCTGTCTCATCAATTGTTTCGCGTCGCGCGTCTTTCGGCCGGTGTAGCATGAATTTAGGTTTTATGAAATACGGACTCTTTGGTGGTTTTGCTCATGCTCATGCATAGATAATTAGGAGAGGGACCGGTCACGTGAGAGGGTTTAACCAATACAAGGGAAAAAGAGTCCGAATTTCATATTTATCAATTTTAAATTTTTGTTGTTGTTTTGTTACTTGTTGGTGTCCCTGACAGACTGTACGATGGTGTAGCCGTGCGTTATGCACGAGGATTGTTTACTTTCGTTTTGAAGGGGACTTTACTGAATAGAGTCTGGTGACTGTACATAGAAATTTCATTGAATAAAAGTCAATCGTTCATTCATGTGCACATGTTATGCAAAGCAGGGGCAGTGGTTCAAGGATATCTATGTCGACTTGCAGAAAGTGTGCAAGAACACGACTTGAATGCTTTTATGTGTTCACAATACAACGACGCTGTTTAGTTATTTCACTGTGTGACACAGTGAGAAATTTTGGAATCATAATGGCGTCAGCGATACTTGCTGGGGAGCTCTTGCGTACGACTTTCTGTACTTTGGTTTAGTTGTCTCCAGGACAATTGTGTGTACGGTAACCCGACGTACCCAGATTTTTAAAGACGAAATTGCCGACCTCAAACTTGTTAGTGCCATATTTAGCAACTATATGTGCGTTATTAGTTTAATTAAACAAATGAACAGGTTAATTATACATAGTACCATTGAAGGTACCTAAAAGTAAACATAACAGCATAGAAAACCGACAGACGAACATAAAATGTTACAAAATAAAACTCGACCCGGTACTCGGCCTCGAATGTACTCGGTCTTGTTGCATGCTGCACATCGGACTCGTCAGAGTGTACTTGGTCTCGGCCCCTAAAGTACTCGTTACTCGGCTTTGAGGACTCGATCGATCCCGCCAACAATGGAAAAATAGGTTATAGGTTTGCAGCGCAATTTGGATATGCTCACTGTATGTCTCAAGATGTTAAACAGTGTGACAAAATGCCAATTGTCTTTTTTAAATATTTTAAAAGAAAACAAAAGCTCGACATAAACAAGCCAGTTAATATTAGCAGCTAGAAGAGACGATGGGAGGAGCCTTGATAATGGGGGGGGGGGGGGGGGAGACAATGAGCAAACAAGTACCGTACGGGGTTAGAACACAGTAATGAGCTGCCAATGACTTGGATAACATTCTGATCGAAGGAAGGCAAGACAACGGACGACGAGGACAGATGTAGCTTACTGAAAGGTTCTGAGACCCTGATGTGCAGGAAGCTCCATCTTGGACTCAGTGCATGTCGCCCTCATCGGTACAACATGTCCAACACTGATTGCATGCTCGTCTCCATTTTCATCTAATGAGCGTAATCCGCAACTTGACTTGGGTCATTTTTTTAAGCGTCAATTTTAGTCGCAAAAAGTAAGGATATTAATTAATAATTTGTTTGACTTGTTTGATTTCCTGTGTACCTTTTGCACTGACTGTAGACGACTTAAAGTAAGTAAAACAACATTTTGAGTTAGTTCTTAAAATGTCAAAATAATATCGTGAGTACGCCTAGCCTCAGCGCTTTCTCGTGATCCGGTTAGATAGTGTGACGTCAGCTCAACTGAACCACGCATATTTCACACGGTGTAGTATAGCACGAACGGAACCGGAAGTTAACACACTTGGGCCAATGGGTGCTTGTAATCAGTGGTGCGTGCGCGTGTATGACGAAGTCACTATACGAACCGGATAGGCTTGAAATGAAGTCGGTAATTTACCGGGTTTAGTCCAACCTCGTCCCCAGTGCTTACTTTATTTCCAACCCCGTTTTCAATAGTAATAGCCCTGGATGGTAAACTTTCTTCCTGTATCCTGATTCGATACCGCAATTGGCTAGAAATGGATTTATATCGTGTACTTCTTGTTGTTTTTCACAACGTGCAGTACGTGTTTTCGCGATCATTCGCCCACGCCTTCTCGAAAATATTCATTTCCTTTCCAATTTGTTAATTTAAATATGAAATATGATACTGCATGTTGTCCCGTTAAGATCGTAACGGTTTAATTAAAATAAAATCGTGTTTTCGTAACTCACGCCATGCTCCCCGCTGCGACGAATTGATTCTGTTTTTACCCCAGACACCGCATACAAAAACAAACGCAAATGTAACGCACAGGCAGGCACCAGACTAATCCTCATTACGTGTTCAAAAATCTTGCACATGCAAATGATCCAATACCAGGGTGAGAGAGCAGGTAGTGGTGGGTGCGTACTACTCGACGCCCTGGGGACGAGGTTGGGGTTTAGTCCGCCTGCGCCGCCGCGTGCCGCACCGGCGTTGACTACCGCTTACCGTCCCGGGGTTACGTGAAGGCTCGGCATAATAACACGCGGGAACGTGCGTCCTCGGCCCCATAAGACCTTTTGGATGGCGGATGTAAACACGATATAGGGCGCCAGCTAGCTCCGTGCTGGTAATTATTAGGGCCTCGTCGGTAAAACACGACAGTGTCTAACGACTTGATTTCAAGTCTAGCTCGTCAGGATTTTGGTGCCTATAAAATGCCAAGTCACATAAGGAACAAATTGTCTCGATCGCGCCACCCAGCGGACTAAAAACATGAAAATGATCGACAGGTTTTGTTCAAACAAATTTAATCCAAAATGGAAAACAAACCGTCTGTCTTGCATAGCCACGAAGTCCCAAAGGGGATATCGGAGCTATGAAGATTTTTATTTCGCATTTTCGTACACGTACGAACGTAACATCACCTACGTGTACGTAATATTTTCACGTGCGTATAGGCCTACGTGATAACGTTACATGTAGCAAAACCGATTTCGTGTATCGAACGGCATTTGGAAATTACACGAAAACGGCATATTGGGTTAGACAAATACCCGATGCCGCAACCACGAAGTTAACACAGCCAATGTACATGTACATGTAATAGTTCACTGCTTGTGCACTTTGCATAATTTCGTTCAGCTTTTTGACACTAAAATAAACAAGCTGATTTACCCGATCATAGATCGGGTAGGGCGTATTTGTGTTGGAGTTGCGCAATAGAATTATTACAGTAGGCTACAATTTTTATTCGGGGAAGAAAAAGTGGGGGACCAAACGATATGGTATTCCCCGCTTTAAAATGTTGGGGTGGGGGTCCGCTGCCCCCCACCGATTGACGCCCATGATAAATATGTACCATGGCATGTATAACTGTCTGTAAATTTTCCCGTTGGTCTGTTAAATTGGCATTTTGTGAGGCAGTCACATTTGAGGGAGCACGTAGTTGCCAATGTCACCCCACATTACTATTTGGTGAACATTGTTGTAGAACGGCCAAGTAGAACACGTAAACGGAACCCCTACGTTGAAGCCGCTGACCTCGCACAGTCTTGACTCGCAGAAAAGCCAACACAGAGGGCGGCCAGGCAGTCAACGTGAAAGCACACACGACGGCGATTCCTGTGCAAAAACGCAGTCACGAAAAATCGACGAAACGGATCGCCGGTCTGTAGGCCCTACGGAAAAATTAGGACGACCCGAAGTTTCCGACCCGGCGGAAAACACCCTTTTCATTTTTCTACGGACGTGGAGCGATTTTGGCGTCGCGGGAGCCAGCGGTCTCGGATCCTTTCATGAGCAAACATCGTCTCGGAGGCCGAGTAAAACTCTCTCATATAGATAGATATATGTGTACAGTGATCGTGACGGGATTCCAGTAGGTCGACGGTGCATTGTACTCAAAAAGACAAAACCAACGCGCTTGCATAGTTGTGGGCCATCAACACTCAGTATGAACAGAATCGACGGTATCAATTGGCCCTGGATGGTGACTCAAGAGTGCCTAGATGCTATGAAATCTTACGATGTCAGTGAGGATGATGTGTGGGTGGTTTCACATCCAAAATCAGGTAGGCTATATGATGTGGTTACCGGAGCCTTTTCTACTTGTTTTCAACCTATGTGTAATGTCATATAGTACTGGGACTATTTGACCAGGCCCATGACAATATTACCACACAATTGCAATACGGATCGTTACTGGACCAATGATCTGATCCGTGTACATACCGTCCAATCAATTACCGTTTGAAAATCGTCCAAAGAAAAAAAAGAAAGAAAAACGAACCATTTACCATTTACTATATTACAATCTTGGTGAAGAAACAGAAAAAAAGTAAATCAAATAAATTATGAGTCACTGAAATTGTAAATTATGACGAAGTAGGCCTATTTCTGTTTGTTAGCCTATGCTGTGATATGGGAACATTAGTAACATGATACGATTATTGCCTTCAATACTGCAGTGTATCAGATGAGATAATGGTCGAGGTGAAAACAGCAGAGATTTTTGTTGCAATCTTTCTTCTATAATCAGGCACACATTGGACAGCTGAGATGGTCCATATGATCCTCGCTGGCGGGCGCGAGGAAAACATAAACCGCCCCGAGCATTGGTCGCGTCCTCCCGAGTTTGACTACAGTCGGTCAGACATGCCTCCGATCTTCGAGAGGCGGACATCGCCGCATTACAAAGAAATTCAAAAATGGCCGGCCCCTCGAGTAATCATGACGCATCTCACAGAAGAACGGATGCCTTCACAAATCTACCAGGGCAAGGGGAAAGTAAGTCACAAGTAGATCCTATAGCGCCGCATATAGTCAGTGGGCTTACGGTCGAAAATGACCCCCCCCCCCATATGCAATTTCGGGTACATTCTTTGAAACTCTCGGGATCACTAGAGGATACCTCAAGAAGTTCAAAACCACTTGATGCCATTTTTTCTGACCCTTTTGTGGGCGTGGCCATGATTTTAAACAGTGGGGGGGGGTTTCGCGCGTAAAAAATTATTTAAAAAAAAAAAAAATTCTTTTTCACATTTGGACAGTTAACTCAAGTGCTACATCACAAGAAAAAAAATCCACAATTGTGCCTCTTTTAGGGGTGGGGCAACCTTTTAAATAAGTGGGGGCACACGTTGCTAACAGAAAATCGACCTGTAACAGGCAATCTTGAGCTTTTTTGTTTTGTTTTGTATTTGTTACAATGCCTTATAATTTGGTGTGGAAAACAGAGTTTTGAGTTAAGGCCAAAAAAAAAGTCTCCGGTTTCTGGTATGCGCGCGCGTCGCCGTAGCCATGCGCGTCGGCAAAATGAAAACGTTTTTTTTTCAACGAAAGATGATGTCTCAAAACCGCCAAACTCACTGGTTTGACTAGAATCATGCTGCTGCACAATTTTAACGTGTTTTTAGATTGGGTTATGGTCGAGAATAAGCTTTATGTGTCCTCTCTGGACTCCCATATATTTGCACTAAGTTTAGTCGGGCACCATTTGCAGTCATCAGCCGACATTTGAAGCAAAAAAATCAGGTAAAAAAAAAAAAAGCCGCGTCGCCACACCACTTTTTGGGCAAGCTCCATACCAGAAACCGGAGACTTTTTTGGCCTTAGAAGAAAAACGAAGGACGCTCACAGGGGGAACGGAATGATAGAAACGCGTTAAAGGGAATGAAACGAACCCCGGTGATGTGCACTGAATGAGAAACAATATCATGAATCTGGCAAAGGGACAGAGACAATGAGCATACAGGATGGAATAATACTTTATTTATTCAGATTAATTGGTAAAAACACCTGTCTCCCAAACATACAACTATCCAATTAAAAGTAGTATACCAAATTTGATTAAAAACCGTCCAACAGAGTAAAAATACATTAACAACAATAATTCCCTCAATTACAATAATTCCCTGAATAATATGAAAAATCTGTGCGACAATTACATGCAATCGTGTATATTATAATTATTTTGAGTTGCATTATAACAGTGTGTTAATTATCTCAAATTTCTGAAAGATTTACGAAATACAAAGTCATTTGCAAGACTGAGCAGGAAAATATATACTAGAAAAACTGCATAGTTATATTTCTACAGAAATTCTATTGATAGAGGATAGTCGTTGTGTTTTCCAAGCTTTTGATAGCATTTTTGAATACAACCGTTGAATGTCAATGAATCGAAAAATAAAAGTTTGAATTTATGGGACGGAGCAGCGTTTTGAGCATTTGCACTTTGACGTAGGCCATGATGACATTTCATGCCAGATTGACTTATTCCTTAACCTTCGTATTTCTTAGACCTCATGGGTAGACTTTATGAGTATAGCGGCCGTCTTATATGGCATCATTTGTTATTTTAATTCAGTAACAATGAGTGCTTAAAAGGTTTATTTCTGGTATGTCACAGCAAGACAAATGTATTGCCTTGATGACTGCTACCTGTAAGGTCCATATACGCCTTTTTTGAAATATTGTGGGCAAGAGAGAGCGCCTTTTTTCAGTGTGTGACCTCTCTTGTATATTCACCCCGCAAATGTATTTATATTATGTTATTCATTTTTTAAAAACTATTTCATTGAAAATAAAACATGACAGAAAATAATTCTGGTATGCGCGCGCGTCGCCGTTGCCATGCGCGTCGGCAAAATGAAAAAGTTTTTTTTCAATGAAAGATGATGTCTCAAAACCGCCAAACTCACTGGTTTGACTGGAATCATGCTGCTGCACAATTTTAATGTGTTTTTAGATTGGGTTATGGTCGAGAATAAGCTTTATGTGGCCTCTCTGGACTCCCATAATATTTGCACTAAGTTTAGTCGGGCACCATTTGCAGTCATCAGCCGACATTTGAAGCAAAAAAATCAGGTAAAAAAAAAAAAAAAAGCCGCGTCGCCGCACCACTTTTTGGGCAAGCTCCATACCAGAAACCGGAGACTTTTTTGGCCTAAGCAGGGTTGTATATCACTGTTATAGAATGGAATAAAGTCCTTGTTTGACTTAACAGGAGGTTTGAGTTATCAACAGTTTGACATTTTGAGATTTCACTGTAGTTTATTTTGTCCTGACAACAATGTTGACCTCGTTTTTTACACACAAACTGCAATAGCCTTTTTAACTTCACATTTATTTATCTTCACTTCATTTATAAAAATGATATTATTAAATGTGGTACTCGGTCATTGGAAATTTTGTTTGAAAATGACAAAGTTCAATATTAAGAGTAAAACCAAACCTCCTGTTAAGTCAAACAAAGACTAATTATTCCCTTCAGTTGTATAACAGTGATATACAACCCTGCTTGACTCAAAACTCAGCTTAGCTCACATTTTGAGCCCATTCTCTCAAAGTTTGACTTATCGAGATTTCACTGTATATCAAAACATAAATCTCTCATAAAATTGATTATTTGTCCATTTGTACATGTATGTGTACAATATGCCAGATATGTTAAAAACGGCTGCCATTTTAATGGCCAATGGGGGGGGGGGGGAGTGGGGTGGAGCAGATTGTCACTTGTTGAGGTGTCCAGAGGTGTTTGTGAGAGTTTGAAAGAATGTGCAATAATCCATATGGGCTCGCACAAGCTTCCTTTTGGAATACCTGTATGCCCCCTTTTTATGAAAAAAGTGTGACACGCCCCCTAAATGAGAGCCAAAGAATTTATGATGACATGTAAACGTTTTTTCCTTGCCAAATTATAATGGATAGAAACAAAAACAAAAACAAAAACAAAAAACCTCAAGATTGCATTTTACAGGTCGATTTTCTGTTAGCGACATGTGACCCCAACTTTTTAAAATGTTGCCCCACCCCGAAAAGAGGCAAAACTGTGGATTTTTTTTTCTTGTGATGTAGCACTTGGGTGAACTTTCCAAATGCGAAAATGAAAAGTAACATTTTTTTAAATATTTTTTTGCGCGCGATGCCCCCCACTTTTTAAGATCATGGTCACGCCCACAAAAGGGTCAGAAAAATTGGCATCAAGTGGTTTGGAACTTCTTGAGGTATTCTCTAGTGATCCTTAGAGTTTCAAAGAGTGTACCCGAAATTGCATATGGGCCTCCACAAGCCCACTGACTAATAGCGGCGTTCCGATCAATCTCGACTTCACTGGTATCCGATTCGTAAATGACTGCGTCATACACGCGCGCGCACCACTGAATACAAGTGCCCATTGGCTAAACACGCCACTTTGCACTACTTTCGGTTCCATTGATTCCAGTGCTGTACACCGTGTGTAGTACGCATAGTTAACTGAAAATGATGTCACACTTACGAACCGGATATACCCACTGACTCATCCTAGAGTACTATATTATGACCTGTAACGTCGTCTTCTCTCTTTAAACAGATTTTGTGAAGTGTCACAGGGCCAACGTGTACATGACCTGTACTGATCATGTAGTTTTAGGTCGTACTATACGCTAAAGACTAACAAGTGCAAGCTAGTGCACAATAAGCCCTGGCCGTCTTGCATAGGGTGAAAGTCTTGCATGAAATCCATCAAAATGACCCCTCAGTGCCAGAGCTAAAAAATGCGTTGCCTAAAAATGCGACGCCGATGGCACATAATTATTATGGAACGTCAATGATACGTTAGATGTATACCAAGTGACTATCACATTTACTGCACATATTCTGCCTCCATTTACAAACATCTTTCCCAATTGTTGTTAAATATTTAATTAATTTAGTTGGCTTTTTTTTTTAAATTAAAATTTGGTAGTTATATTTTGTGGAAAACTTACAGGGCCCTATTTCCGGGGACAGACCGACCGACCACCGAGTGACATGTGTAAGCTCCTGTCCTAGCTCAACAACGAACTAAAAATAGCAATGCGGCCAAAGGCCGAAAATCTATTCAACGTTATAATTATCGCAGGCATATTGTAGTGCATTGCATTGATGACAAAAAAAAACTAAATATAGCAGTGCGCTTTACTTTCATTATGTTCTGCACAGGTTGTGTTTGTCATTCGCAATCCAAAAGACGTAGCCGTATCGATGTGGCACTATGTCAAACCTTGGAAGTTTGACCCGAACTTGGAAGACTGGGATTACTTTTTCCAAAAGTATCTGAATGGAGAAAGTAAGTGTAATATCTCAATAATGATTTAACGCAAATATTCCTCTTTACTAATACTATACAATCTGATATCCTAGCCACCTGTTCCTACGGTGTTTTACAAAGTTATCACTGCACGGTCGATTTACTCATTCTGTTTGAATGCATGAAAAGAATTACCAGTTTTGTCTTTTTGTTCTAGCGGTGTACGGTTCGTGGTTTGATCACATTCTCGATTTTTGGAACAAGCATCGGCACGACAACAACTTCCTTTTCATAAAATATGAGGATATGAAGCAGGTCAGTTTCAAAATTCTTAGATGTCTCCACATGTCTTCAGATGTCTTATGCACAACATCATCACTTGAAATCGAGCTGGAAATGGCTCAACCCTATTTAGTGTATGGAAACAGTAGCTCAAAAACGAAGGAATTTTTTTCTGGACAACTCAGACATTTATGTCTTGTTCATTTCGTTTGGGCGGCATCGGTGGCTTGTGCGTAAAGCGCTCGCCTCTCACCACTGTGCCAGGGTTTGATACCCGGCCCGGAACATGTGAGTATAGAGTATTGCATGCGTTGATTCTCTCCTGTGCCACGAGGATTTTTCTCCGGGCCCTCTAGATTTTTAGTCTGAATATCACCCGTTTTGCACGGAGCCAAGTATCCTGTATAACGTCTGATATGTCTAAACATGCAAATATGCAAGCCGCGCGCCAGCAAATCGAAGTCGACTTTAATAAATCGTGACGTCATTTCATTCCCAAATCAGGACTAATGGTTTGATTGGTCAAATCGAGTGCAGTGTTTTGTTGTACAACAACAGCCGGGCGCATATCGCGTAACATGACACAGAGCGCGTGACACAGTGTTTGTATCCATGTCCATGACACGCAACGGGTGAATGACCGAAGACCCGATATAGAAAGCACCCGCTGAATAGTCAAAATCTAGAGGTCATGATGCGGTTGTCAGCGAATCTGCTCAGATGTAATAGACCAGGCGCCATGGCCATTGTCTATTACAAAGAGTACTGGTTTTCTCCATCTGAAAAAAGCAACACTTTTTGAACTAGCTTGTGCTCCGTGGTCAAGACATGGGTCGTATGCGTGCTGACAAAGGCGCCTTTTACACGCCGTTGGCTTTACCACGTTGTAGCCGCGTCCTTCAACTATTCAGCTTCTCAGCTGCGAGTAAGCGATGATTAGCCTCCCAGATTATTAGTGTGTCAGCTTATCCGTTTGTCTGTCAGTCTTTACGTTCTTACGTCCGTCCATCCATCTATTCGCCTGGCTGTCTAGACCCAATGCACTCATTCATCATCGTTACTGGTATTCCTTCTCCTTTAGGACATCAAGACGGCCGTGACTCAAATCGCCCATTTCTTGAACAAACCTCTCTCTGAAGATGCTATCAATAACATCTGTAAGTCTTGCAGTATGGGTGACATGAGTCAGCGATTTCAAGGCAGGAGTACAGACGAAGATCCGAGAGACGAACCTGCAAACATAAGCGTTGGGCAGGTTTTCAGGAAAGGTGAATGTTTTTGGTTTTGCTTTAGTGAGAAATAACTTACTAACTCTGAACGACTCAAAGTTTTAGGACAAAAGTCTCCCATTTAAGATTTGGGGTTTCAGTTGAAAGATTAAGGAGATTTTCTGTTTTATCTTTGAAACGATGTCGTTCAAAATAATTTGGAGAAAATTTAGGACAAATTTAGTTGTTCTATTTAAGAAACTGCGTCTTTACAAGAGAGCTCTTCTCGTTTGTCATTCAAATTTTTCGTAGTTTTGCTTAGAATATATGAAATCAAAGGGATAGCTGAAGACTGTTAACGCTGTTAAAGATCAGCTGTCATCAGAAAACATCTGAAACTGTGTAAAATTCGTTATTGTATAATTGCAATTATAGGTACAAATTTTACTTTGATTGAAAGAGTATTGGAAAATTTGTAATTTGTTTTGCAGGGATCGTTGGCGACTGGAAGACAAAGTTCACCGTCGCCCAAAACGAGGCCTTGGATGAAATCTTTCGAGAGAAAATGGCGGGATCAGGACTGAAGATACAATTCGAGTAGAATTCAAGATAGCTGTTCCCATGGTGTTAATACATGTATTGTCAAATACGACGAATCAAAGACAAGGGCGGATCCAGAACACACTTTTGTTGGGGGGAGGGAAAAAAACCCGTTGTTTCCCGAAAAAAATGTATTGCTTTTGTTGAGATTTGTGGGTGGTGTACGCAGCGGCTGCCGTATTTTGCATCGTCACTTAAAAAAAAAATTAAAAAATGGGGGTGGGGTGGGGCGGGGTCATGGCTCTCGTTGGCACCCCCCCCCCCATCCGCCGTTAGACAGGGGCCAAATACTTTCAAATATCTAACCATTTTTGATTACTTTTTAATTTTTTAATTGTATACATATTCATATAGGGCCTACCTATACATTCAATGCTTATAACATGGGGCTTTTACACACTTGCCTTTTACTGTCAGTGACATGCAGTTGCGGATCCAGAGGGGGTTGGGGGGTCGAACCCCTCCCCTGCTCTGACACAATAAAGTGAAAATATTCTGCAGTGGTTATGTATCCGACGGGCCTGAATCTGACGGACCTGAACCACTCCCGCTCCTCCCAGCCCCACCCCAGCAAAAGTTACTATAGATCCGCCTCTGACGTAAGTTGGTACATTGATGTGAAATGTGATATCAACTTATCACTATTTTGACCCAAATGAAGTTTCTGTAGGTCATGTAGAATGAAAGAATGAAATGGGGTAAGCAATTATTGTTGGAGGCCCCAGAATGTGGGAAGGCCTGTGGGCCACGACCAAGATCAGCTGATGGCTCGTCCGTTCATAAGTGGCATTTTGACATCTTGAAAAACGTCTGATGATGAATATAAATGACCCGCCAAAAGCGTGGAACACAACAGACGACAGAGGCGGAACCAGACAGTTCTGCAGGGGGGGGGGGGGGGGGGAGAGAGAGAGTTCATTAGCAAAAAAGAAAATCTGCATTGTAGACAGGTTTTTTTTTCTCTGGACATTTTGACCTCCGAAAATCAATGGGGAGGGGGAAGCTCGTGCACCATACTATCAATTTTAGCGCCGTTCAAATCCGATGATTATAACACTATATTGTTACAGAATAGCGTACAAAATACCCCACGACCAAGCTGCCTCTGTCCGTATATTGTGCACAAGTTATTACCAGTATAGATTGTTTGGGGTGTCGGAGTAGGGGGGTTCACATTGTTTTAAAGGTAATATCTATGAAAAAATTGTTTGACAGATCTGGGGATTCCCCCTCCATGATCGGTGCTTGTACATAACAGTGCTATAAATATTTGATAGTATCTGCCGGCGCGACGTCAGACCATATGTCGTGTCAAAAATGCCATTTACTTATGATCCCAAATAACTATGTTGTTTACAATTACAAATGGAAATGAACCCCCAAAAATATCGAAATTTCAATGAGCTTTCAAATGGGACATCGCACGAGAAAAAAAATCAGCCCATATCAAGCAATCAATTAATTAATTAATTTCAACTTTCCAATTAAGAGCGGGACGCTCCTAATTCGTTCTGAATATTGTGCTCAATATTGTGTGCAAAACAAAACAAGCAAATTTATTATTTTGTTACAGGACATTCATATTTCGTTCGGAAAAGAAAATCGAAATTTTGAAAAAGCACGTGGGCCCTATATAGGCCTACCAACTTTTAAAAATGTCATACTTTATGAAAATTTGTGCGTGACGATTCAGTATTTCGATGATCTCTAAAAAAATGGATGCTGTGTTGCTTGATATTTGTTGTTCTTCCTTAATACCGACGTTCTTTTACCGACTGGCTACAGATTTTAAGAGCGAGTCAAGGGGGGGGGGGGGGGGGGGGGGTGAGCGCGAAGGGGCCGGCGACATCGTCGGAAAAAGCGAGTCACGTCAGTGATAATACCATGATAATGCCATGCCCACTTCCCTCCCAAGATTCTATGAAGCTCATCAGGTTGCAGGCCAGTAAATCGGTCCAAAATTGCCTACTAAATGGAAGAATCCATCCGCCATCTTGGGAAAAATAAGAAAAATACAGCGCCAACCTCCTTCATTTAATGAGAGAAAGTATTTTTGTCTTTACTCGGCCTGAAACTCAATAGAATTAATTGCACAATAAATCGAGTCTCTTGGTTGAACGCTCAAAGTAGAGGTCACACATTTTGATTGTACACAGTATCAATAAACCGAAACAGATATCAAGTGCCTCAGAATCATCTGTAGAAGTGATTTTAATAGTGTTTTCTGGATGCATTCAACTTCACAGAAAGTTTTTGCGTTGTCGAAATAACGATCAATTATACTGTATGATATCGTGTTGGTTTGAAGTTGAACCGATGTACATCAAATTCAAAAATATTGTTTGTCGCGGGCATGTTGCAGGCAAAAGTGTATAATCTCCTTGAAGGAAACATGCAGTAGGATTGTTGTGACTTTGAAATTTTATCTATGACTTTCACCTCCTTTTGTAGCAGTTAAAGGGAGAAATTTGAACATTTTAGTTTTTATGCTAATGAATTGTCCATATTCATGAGCCAACGTGTGATGTCATTCAAGGCAGAACAGTAGTGTCTCCATAGCTTTGTGTACAAATATATATCAAATTATTCTTCATTTTTTGGGAGTAAGTTTCACTTTTTACCTGTTTATCATGGTAATGCCATGGAGTTCCAGTTTGTCACCACTGGCGTTCCATATACGACCGAGGCCTAAATTTAAAAAAAAATGATTAAACAAAGCAGAATATGATAACGTTTGGACAAAGCTGTGACACGGCGAGTTCGGTGTGTTTTTATTGTATTATTTTTCTGCATAATAGGGAACCATTTTTGGTACGGCTTGTCACGATTGGCGTTCCATATACGACCGAGGCCTAGATATGCTAAATATTAAGGACCCATTGGGGTTCAAAGGTCGTCACACTATATTGGAGTTCAATGTGTGTTGATATTGAACTACTACCAAGAAAATTTGAACGACTGCATAGGCTAAGTTACATGTAAACAGAAAAATGGCTGATCTTCGCAAAGCGTGCAACGTTTCAAACCGTAGTTCCCCGTCTCAGTCTAACATGAGAAGGTTGGAAGGAATAAATTGGCCCTGGATGGTGACTCAAGAATGTCTTGATGCGCTGAAATCTTACGATGTCTTGGAGGATGATGTATGGGTGGCCTCGCATCCCAAATCTGGTACGTTGGGCAGGTTTCAACTTCAGCGTGGATTTACAATTATTGTTAGTATTGTAAGGGACAGTCTATGCACACTTTTGTTTTCATTGCTTTCTAGCACTAGTGCTCCGGCGGAGGGGCTCCGGCGGCGTGCACCTGACCTGGTTTTGGGTCTGGCTAGCGCGCGCTCCGGAAATAGGCTCTACAAATAGGTTGGTTAAGTGGGGTTCTTTTGTTCAATTGCGCAAAGTTGGGTAAAGTTGCTACATTTGTATACATTTGTTCAGATTGTGTGTATGTCTATGCTGGGAATCGATCAGTTGCAGTTCTGGTAGCGGTGCGGCAAGTTGCCCGCAGAGTCCGCTTGGCGAAATAAATGAGATCTTCCTTCAGAGTTAGAAATCCCGTCTGTCTGTCCCCTTTTCTTGCGTTTGGCCGGATTTGGCGGACAAGAGCCCAGTAGGATCCCGCTACAGTATCATCTTCAAAACGGCGATTAAATTCATTGGGCAAAGATCAGGTTCGAGCCATCACTATAGCAAGAATTGTACATCTTGTGACATTTTGGCTGTTCACCTAATTTGATTTTATTATTTAAGCAGACAGTTTCTGCAATATCCAGGCGAAATTACCAGAGAGTTTGTCCAAAATGACCGCAGTATTTTTCTCGAGGTCATGGGTCATGTCCCTTTGACCTTTTGATTTTTTCCTGGTTTTTAACCAGGTAATTAAGGTAGCTTCCATAGTGAATATCAAGCAGTTTAAATATTTCATATTCAGGAAACACAACTTTAATTCAGATTCAGGAAATTTAGCATGCATTGGTGTGTGCCTCGACAATACGGGGGAAGGTCCCTGCATGCAGTAGGCCCATTTAAAGCCACATTTTGGGACTAGAAAATACCTGTGCTGGGCTGCTCAATGAAATCGGCCCATTGCCAGACTATTGGCCCGAGGCCAGACTACTTGGCTGGAAAAATATACTACACGTACGCCTAAACCTACTAGAAATCAATGAAATCGCATAAGTTGTCAGGCCAGATGCCTATACCCACCCTTGAGTCTTTTATATGAGATAATAATCATTTATCAAAAATCAAAAAGACAATGTCTATCTACTTTATACACATTGGGTAGCGGAGATAGTTAACCTGATACTCGTTGACGGTCATGAACATAACATCGACCGAAACCAAAAAGGTAGAGTGGTGGGGTTTGATATGAGCCAGCCCGGTGTGGAAAGACGGCCCGGGAGGCTACCCTGGGTTGCACAGCCCGCTCCTCGTTATAAGATGACGCAAGAGTGGAAGACACCTCGAGTCATTATGACACACCTTATGGAGGAACTGATGCCTGCCCAAATCTACCAAGAAAGGGGAAGGTGAGTTCTGCCGGGTGCATACCTATGTTCCCCAATACTATATGTTCCCCAATACCGATGTTCCCCAACCCCTAACCTAACCCCTAACCCTAATCCTAAGAATTTCGGGAAGCATCGGTATTGGGGAATTATATGTATTGGGGAACATCGGGTAGACCCCGTTCTGACGCCTGTATGCTACTCTAAAAATTAATTTGTCCAATCGGAGTTCGGAGAGATGTAAAAAAAAAAAACCGGTCGGCGTTATCACAATATAGGACATTCCAATTTCAATCACTGGCGGGATCATTATTTTGACCTCAATTTGCATGTTGACCCCACGTGGTAAACACTATAGATAATGTTGTAACATTTAACTATTCAAAGTCTGAAAGAAACAAATTTGCCCAAAAAAGCACAACAAAACAATCAAATAATTTTTCACGTGCCGACCGTGACTTCAGAGGACAGTGAAATCTGAGCATATAAATATATATATATACCATTTTGAGGCCCTACATACACTGCTTCTGCGCACTCCTTAGGCTTTCTACAAAAAAACGTGACACACAGACAGACAGACAGACAGCCCGACAGACACCACGACAGACAGACAGACAGCGTAAAGGATCATTAAATATGGGATCTATATTTTTCAAAGAATGTAGTTAAGCCCAAAGAGTAAAAGGTAGCATTATAGCATTAAACAATGACAAATCTTGACATGTCTACTTTAATTATTTTATATTTTTGGTGCACTTCACAGGTTGTGTTCGTCATTCGAAATCCTAAGGATATAGCCTTATCAATGTGGATCTATTTCATACCAATGGAGTTCGACTCTGGATATTCCGACTGGGATTACTTTCTTCAGCAGTTTTTAGCAGGAGAGAGTAAGTAGGCGATCCAACAAAAGGATAAGGCATATACATTCCAAATAAAAGCTTGTGATATTTCTTGGTGTACAATAATTGACAACTGTTGCCCACCACTTATACAGTGTATATATAAAAAAAAATGAAAACAAAATATAACGGGATGCCAGACGTAGAATGTGCAACCAACATAGATAATATAGGTATGATTTGAAAGATACGCCTTTCCACTTTACAATGATACATCAAACGTCCAAATCTGGTGATGTTTGACAGAGTTATGAGCAATTTTCCAAGAGAGGTCAAATTAACCACGGGACCAAGTTTTCAATTTTAGGCACTGGGATGAAGGTAGCCTAATTGCCTCTGGCATGGCCTATAAAAATGTGAGTAAACATTAATATTAGTGAGTAAAAACAATTCTAAACACTTTTTTGCTATCAGTTTGTAAACATGTTTACATGCTAAACATTTTTTATCATGAAGTGATAGCAAGAAAGTGTTTAGAATTGTGTTTTAATACTCGCTAAACACATTTTGAGGAGGCCAGGCAAATATCCTCATGTTGGCATTTAGGATACGTTTGTCCCAATGCCTAAAAATGAAAACTTGGTCCCATGGTCAATTTGACCTCTCTTGAAAAATTACTCATAACTCTGTCAAAATTATTAGATTTGGACGTTTGATGTCTCATTTCAAAGTGGAAAAGCATATCTCTCAAACCATACCTATATTATTTATGTTGGTTACACATTTTATGTCTTGCATTCAGTGGCGCACCCAGGATTTGTTTTTTTTGGGGGGGGGCTCAATTTTTTTTTCAAAAAATGTTGCCCCAAATTTTTGGCCGCAGAAAAAAAATTGGATTTTTTTTTTGGGGGGGGGGGCGGACTATTTTTATATTGGTGGCGCCACTTACACCCCAATTATTCTACTCAAAAATAGGCCACATACATTATCACCAAGGTAAAATCGTGGGATTAAAAAAAAATACCAACCAAAAAAATTGACAACCTCTTGGGGAGGGGGCTCAAGCCCCCGAGCCCCCACTGCTTGCCACTGCTTGCATTCCGTTATATTTTGTTTGCATTTTTTTTTATACACACTGTCATGGGCGTCGCCAGGATTTTTTCTAGAGGGGGGGAAAAAACTTTTTGGCCAGAAAATGTTTGTATTTCTCAACACATTCTCGATTTATCAGTTTTAGATGGGGGCAGGGACATTTTGCCCCCCTCCCCCCAACTCATTAAATTTATACCACTTTGTCTTCGCGCCCCTTTTTTATTTATTTTTTTTTTAATTTTTTTTTTGCTTTTCCGGGGGGGGGGGGCAAGTGCCCCCCCCTTGCCCCCCCCCCCTCGCGACGCCCATGCACACTGTAAAGGCAATTTGTATTTTTTCCTCATCAAGCTCCTATGGGTTCGTGGTTTCAACATGTTTTGGATTTTTGGAACAGGCATCGACACGATGCAAACTTCCTCTTCGTAAAATACGAGGACATAAAACAGGTGAGTGGCAACCGAACATTGCTCGAGTGGCAGTGAGAAGCAGCACAAGACCAGGGATGGATGTAGCTTTCAGAAAACAGGGAGGGGCGGGGGGGGGGGGTTGATATCAAGTGGGGCGGCGGTTGAGTTAAGGCACGATTTTTTTTTGCGGGGGGAATGCCGGGGCTTCCCCCCCCCCCCCGGAAATTTTCAAAATTTCGATGCCTTCTCCTGCAGTCTAAGGCAATTTGAGAGTAAATTTTGGAAATTTAGCATTCCATTATTGTTGGCCCCATTTTAGTTTCGTAACATTTGTGGCGGGGGCGGAGGGGGGGGGGGGTGTTCGCCCTTCAAATCCCAATCTAGATCCGCTTTATATACCGAGTATTATACTCGTGCTGTGATACTAAAAGGCCTTTTTGAAAAGTCTCTCTCTCTCGTTCAATATACGTGGCTATGTAACATTAAAGCGATTCCCATTCTACCTATTACTTTATTAGTATTCAGGCGCAATCCATGTTATTAATTTGATGTGATCGATCACCCTGTCAATGGACGAATCCATCGTTCACTTTGATTGACCAATTTCTGTTTCAGGACACCCTTCGAATCGCCGATTTCCTGGGGAATACTTTATCGGAGGACGCCCTCAACCGCGTCGTGGGGTTTAGTAGTATTGAGAGCATGAAACAGCGATTCCAAGGCAACGATTCACAAGAGAATAACAACTCGAATAAGGGGGCTTCAACTCAGGGTGATGTAAAGCCATCTGCTGTAAAGGAGGCCATTGGACCTCCTGCAGTAATCAGAAAGGGTAGAACACATTAATGATTACTGAAGCGCAGCATAGCTGGGTGGAGTCGTATTTCGCTCTTTTCACACTTCCGCCATGGGCATGCAGAGCCTCGATCTGGCAACTTTACACATTACATATAGCTGGTTCGGTGATTCCCGTGTCGGGGTTCAGATCACTGAACCGGCTTTTTTTTATTGTGTAAAGTTGCCAGATCGAGGCTCTGCATGCCCAATGGCGGAGTGTGAAAAGAGCGAATGTACCAGCGTATTACTTTGACCTCAATTTGCATGTTGACCCCAAGTGGGCGTGGCAAACCCCAGCGAAGCAATTTCGGCACATTTTTCATCATCAACGTTATGTTTTGCGTCATAGCGATACGTTTTGGAGTGTTTTCATAGAGATAGTGTAATACGTGTATTTAACTATTCAAAGTCTGAAAGAAAAACACATTTGCCCAGAAAGCACAACAAAACCAAAATCTTTTTTTTTTCACACGCCAACCCGGACAGTGACTAATCGGAGCATACCATTTAAGGACACGCATACACTGGATGACCGCATGCTGCGTTACAGCTCACTCAATAGGCCTTTTACAAAAAAACCCCGTGATACAGACAGAAATATAGCGTAGGATCTTTTAATATATAGGATTTTGTTTCACATTAAAATGACCACAAAAATCATTACAATTATAATGAATGTCACGTGTGCATACTACAATTATTTGTTTCTAGAATCTTGAAATTGAATAACGTCAAGAATTGTGTTAATTTCCTCTTCCTTTTCCTGCATCCTTAGGAATCGTTGGCGACTGGAAGACAAAGTTCACCGTCGCACAAAGTGAGACCTTCGACAAAATCTTTCGAGAGAAAATGGCTGGATCAGGGCTGGAGATACAATTTGAGTAAAAAAAAACTTTCACCAAGGGAATTTTTTAAAAAGCACTCTCGATTTCGGTCAGCTGCACGATAAAAATCCTTTTTTTGATTTAAGAAATAAATTTGGTATGTATACGTTAAACAAATTCATCTGAGTTTTTTCTGAGGTAGAGCTTTGTTTGTACAAAGATGCACATTGTATATGGGTGACCAGCAAATAACATTTATATGAATACATTTTACAACCGTAACCTTTACATTTATTTTAGTGTTTGCATTCCATAAAAAGACGCCCTAAACGGTCAATGAGGTATGCAAAAATATGAATTGGATATTTTATGGCAGTGATTTGGCGGCTTCAGCCATGTTCTTCAGCTTCTGTCTCATGATTTCTCGAGGCAAGAATCCCAACCCGCAGTCTGGCGCCACCCCAAGTCGATCGCTCGGGATGTAGTTGAGGGCGCTCTTCAGCCTGTCCCGTATCTCGGTGACCGGTTCCACTTTGCTGCTTGCGATCGTGACGGAGCCCAGAATGACCTTTGACCTTTTGAAGTGGGCCAATAGGGAAAGGTCGTTTCTTCGGTGAGTGTCTTCGATAGAAACTGTGTGCAATATGAAAAAAATTCCATGTGTACAAGCATATTACATTCACTGTGTTGACTTCCAAACAAAAGATGTCCACATAAACCAGTTTTCACCTACTTTGTGTGGACTTGCCCACGTCCACACAATGTTTTCCCCTCCCTGGAAAACAGGTTTAGGTGCATTTTGGGCTTAGGTTTATCAGTCGCAAAATGAAGAGAAATGCTCAAGGAAATCGTAGCAAAAAAATGGGTTGAAAGAGTTTTCACAGTGTGAGTATAAAATTAGGGTTTTTTTTACAGCTTTTTACGAAAACAAGGGAATGTCCACACTAGGTATGAATTAACGTAAACATGATGCGATTTTCAGAGGCAAAAGAGTTCGAAAGAAGTACATGCACTGACGACCAATTCGAGTTGTACAGTATACGGTCAAGTCCATCACAATGCAAATCACCGTAAAGTTCATCAATTGACAAAGGAATCCTAATATTCAGCACCTTGTGACTTGACTTAAGACTGAATCATTTGCGATTCCCTCGGACTTGACTTGTGTGGACCGTATCAGCATCTTGTGATGATAATGACGAATCAAGTTTATTACGAAACAGAAACAACAAATCAAATTTACCAGAGTCTCCCTTCTTCCAAAATGGAATTGCCCCAAGAAACATTGGAGTGACTTAACTATTCGTGACCGGTCCACATTATGAACAAAGTTTTCTCCTCTATCGCCCAAATTATGTTCAATATACTTTTATCCGCGGTTTTCACAACCGTTCTTGCACACGCTCCGAAGGTCATTATTTTGAGGCCAGTATTAGATCATTTTTTTGTGGAGGTCATTTTGAGGTCATTATTTTGAGGTGGCCATACTATACACAGCGTAATGAACTTACTTTCATCAAACCCCGCCTGGTCGATTTTGTCTGCGATGTGAAAGTACCCTTGCGGATCAGCTTTGTGGTAATCTGTTTGGTCCTGGTAAAATAGAAGAACAAAACACTTACTGTGGTATATTTGAAAAGCCTGGTTCAAAACTAATTAGTCAATTAAAGGAAGTCAGAGGTCGGAACTTGGTCAAGCATTTAATCTTGAACAGGTGGTTAATAAGAGTGAAGACACACACAAACTTTCTGATATATGGTTATTTAAATCATAGAGAAATAAACTCCATTTAAAATAACGCGAGTGTGAACCGCATAGTCTGGTTGTTTTTGTTGCATATACGTCTGTTGGCATCATTTTGGAAGTGGTACCAGCTACAACACCGAAATTTCTGCCCCTTTTGTAAGTGTTCAATTACAAATAAGTAACTTCTTGATGTCCTGGAGTACAAAAACGGATGCAATAGCAGGGTTCGACCTTATTTTTTTTTCACTAGCCAGCCGGGCTACTGAAACGGACTTAACTAGCCCGTGGGCATTTTCACTGGTCCGCATGTTTTTCGTTGGTAAAGGGTCTAATAAACAGCAATGTGCATACATGTAAAACGTGTATCCTGTGGCAATCTTGTCAGTGTTTTTAAAAAATAGATCTAAAAACTGAACCCACATAAAATTAGACACATATTGATACAGGTTAGCTTTCTGAATTTAATGATTTATTTCTTCCTGTCCTTTCATCTTCGCAGTGGCCCAATCATTTTGGACTCGCAAAACGGGCTACTTAAGCCTAGGAACAGTTTGAAAGGAGAGGAAAATGAGAAGGAAATGACATACTAGATAGTTAGGATAGCCACAACATAGATGGATCGTCTTGGTAACCTCGTTCCCTAAGCCTTCGATGCATCGGGAGGCGTGATCGATCCCAAAGTCAAGACACCTCTCAACCTCACGCACGAACAAGGGTTCGTCAAGTTGAATATGTCTGCATCCTGCGATGACAATGTCCAACAACAAAAAATGAAATGGGTGATTTCATTTTGACAGTTCATTCGGCTTACTCTTATAGAATATGGCACAGTATGCATGCGGTAGTATTTGTCCTGTTTAAAACTGGAGAACTAAGAACGTAATAGAGCCTGTAAGCCTTGCCAGTTATGTAGACGTCTTGGTATCAAACACTGACTAGTTTAGTCGCAGACCCCCCCCCCCCCCACGTTTCAAATTTACCCAATTGTCACAGTATCTGCTTGGTCGATCGAACGAAGTCGAGGTCAACCATTTTGATTTTATAATAGTAATCAATTCGCAATTGTTGTAAACGGCAATGCTTTCTTTGCTTTCGAAATACCTATTAACTGCCTTTCATATAGGATGGGCCCAGTCAGGACACAAAATAAATGCAAAGTTGGAGATCCTTTACAATGGTGCCTCATGTGCTGTATTCTCGCAAAATCTCGCAGGATTTTGAGGTAAACTTGAAGATCACTTCAGATCACGAGGATAACATTAATACGTATAGGCCTATCACATAGTGACATCTGCAAAAAGCCAGCTACTAAAGGTTAGACAAGTAATTGCTTTAATTTGAGACTGGTAGTGAAGAAAAAACTTCAGATACAAGGTCCAACCTTGATAGCAAGTGGCAGGGGGTTTCAGTAATCACTGTACGTTTTAGAAAATTAATTGCAATTGCAGTTCTCACCAGCTTCGACAAGGCCAGTGAAAATCTTGTTAATGACAACGACGAGGTCGCGGCTGAGCTGTTTTTCGTCTGAGTAGAACTTGTCTATGAAAATGAGAATGTACACTGTAATTAACTCATGACAAAATATCACATCTAAACATGTATATTCGTGTTTGTTTTGATATTTTGGAGTAACTGGAGAATGAAGTTAATGAGGCTTACTTTTTGTCGAGTCCATGATTGTAAGCGGTCCAGGTATAGTCGCCTTCACTGGCATAGACGAATTCGCCTGAAACGTAATTCGTTAATTGAATTAAATTGAATTGAATTGGACGGTTTATTATTTACAAGTCGGGACCCAAGGGCCGAGTTGTCACATTTACAATTTGGCAATAATGTATGGGGTTTTTGCCGCTTGTATTTCACCTTGTTCCATTTTATATACATTGTGGAATAAATGTCTTCTTAAAAGTAACATTGAAGTCATTGGACTTTATCAATTTACTTTATATGGATTAATCTGCTATTTAAATCACTTATAGATAGATAGTTGGTTTTAGAGTCCAACAAACTCTTGTCGTCATTCTAATTCTTTCATATTCGAAGCTTGAAATCTTGTTGGAACAGAACCTAATTGTCGATCACCAATACCTGGGCAAAGGTCCATTGCTTTATGATCGCATCGCATGCACGTCCTGCACCTGAATATTGGAACATTTAAAATACAATTTCTCATTATATCAGTTTCAGTATCAGTATATAAACATTTAGTACAATCTTATACAAACATTATGGACAGATATGCACTTGCCAGTGTATATACATAGATCTTGAATACTGGTCAGCAAATTTAAGACAACATTTAGGTATAAGGTGAAGCGAGTTGCTTTTGTACCCTAACCTATTGACAGACAGGACTTAGTGAGTTAGTGTACATGGTCGAAAAAACAGTGACATTAGGCCTACATGACAAAGGATAATCGGACACACAAGACACAACCAAGAAAACATAAACTGGTGTGAGACGAGAGCATAAAACTACTAAATTTTAACTACTTTTACCAATATGAGTGGAGAAGATGAGTTCTCAGGTTTTTAACAAATATAGTGAAGGACGGTGGTGATTTTAAGGAGTTATCTAAGCTGATACCAGTATAACATGCCACGTTGAATAACGCCATTTTTGGACAACGTCGTTCTGTTGAAATTGGACATATAGAAATTGTTCCTATACGAGTGCTTCGGGTATTAGACAAATGAATATCAGAGGTTAATGTAGAAGAAGAAGAGTCAAAACAAGAAGGTAATGCATTATTTATAAACCTACATATAAGTGTGCCTAGATTAAAATAGTATAGGTCATTGAATTGTAAGAGACTCAAATTCGCAAATAAAGGAAAGGAATGATCACGATAACCATCATTTGCTATTAATCGGACAGCTTGTTTCTGTAACATGAGCAGTTTGTTTCATTTGGACGGTGAACCACCCCAAGTCGAAATTGAGTAATATAAATATGGCAAAACAAAATAATTACGCAAGGTATAATAAGCCTACTGGGGAGGTAATATCTTGAACGTTCATTATGGCGACATTTTTTGATATATCGTCAATATGGTTTTTCCAGGTGAGACTCTCGCCAGTAGTTATGCCCAAGAATGTAGTGTATCTAACTTGACTTAGACTTGAGTCATTTAAAACTAAAGGAACAAGTTGAGTGTATTTATACTGATGGGCACAACAAAACAAATCATATCCTTCGATTTCAACAAGTTAATAAATAGTTCGTTAGCTAAGAGCCATGAACTTATTATTTTAAGTTCAACATTAAGTTTTCTAATAGCAGTATCAACAGAGTATATAATAAACTTGTATCGTCGGCAAAATAAACAAAATAAAATAATAAATCATATCTATAAGCCAGTTCGGTATTCCACTGCGTTTGCACAAATCCTGATTTTGATAACATTCTCTATAGAAAGAGCGACCCATCATAAGCGTGCCATATCAATAAGGGTACCGAAACTGAAGAAAAGTTGTCGCTTATTTCTAGTATTACATGTAATAAGTATCAAATTAATATTTGTTTCGAAAATAACCAGGGTGTTCATAAGCCACCGCTTGCAATAATTTTTGCAAGGGTCTTTTGGATAACAAAAAATTAATTAGTACCCAACTGGAATATTTGAAAGGTGAGTAATTTGATTTAAATGGGGCCACCCATGGTTTGCCAACCACATAGTTGGCAAAAACTACGAAGTAGAAAAAAGGTCATATCAAAGTCCTTATGCCCCTTTTATCGCGGGAGGGATGTCGATGAACGTTTGAACTCCCTAAGCTATTTTTGTTGCTCATCTGATAACTGTGTACTTCAGTGATCAGTTGATCTAGAAGTTGTAATTTTTGTAGGCATACTATTCATAGACATCTTAAATACTTTCAAAATGTATACTTGAGCCTATAAATTATCGATCTACGTACCTATTTGTCCGACGACTTGTGGAAGCACACTGGTACAGGCACCATCGCGATAGGTACACACTTCTAAATTCTCGAAACTGAATCCCTTCATGTTTCGGCTGAACAAGTAAAGGGAACTAAAATGTTAGTGGTGATTTCTACATTAGGAATGGGCCAATAATAAAGATCACTTCGCTCGATAAAACGAGGAAAATGATGGTTATTGTGAGTTTGACACAGTGGCGGTTCTACGGAGGGGGGGGGGGGGGGGGGGGGGCTAGGGGCGGCTTTAATCCCCCCCCCAAAAAAAAAAATGTCTAAGCCCCCCCCCAAAAAAAATTCCTAAAAAAAATTGCACTAGCAAAATGTAAGACTGTGACGTACATGCGAACGCTCACCCCCTAAATATATAGTCGTGAGAAGGGTGCATTTGAACACTTTTAGTTAATATAGTGTGCCCGATTGTAGGATTTTATCGGCGCTCCCCATTGAATATATGGCGCAACCCCCCCCCCCCCCCCCCCCCCCAATTGATTTTCAGAGGCCTAAGTGTCCGGAGAAAATAACAGGTCGACATTTCAGCACGCCTCCCTGAAAAAAATTCTGGATCCACCCTGCTAGCCCCCCCCCCCCCCAATATTGGCTCTAGAACCACGCCTGGTTTGACACAACCAAAAATCCCTGATTGTTTGTGTTCCTTCGTTTAAACTTTCGCCAGTAACACTGTAAATTGATTGACTTGTTATTTTGTCGCCGCCTCTTACAAACTTAGCATTACCAGCACCCTTCAATTATTGCAGAACACCAGCGTCACCTTGAGACAATAATAGGCATTATTTCCAACAATTCCCAACAATAGAGCCTAAAATTCAACCCTAATAGCGCGCTTCCGGAACCTTAAAGCTATAGTCCATCATTTGCAGCAATCCGAAAAGTAACTGGCGTAATTATTGTTGAAAAAGCATTTGCACGACGCACACGCAACCGCGGTTGCTATAATTCGTGACATCGCGTATAGCTGCAATCGGCTCAGTGAGAACGTGTCTCGGACGCTGAATTCAGGCCCAATTCAAAACATGATTCAGCAACTTTTGATTTGAAATTGAGATGCTGTTTTTCTCGGAATATACAGCTGAAGCTGAGCTAAAACTTCATCAGGTTAATTGTACAGTATCCTTCATTAGATTTTGAACACTTTTGTTGCTTCAAACGAACAAAATGCACAAATTACAAATGATTGCCTATATATTTAAATAAGAAAATTAATTTGCAATGTATTTTGGGGACACTGATTTCTTAAGAAAATCATCCCCCAAAAAGGGCCTTTGTTAAATTGTCACTGGCATATCAATTGATGGAAAATAAAAAATTGCCTGACGCGAAAAAGAAATACCGTGCCAAGAATTGACCTCTCACTTCCGAAACTTTGAAGTACGTACATACTAGTGCAACTAGGTGTACTCGTAACATTTTGCGGTCATTTGGTGGAAACGTATATGTTAAACACATGTAGAAGACCAAAATAAGAACTCAGCAGCAATCTGAAGTGACCGCCGGTTAGGACTGCAGTCACGCCAGCCCCACTAAATCTAGAACCCATCGGCTGTAGGTATATAGTTAAATCTTCGGGTCGTTATACATTCTCGTTCTCATGCAAGTACACGATGATGTGAAAACAAACAAGGAGACCTATCATTAACGCATACGCCGTGTGTGAAAGGTTGTAGTGAAATTCGTTTTTATCTGTCTTCAAAGGATTTTTCATCATTTTTTTTAAAAGAATGTCAAGATAAAATTCCAACATGAATGTTTCTCAGGATGGTTACGGTTAGAAAGCATCCTGCCAAAACTTATAGCAGAAAAAGGGCAGTACAATGCCCATAGGCGGGCTCTATTCCCGTACGGAGCAAATATTCGGGTCTTATTTGAGGAAACTAATATTTTGTCTCCCGGTCTTACCACAAATACCAGACGTAACTCTCCCTGTCCAGCTCGCCATCTGTGACGACATCAATACCAAGCTCGGCCTGTTCACTAAGAACCTCCTTCACTGCTCTCTCGAACTGGTCGGAGAACTCTGTGTAATCATTGTTCAAAAGCTTTGTGGTTAATGGATCTCTTTACTAATAAATTCATAATTTGACTCGAAATCTCGCCAGAGATTCCGTGAGATCACGCCACGCGCATGCGCAGTCATTACGCAACAGCGCGTGTTAGAGGTAAATAAATTTCTATCAAACGATAGAAATCACTCCGATTTTATCATTTTATTAGTCTCTCTCCGGAAGATTGTGATCCGTGGCAACCACGGAGCAAAACAATGAAAAAGTAAACGCCAAAAAGAAGCCAAGTAAAGCAGTGGTGTGCTCACCGACTGCTTGTGCAACAACACCGTGCAGTAGGACAGACACGAGTACAACTTCTACTAGGCGATGATACAATTAAACTCCTTATCAAACTATCTTTGGAGGAACGATTAAGTGTTGATGATTGAGGAAATATATAAAGCTTAACATCAAGAAGGGTGTCACTGAACCACGTGCTTGCAAAGTACAATCACTTCAAGCCATTTTCTGTAAAACTTACCCGGTGTCGCTTTCTTTTCACTGAGGAACTTTCCATGTCTAGACAACATGTCAGTGTGATCGTTGGTCTCAAACCAGCTGGGTACAGCAAGGTAGTCTGGTTTCGGATAACTACCGATTACAGTGGTTTTCAGCGGCATGATGGACAATATGGCGGATCGTGGGCAACCTGGCAGAAAATGCAGAAATACAATAATTTGCTATATGCGATATGCACTAAACTCAGCGTGGGCTAAAATCTTGATAAAATAAATGGTTTCACAGCTGTAGCAGCCTCCATGGGCGCGTGCGCGTTCCAGCACTAACCCCTGGCCGTGATGTACACGTAAACGATGCTGACTGGCTATTCAGAGCGTACTGCGCGCGCATTTCGAAGATTGCACGCAGGGCGCGCCCATAATGCGCTCGCGTGCTCTGCATGCCACGTCATGTACGAAAATTATTAACAATTTTAAGACCACTTAGAGTCTGGGTGCTGATACATCAGTCCCGAGTGAAACATCAGTCCCGATTTCCATTTTCTCGACAAAGAATTTCATAGTGCAAGCAGTACTAATAAGGGAATAAATGTGTGGAAATCGGGACTGATGTTTCACTTGATATTCACTATGGAAAGTTACTTACCTGCATGGTTAATAACCTTTATTTAAAAAAAAATGAATATTCTCCCCCCCCCCCCCGTTTTCTGGGCGTTTGCAACCGTCTGCCTGGCATCCAATAATATAATTTTGTGAAGAAATACAACAACTGAACGTCGGTGGATATTTTTTTTGTCAATGTGTCTTTCAAAAGTGAATGGAAAGATCCCATATCCGGCCATCACTTTTCACCCTGTGCACAAAACGTATTAGATTGGTCTGAAAATTTCCAAGTGCTTTCTCAGTAAATACAATAATATTTTATCTGCTAAATTTGACTTTTCAGGTCATACCCGTATTATCACTGGTGATGGCTGATCACTGCAGAACACTGAAGGGATAAATTAGTGATGGCCAGATATGGGAATCTTTCCTAGTGAATAGCTTTTATATTGCTAGAAAAATAGCATTGAAAAATATATATTACTTTCCGAGGTGAAACTCAAAAATAGCAGGGGGAATGCATATTTAAATCACCATTTTGTGTGATAGTTTCAGGATGATCCTATGTACAACGCTAGGAAACTTACAATAGCAAAACTGGCACTTTTTTCAGATACGAAAAGGTTTACAATATATTCAATATTGAAGTAGAACAGTACGAGGTATAGAGGTACGAGGTATAGACCTATAATGCACCAAATGATGAACTTGAAGATGAATGAGTAAGGTGTTCAGTTCGCCCCTGTGTTTCTGGCACAGTGGCAGTGGCTGTTATTATGCGCTGCAGCACCTTGCAAACCCTTATGGTGCTACATAATGGGTCTCGTACTACGGCGAATTTGCTTTTGCCGTGGCGAATTTGCTTTTGCCGTGACAGTTGTGGGCCACCGTACATATCTCTCATGCACTTCATTCAGTCTAATAATAGACACAACTCCCAGCCCCGAGTACCCATACTCCGTTGCGTAAATGCCTGAATAGGTTTTCCGCAACGTAGCCATACAGATACAGATACATAGTAACATAATGACAACTCACGTTTGTTTCCGTCTACTCACACTGAAGCACATGCATGTGCTATTATGCACACCCCCTCAAAATGACTGTCGAGTGTAAACTGATGTCACAGGTCAATGTGGGTACCTAGCCGCTGATCTATTATCCATGTTATACTGACATTATGATAGAGATCAATATAGCAGACATTGTGTACCACCGATAGCATATGGTCGGGTACGCTTCCACCACCGTACAATCTCGATGGTATTGTGGTGTTGGGGACACGATCGAAATATCGTGAAGTGACCGCATGGTGGCGATGTTTAAACGAGGAAGAAAATTGCACTGAGGCAATAAAAAAGACAGTTGTATTTAATCTGTTGACATGTTGGTTAAGGTCTCTTCAGTTTCAACAAAATATGCGTAAGTATAGTGAAGAAAAGAAGCACGTGCATCTTCCTCACGCAACGAACAGAAACCTGTTGCATAATAGGTTGCTCTATTTCAACACAGGGATTCAAAAGAAAAAAAAGACAAGACAAGAAAAACAAGATAAAACAAAAGGTAACCCTGATCATTATCCCCGACGGTGACTATTCAGCCGATTTCTTTCGCGAGTTACCCATTACCAGTATAGCGTAGCAAGGTTATTATTAGTGCTGTGTACCTTTCAGCATGGATGAGGCGATTGCCATTTTCATACCCCCCCCCCCCCCCCCCCTGTTGGACTTGAAAATGGCACTCGCCTGGTCCGTGCTGAAAGGGAGACAGGGTTTTTTTCACGAGGCCTCCGTAATATCAAAAAGCGGGGTTTGGGGGGGGGGGGAGAGGGGGGGGGGGACACCATCTTCATTTGAGGGCGCTGTCCAGGACAGACGATCATGGGCACTATCGGACAATGGGCGGCCCTTTTATGGCTGCCCTTTTCAATTACAGACGTTCGCGCGACGTTCCAAACAGAGCACTCGTTAAAAAAAAGGCACTCGTAAAAAAGGGCACTTGTGAGAAAAAGGGGAATTATTACAAAATATCGAGTGGGGAGTGCGTGACGATGGATGATACATTTGTCTACGTCCTTACGTCTGCCATGAGCTTTGTGTTCGTTGAGTCTCTGGAAGGGAGATCCCGACATTTATTCATTAGATCGGCGGGCGGAATTTTTGGCCTTTTTAGTAGGGTGCACCCCTATCCAATTATGGGGAGCTGGTGACTTTTAACTTCTTTGGGTTCTCATTCGTTAGATTAAGTTTGCTTAATTAGTGATTCGGGGTAAACCCCTTTAATTAGGGAAGGATCACAAACCATATACTTATTGGACTGGCTGCTACATGCTGATTGAAAAAAAAATATGCTACATTAATACTTCTGTTTAAAATATCTGCCTCGTATTAAAAAGGTTTTATTTTATTGCCTCATATGTATAAGTTAAAAAAAAAGTCTAGGATAGATTTAAGAATTCATTAACTGATCAAGGCTAATGGCTACTGTGTACAAATAATAAATCAAAACACTTCATAAATGAATTACTCTTTGGTTGCTGTTAAAATTACAGAAACAATTATTATTTACATCATGTTGAGACAGTAGGCCTACTTGAATTGCCATTGTAATGTTTTTTTTATATTTGAGTATCGTAACGATGATTCGAAAGGACAGTTCAGAACATCAAGCAGATGTACACATATCCATGAATACAACAATGAACGACAATATGTCCCCCCCCCCCCAAAAAAGTGGAGGCCTGACTATTTTTGAAATAACTACAAAACCATGTGGTTGAAAATATGAGGTTGTGCACAGCTTACATAACAACAAAGCACTGAAATTGATTAAGGCAAGGAACTTGGTCACTGCGTCCAAAATTGTTGTTGTGATCACAAACTGGCAATTGTGCAGTGTGGCGTGACTGAAATTAAATCAAACTCACATGGGTTGTGACCAAGGAGTATCTGCACGGCCAACACTTTTCAAAATTGACCTCGCAGTTTTGTAGTTATGTTAAAAACAGTCAGACAGACACTAATTTGGGACATACTGTAAAGGGACGCCGCTGTTTTTGTTGAAACAGTGTGGCAATTATTTCCAACTATATAGCCACCATGATGGCCAAAACGTTGGTGTCCCACAAGTCTACAGATCACGTGGTTGATTTCGCTGACCCAGTAGAGTTCATACATCAAGGACGCATGCATGACAGCAACAATTTTGAGGGTTTAGGCCTACATGACAACACGCGTGGCGGAAAATCACGCAGAAGTCGAGTTATTCAAGTTTACAATCAACAGTAATTATTGAGCGTTGCACAAGCAGTTTTTACGTCGATGAAGTATTCTGCTTTTAGTGGTATGTGTACACGTGTTATTTTTTGAGAAACTTTACTCACTGATTGAAAATTATTGGGATGACATCACAAGAATAGCGAACTTCCCACAGATACTCGTTTTTTTTTTTAGGTAAAACAAAACACTTTAACCTGGATGACTGTTCACTTTACAGCTACATGTAATACTACCAGATATGAGACTCGCATACCAACTCATAATTCACCTACTGGTATGATGATTGATGAACATATTTGGAACATTTCCCATCAATTTGTCCTGAACTGTCCGCGAAATTAAAAATTGCTTTCCCGGTTCGTCCAGTGTTTCTCCATGTTTGCAAGTACATTTTACAAATGCAACCTGCAGTAACAGTAAACTTAAAGCCACTTGCATGCTTTTTAGGACATTTGAAATCATAATTTGGACAAAGCGTGAACATTAAATAATTATTATCTAAAGATGCCGTTTGCTTAAGTAATTATTTGAGCATACGTGGCTTTTGACAACTGGAAATATTGAAAACCATATCTTGCATATTAACATCAGCAGCAAGTACAAAGAAAAATGTTTCTGCAAAAGCAATCAAACAGCTGGAATGTTTATGTCAATTCTGAAGATCACGTTATCTTTGGCATGCGCTTATGAACAGTTTCCAATGGGACTGATGCGTCGGAGATGCGACAGACACCAATGTACATTGTGAATAGCGCCCTCAGCTCAGGCGTGTACTGTCGTCTCATCATCGCGCGGGAAGGCACCTCCAAAACGAACTGACCGTTGAACAAGCTATATGAACTGCATTTGGATCATCAGAACGTGAACGAGGTGTCAATCGTATGGTTTTCAAACAGTAATGCGTTCGTGCGGAATCGAGCAGTTCATCTGATCCAACTATGGAGATACCCTCTGGAAACCTTCATTGGACGGAAAGAAACTGGTACGCCGTCGTCGTGGGTCCCCGTAACCTCTTTTGTCCTGCCTTGTTCTTTTTATGAAATTATACCTTATACTTCACGATCAAGAGATGTGTGCTGCTGTTATGTTCACAATAAAAAGGTAAGAATGTCAGAATTCACGATGAAAACATTACGTTGGCCTATGTTGCAACACAAAACCGTATAAGAATCACAAAACATAATTTATGCACCATTTTGTATGAAAGGCTGTCGGTTTACAATCATGTTAAACCCGATTCGTATCAGATTTTTCCAAACCAGAACATTTTGTGGTCAGCGAACATTTTGTGTTCAGAGTATAAGAGGGGAAACTTACGGTTTTTGAAATTTTCTATCGGTTGTTCAAGCCGAATGATACTGCTTGAGACTATTCTTTCATTCCATACAACAATGGTCGTCAATGGTGTGCGAATCACTGATTGGCAATCTAAGAAAGGTCTAGATATCTGTTAGTACTACACTTTCTTCGGGAGGAATCTCTATAGAATATCTTTGTTCTACAATTTCTTTTTACATTTTTGATTGTCTGTGATCAAAATGTTAAAACATAGACAGCTGCAAATTTGAAGTCTCTAAATATAATCACTAGAAGTAAGTGTCAGTGAGTGAGTACCCAGGTGATTGGTCATCACCGGACAAAGAGGGCGGCGCTACCGCAGCTGAGCTGTCAGCTGGAGGGGTAGCAGGGACCGAGGACGACGGCTCCTACCGTCACGAGTTTGACTCTCGCGAATCCGACCGATCGACTTGGAAATCCCACCGAACCTGAAAGTTACCATCCCCTCCCTCGGGTTGCCCAAGGTGAAATTCTCCGTGGCCACAAAATCTATCATCTCGGTGACGTCATTAAAACTGACGGATTTCCTCTTCTGGCTGAGGGGTCTGTTCATGAAGTCCATCTCGTAATCCGTGGTGGAGGCGCCTTGCAGGATGTCCGGCATACCGCCGATGTGGACCCCTCCGTCTATGAACCGCGGCTGGTGATCCGTGGACTCCGCGTCCGAGAGTGAGGTGGTTCGGGAGCGTTGCCGCCCACCCTCCATGCTCTCTGCCTCGCTGCCGCTGATGCTGATGTTGGCCAAGTCGATCAGGACTCCCGCACGGATTGATGTGAGTCGCCGTGCGCAGCTGTCCATCTGGGCCCGATTCTGGGAGCCAGTCTCAATGTTTCCCATCAATTTATCTGTGTGTCTAAATCAAGATAGGAGGATGACAATCATTCATCAAGTTGTTTTACTCGTACTAATTGATGCCATAGTCAGATTTGACAAGGAAACTGCACCTGGCTCACTATAGCTGTATTCAGTTCGTTAATGTGACGTCACTTCACATGCACATTAAGTAGCATTGAGAAGCTAACGCAACTTGAGTGTTTAGCCAATGAGCGCTAGAAATCAGTGGTGCGCGCGCGTGTATGACGAAGTCACTAACAAACTGCATAGTTAGCCTGTGCAAGTATGACTGTTTGACAAATTTAAACATGTTTTTCCAGGACTGAAAAGTAACATGAATGATGACTCAGATCAGCCGGCTGGACCCAGCATGAGCTGGATGATCAAAGTGGATGAAATATCTACACTGGTAAACAGAAGGTCATTAGATTGAGCTCAAAGCGTGCTTTAGCTGATAAATAGATATCGTTTTCAGTGCAAAATATCGGTACAAGGAAATACCTTCTATAATACTTTAAAACTAAGTAATGTTTTTACCTCCATCGCTGCTTCCGCCTCCTGTATCTCACCAACCAGGTCGAGAAGATGATGATTAAGACGAAGCAAACAGACCCAATGGATCCCCATACAGCGGCTATGTTTATTTAAGAGTAGACATAAGGTCTTACTCAGCCTAAGACATACCTCACGATATGCCAAACGTTACAATCTATTGACGCGGAATGAAAGAGATTTACACCGTTAATAGAAAGACATGCCAAATTGAGGAAGGCGACCGATTTGAGATTCAGTCTTTGTCTTTCTCGGCAAGAATTTGACAAGAATTTGTTAGTATTTAGAAAGGAAAGCGGTCCGAGTGAAAAACAGCACTTAGAAAACTAGGGTGCATTTGCTAGGGAATTTAGGAGAAAAATATATGGGCAAAAATGCTGTTTAAGTTTCTTCTTTTTTGTTTCTGGTTTTTAATGTCCTATAAATATTGTTCCTTACATCATCAGGAAATATTAATGGACAGTGTTACAATTTACAAAGGTGTAAATGCAGTTAAAAACAGGCCTCCTAGGCCCTAATTAAAATCAAAGTATTCATCTATATTTATCTTTCACTTGCAGAGTTCTGTGATGTGATGTGCCACAAAGCCGTATCGTTATACAGATGACGATTATCTGAGCACGGACCATGTATGCTGAGGAAAGATCTGGTACCGGCATTAACAGCCTTTTGACGGTGTACATCAAGTACGAACTAGGGTCTATTAAGTGCAAGCACGGACCATAGTCATTACGGAGTGTCACTTTTTTGGAAGAGCGAACAACTCTTGGAATAGACTTGGGGCAAGTGACTCTTTTTCTTGGAAGGACATCCTTTAAAAAATCGCGGAGTCGCTGTGTCCGGATTTAACACTAGCCCTTTTGTAATATAGAAGGAACTGTAGGAATCAAAAGTTTGAGCTTCTTCTTTGAAAGGATTTCTATTGCGGCGTAACCCTGATTTGATTACTTAAGAGTAGACCTAAGGTCTTACTCAGCCTAAGACATACCTCACGATATGCCAAACGTTACAATCTATTGACGCGGAATGAAAGAAATTTAAACCGTTAAAAGAAAGACATGCCAAATTGAGGAAGGCGACCGATTTGAGATTCAGTCTTTGTCTTTCTCGGCAAGAATTTGACAAGAATTTGTTAGTATTTAGAAAGGAAAGCGGTCCGAGTACTGTCCGTGAGTTCCAGGTTGGCGCCTTCGTACAGGTTCAGGGCATGTGGTCCACTCGAAGGATCAGGGCTTAGGGTGCCGCCTTGTTCCTCCCTTAGCTCTTTGCTTTTACATGGTGCCTGGCCCTCCGGGGTTACATGGATGGACAGGGAAGGAAGTGTGTATTGGCTGGGACACCCGAGATCCCAGAAGAATCCTAAGGGATTGTGATGGGGCATCGTTATGGCTCATCCGATCCCTGAATGCTTCAACCTCGTCCCCATGGTGTCGAGCAGTACGCGCCCACCACTACCTGCTCTCTCACCCTGGTATTGGATCATTTGCATGTGCAAGATTTTTGAACACGTATGCAAATTAGGAGTAGTCTGGTACCTGCCTGCGCGTTACATTTGCGTTTGTTTTTGTATGCGGTGTCTGGGGTAAAACAGAATCATTTCGTCGCAGCGCGAGCATGGCGTGAGTTACGAAAACATGATTTTATTTTAATTAAACTGTTACGATCTTAACGAGACAACATGCAGTATCACATTTCATATTAATATTAACAAACTGGAAAGGAAATGAATATTTTCGAGAAGGCGTGGACGAATGATCGCGAAAACACGTACTGCACGTTGTGAATAACAACACCCAGTACACGATATAAATCCATTTCTAGCCAATTTCGGTATCGAATCAGGATGCAGGAAGGAAGTTTCCTATCCAGGGTTTACTATTGGAAACAACGTTGGAAATTGTGAATGTTTGGCTAGCACATGACTTTTTTGATTTTTTTGTATCCTCTATTTTTCTCAACTTTGGTTTAGTTTGATATTTACATCTGCTCGGCAGTCCTACGGTAGCATTAAAAACAAAACAAAGGTCTGTGTAATAAATCCATGAGTTTTTAATAATTGACTATAATCAAAACGAAGTTTCGTTCGATCAATATGACTATACCACGACCATACCATATACCAAAAAAATGTACATTGTAATATGTATATTACATCTTTAAAATAATGTTTCTTTAATAATGTGAACATTCCCCCCCCCAAAAAAAAAAAAAAAAATATAGTAATTCGTTAAATAGGATAACGCAAGAAAACAGGAACACCCATCCATGGCATTCAGGGTAAATGTGTTATTAGGATTTTTTAGCAGATTGTATAACTTTATAAGAAACAATCTCCGAAATCAATACGGATTCCAAATGCAGTAGATTGTTAGTACTATCGCGATGGGGTTTGGGTCCCCACTGCACACGGAGAATAAGGCAAAAATTAAAAAAAAAAAAAACATGTTTAGCGTCCCCACCCGCTTGCTTTTTGGAGGCCGGTGTGGACGGTAATTTTGTCCCCCGTTAAAAGTGTCCGGGGGGACAGAATTACCTAGGTAAAAGTGTCCTCCCGAGCCCGTTAATTTTGTCCCCCTTCAGGTAATTCTGTCCCCTCCAGGTTTTTTTGTCCCCCTAGTTTTGCAACGCAGAAGGCCATTTCTCTATATTGTTTTGATGAATTCACTCTACAAGGTATACATTTTTTTTTACTCCTTAGTCTGCCCTTCATGAAGATGAAAAAAAATAACTTTTTGGTCTCTTTCTTAGATGTGAAATGTGAACACAATGTTTCGATCGATTCGGAGTACGGTGCAGCCCTATCTACGGCGGACGCCTCCTTGATATAACGCCTACTTGGATTGGTCTGCGTTCCCATCGTAGCGCGTAACGAAATTTCCTATTGGATGAATTTCCTTTGTGTAGCAGGATACATTATGTACACATGCGATAAACGCTGCCACAAATCTTGCAGCATGTACTTGCGGCGATGCGCGCTCACGAACACGACTCGTATCATCGCATGGGTGATACTTGCAGCACGGGGACACATTTACCATGGGGGACACTTTCAACGTTGGGCAGGGGGACATATTTACCAGGGAGGGGGACAGATCTACCTAGGTAAATGTGTCCCCCGGACAGATTTACCGGGTTACGAGCCGGTTAATTTGTCCGGGGGGGGGGGACACATTTACCAGGGGGGACAGAATTACCTGCCACACCGGCACTCGTTCTCGGGCAGCAAAGTACTAGTAGTACTCGACATGTCGAATTTGTACTCGATCATCAAAGTACTTGTACTCGAATCGGTTGAATGGCTGGTTAACGGTTGCGGAGAAATTGGCGGCCAGCCGTGACTGGGTTTCTATCTAACTGGGTCTGGGCCGCCTACGTCCACAATGCCATTTGCCGTACTGTGGGCACAATGGCCAATGCCGAATTGTTCCTCAAAATGGTCTTACGATTAACTTGGGTGATTGGAGCAAGGCTGTTTTCCGTACCTCGGTTTCGCGGTCCCTTTGCACGTTGCATGTACCGTCACTGTTCACATTCGCTTGTCAAAAATGGACGGCCTGTGAAGAATTTGTGGCACTTTAGTATGCCCAAGTTGTAAATTGTTCGTGACGAAAAATCACAAAATATGTCGTCTGTATCCACTGTCGTGCAGTCTAAATAGCTTCAGACTTCACAACAAGTACTCGTACTCGGCAGACCTGTACTTGTGCTCGGAAATACTCGTACTCGTACTCATACTCGGCAACCTAAATACTCGGCAGTGCTCGGTACTCGGAAAAAAATACTCGACTACAACACTGATCAAAAGCTATTCAATGATGATTTCTGACAAAGACTCATAGGCTTATTAGTATGTTATTATTATTTATCCCCAGTGTCGGTTACTACACTTGATTCAGTGTATGTGACCGGACTACATTGGTTCAAATCATAAAACGAGTGGAGCAACGTCTGCAATAAAGCTCATCTATTATTCGAACGACCGTGACTGCGACAGCCACAAGTTGATCATCAAGTCGACAGTGTTGGACGTTGATTCGTTTCTTAAAACTTCAAACAACAGTTTTTCCAGAACCTATTTCACCAAATCTTTGCAACAAATTTGTTTGGAACATTTCTGAAAAGCTATTTTTAATAATAAAAGCACGTAAGGTCAAGAGAACTAGATGGGCCTTCGAAGGGGAATCCCCTTCTATTGGATGCTATTGTGAGTTCACAATAACTTTCAACAGCCTCTGTGTGTGGGTTTTTTTCCCTCACCTTAGCCCCCGGGACTATATTGCGAAACTTGTCGTCAAATTCGATCCTTCCGCATACCGCTCAATCATCCATCACAAATGAAGACAGAATCACAAAAAAACGGGAAAAGAAGAAAACAGTGCGTGTCAGTTGCTCAGTACAAAAGGGGTTTATTTGCATTATGGTACAATGCCAACAAATTAGCTGCCAGAGCTTGTTCATCCTGTACTCCAAACTGTTTGACAAAGTTGAAAATTCCATACAATTTCCTTTGATTTCCGCATTCTCAAATACCTCTCACCAGATTTCCTGTAATATGTTTATGCATCTGGCGTTCACGATGGGCCGCATGTTGCCCATTCAATATGGCACTGTATACGGGTAATCCTATACGATAGCACTGTACGGCTTACAATTTCTTGTCAGATTTTACACTGCAGATCAGACGGGGTCCTAAAAACACAGTCCGCGTCGTTACCATTTACAACCTAATCAGGGCTGAGCTGGGCCTTAAGGGAAGTTCAATACCAATTTACCAGCTTGTACTGGTTTGGAATTACAACAATAAACAAAATTGTTAGAGTTGACAAAGTGCCCTGCTAAGTCTTTGGCGCTCAATTTTCGCTGGAGCATGCAAACATATTATTATGGGACGTATTTTCTTTTCATCGGCTGGGGGCGATGATAGACGAGTCTTTATAGATCTATAAAAAGATATCATTTTTGTTAGCAACTGAAGCGTGAATTTCCGGGGCCTGTTTGAATGTTGGTAATTCCAGTTTCAGGATGGCTTTTGTTCACTTGATCAACACTTATTGATTCAATTTCATGTGACGTACCATTTATTTTCAACGGCCAAGTACAAGTACAAACAGCCAGGGTGCGGACTGTTTTATTTCCTGTTCGCGACGAAGACTGCACAGACGTTTTCTCTTCGAGTAGGCGTCTGTCCGGACTGCGCACGAACCATATCTAGTAGATTTGGAAGTAAGAAAGTTGCACTCTGATAAAAGTGACTGACGAAAAGTCTGTGAGATTGTTCGACGTCTGGTTTAGCTTGTTCGGCATCTAGAATGGATGCCGGAAAAAGAGTGAACACATACCTGTTGATGGTGTTCGCCTTTCTGTTGGTTTCATTTGCCAAGTTTCCAGTCAAAGCTCAAACTGAAGGTAAGCATCTCCTATGTCAACCCCCCCCCCCAAAAAAAAACCAGCCTTATGCAGACCCGTTTTACAAGGTTCTCAGTATTGACAGCTTTTGATATCCATGCCACATTTATTTGATAGATATGGCTTTATCGACATTTGTGATTTTTGCCGCTTAGTCTGGCGGGACAGAGAGGGATCATATATTTTACCCAGACGGTTTGAAGAACACGCACTATGTGAAAATATCTACGGGATTTTGCTTGGTAACATGAGAGTACATAATATAGGCAACCTTTTTTTTCAGGAGATGGAAGATTTTACATCTTTTTAAAGGGTGAAATTAGGCGAGAAATATGAGCACAACATGCTTTAATTTTGGGGGTCTGGGTCGGGTATTTGAACTTCTGGAAAATGATGGGGCCATTTTCAATAAAATTGATAACCAAACGTGTTTATACATTAGTGTTACCGTCGGCTTACATAAAGACATGTCATTGAGAAAATCTAAAGTTTGTTTCCGTATGAATGTCGCACTTTGTGCATCATCAGGAAAAAAAGATGAAAGAATGCGAAAAAAAATGATTAACTTTATCCCTTCTGGAAAAAACGTTCACAAAAATAGGCAAGCCTATGTGTCTCTGGCATTTGGTCTAAAAGGTATAATCATTTGGTTCCAATTTTTGGGCCAGGGGGCCGGCGAGGTTTCAGCAAGTCTTTAATTTCTAAGTGGGAATTCGCAAGTAACTTCGGTATTCCATCAAGATTTGCCGATTTTTCTTTCGGGATAAAACATTCTTCGTATTCATATACAAGCATAGCGGAGTACCAGCAAACTTGAAGAGGTTATCGTGTTCTGACGCATAAAATTTTACATAAAAACCTTTGGACAGCGAAAGGTTAATTTCGGGTGTCTTGTGTGTCAAAACTTTTGTGTGAACGAAAGTTTCACTCTTTTCGATTGCACGAAAAATTGCAAAGAATGCCGCCGATTTCGTTACCACGTCCTCCATAGCCTTGGTGCATTCTGCCGCGGTTATCCCGGAAAAAAAATCGTCGAATCTTGTCGTGCACCAGACTATTTTGGAATACCGAATTGGTTTTTTGTCATTTTAGTAGCTAAATATAAAAAGATGCAAATGTTTCTAAATTGAGTTAAAGGTATACGCTTTTTTATTGCCCAAATTAATGCATGTTTGAACACTTCAACCAACCATCCAAATGGTTTGGTTTTAAAACCGGGCTTTTGCAGTTGGAGTTTGAATCTTGTGTGTCTCATTTTGCTTTCGTTGTCGGTCTTTGTAATGCCTTTATAAGTGGGCTTCCACCTTTGTAAGCGAATTTTATATTGATCAAGATTGAACTTTCACTAGTGAGCACTACTTGTATAAGCATTATTGTTGAAGCTGTTAAATCTGTTCCAATTTTAGTTAAACTATGTCGCAATAGACTATATCGTTAAAGAGACCGGGCCATCGGGGAGTGTTTAAAATTGATTTCTTGGTCAATTTTCACTACTTAACTTCGTTTCAGTCTGAGGTATAAAGTTTTTTATTCCGATCGTGTCATTCGTGACAAATAGACGGAAGAAGTTTGAAACTAAGCATGTATTTCGACCAATAACTATTCAGTATACCGTGGTCGAGTAAACAATATTTTGCGTTACTTATTGAAGTTTGATTAATATGCTTTTTCGACACCCAAAAGTGCCCCGGCCGCGATTTTTTCCCCCCCAAACGACATAAGCAAATAGGGTGAACGCTATGAGGTTTTGGACTTTACTTCGCTAAAAACATGAAGAAAAAAAGAACAAAAGGACTTTATTTCCCTTTCAAAAAAATACTCCAAAGCCGCAAATTAGAAAAGAAATGAAAATGTGGTTTTGAACTCACACTCTCCGATTTCAAAACCATGGCATTATCCAGCTGAGCCATCGGAGTGCTCGACAGCAAGGCGTGATTCATGGCATTATATACCTGCGTGTACGTATAATAAAAGTAGAGTGCCTCAATAACTATCCATAACGATGTCGTTTGGGAAACATAATTCGCGCACCGGCCATTAAGGAAGAAGTCCATTCTAGACCTTTCACAATAACAGTTGGAACGAAAACTTCTGGCAAGGATCAGAAAACGATAATGAATACTTCGGTAAACACAGCACAATAACAAAATGGTGTTGGCCTATTATACACGAAATCGAAGGTTTCCGGAAAGCGTTCGGTACCAATGAAACTGGTCACGTCCCTGGAGCAGGAAATATTTTTATGTAAATGTTTCTGCTTGCGCGCCAGGCCAGCGCTGACGCCTACTCTGCTGACTTGCGCAACTAGCTCCAGATGGGCCTAATTAATTCTGGGCTTTCAAGTGTGAAGCTGGGCCATTGAAATTGTTTTCGACGAAACAGTTTAGTCGGATGGCGACATGATTGGTGACTACGAATTGGCGGCACTTATTACTAAAAATGCCCGTGCCTTCGTAGGTCTGTCATCCGATGAAAACATTTGCACACCTGATTGTTGTGTCATGGCAAAATATTGGATGCAATATGTCGTTTCAATGCAACGTGTTTTTTTTAAGGTTTTCCTTACATGTCTTTCACGGTTTCTGTCAACTTTCGAGATTCTTGTATCAAATATTACAAAATCATGGCACGACCTCCACTCACCAACATGAAATGACAACATTCAGTTAGCATTGCTCTGAGGAAAGGCGAAAAACCCAATAAAAACACCCATCCTTCTTGGAAAAAATTGGGAAAATTTCCTTCCGGCCCCTAAATAGGCGAAGTTTTCTTATGGACCGCGGAGCAGTTTATTCGTGAGGCATTATGAAGTTTGAAATGAGCTTTGATCATACCGCAAAGTACAATTGTAATTGAAAACACTCCCTTCAAAACAATGAACTATTGTTGAAGTAGCATGTTACTACCAAAGCATACATGCAAACTCAGTTAATCTAGTAATTTTAATTCGCTCTTTTCACACTCCGCCATTGGGCATGCAGAGCCTCGATCTGGCAACTTTACACAATAAAAATAGCCGGTTCAGTGATCTGAACCCCGACACGGGAATCACTGAACCGGCTGTATTTTATTGTGTAAAAAAACCAGATCGAGGCTCTGCATGCCCATGGCGAAAATGTGAAAAGAGCAACCTCGTCCCTAGTGCTTACTTTATTCCACCCACGCTTCCAATAGTAAACCCTGGATAGGAAACTTTCTTCCAGTATCCTGATTCGATACCGCAATTGGCTAGTAATGGATTTTTATCGTGTATTTGGTGTTATTATTCACAACGTGCAGTACGTGTTTTCGCAATCATTCGTCCACGCCTTCTCGAAAATACTAATTTCCTTTCCAATTTGTTCATATTAATTTGAAATGTGATACTGCATGTGTTGTCTCGATAAGATCGTCACAGTTTAATTAAATAAATCGTGTTTTCGTAACACACGCCCGTGCTCGCGCTGCGACGAATTGACTCTGTTTTACCCCAGACACCGATACAAAAACAAACGCTATTGTAACGCTCATCCAGGCACCTGTTCCTCATCGTCCTGCTCGACACCCTGGGGACGAGGTTGTGAAAAGAGCGCTACCACTTTTCTGTTTCTGTTTCTGTTTCTGTTTCTGTTCCATAAACGTACAAACACCTAAGGTTGTCGACGTACGTTGGTCAGGGTCGATCAGGTGCGCAGCAACTAAATTCTTGATTGGGTTTTGGAAGCCATGCAGGTCTTGAGTGTTGATGTTGTCCAGTGCCAGTTTGAAAGTCTTAATGTCAGGTGAAGAGCGGATGTTTGGGTGAAGTTGATTCCATTCTAGGATGGTCTTTGGGTACATTGAGTAACGAAAGCAGTCCTTATTTGTGGTGATGACTCTATATGAGAAAGGTCCAGTCTGTCTAGTAGAAACCCCCCTTGATGAGTTGACGATGTTCAGATAATCTTTCATATTACTCGGTGTAAGCCCATGGGTTTCTTTGTAGAGTGTGACTAATCGAACTTTGGTCCGTCGATCTTGAAGAGTGTCCCATTTGAGTTTATTCATCATTGCTGAGATGCTTGACTCCCTGCTGTAGTCTTGCATAACAAATCTAGCTGCTCTGTGTTGAATGCTTTCTAATTTCTTTTTATCCGACGCATGATGAGGATCCCAAATGGCGGAACAATATTCTAGCCTTGGTCTGACTAGTGTCTGATACGCAATGGACTTGGTATTACTGTTGCAGTGGTGGATGTTTCTCTTGAGTAGCCCGAGCATACGATTGGCTTTAGAGATGATCTGATCAATGTGAGTGGACCACTTGAGATCATTACTGAGTTCAACCCCCAGGTCGGGATGGTGTTTAACCTCTAGTAGTTTGGCATTACCCATGTGATAACTGGAGTCGACTGAGTTCGTCTTGTGGGTGATCTTCATGGTGTGACACTTGGAGGCATTGAATGACATGTGCCAATCTTTTCCCCATTTTTCAAGTGTGTTCCTGTTGAAGAATGCAAGGGTCTGCTGCAGTTTTTATTTCTCGGTACATGACACAGTCATCTGCAGAGAGTCTCACATGCGATTTGATGTTCTGTGGCAGATCGTTAATGTATACTAAAAACAGGAGAGGACCCAGCACTGTCCCCTGTGGAACCCCAGAAATGACCTTCGACTTGTTTGAAGAAGTGCCCTCCAAAACAACTTGCTGGTGACGTTGAGTGAGAAATGAGTCAATCCATTTCAGAGCATTGTTCCTGATGCCGATGTTGTGGAGTTTTGATTTGATTCAACAGTACACTGTACTGTATGGAGAAACAAGGCAGTTACAACAGGCGCGGCTCTAGAACCAATATTTTGGGGGGGGGGGCTAGCAGGGTGGATCCATCATTTTTTTCAGGGAGGCGTGCTGAAATGTAGACCGGTTATATTAACTACAAATGCTACCTTGTGACGACTATTTCTTTAGGGGGAGACCGTTCACATGTACATCACAATCCTTCTTTTTGCTAATGCAATTTCTTTTTACGGAATTTATTATGAGGGGGCTAGACTAAATTTTTTTTTTGGGGGGGGGGGCTAAAGCCCCCCCCCCCCCCTAGAACCACGCCTGAGTTACAACCTTTAAAAAAATGCGACCCCTTTTTTTCATGAAATTTCTAATGGAAAGTTGCTTTTTGTGTTTTGTTTTGTTTTATTTCATTTTTCATTTTTGACTCTACCGACAACTATTTTGGAAAGCATAGGGAAAGTTTTCGAGACTTGTTTGCAAGCCGCGTTTTATCAACAGAGGGCGCTGTATATAAAACATGGCAGCCTCCATGCATCAGCACGTGAGAATAATGGACCAGACGTTTTGTCTAGAAGCCTTCTCGCCTCTAGTCTTAGAACATGTGGCACTACTCCCATGTGGCACAATTGCAGAATACCCCGCCACCCGATCTATCCACCTCGTAGCCGGCTACGACATGTACGAGGTCACGGTTGATTGACCTCAATAAACATTCTCAGCGCTACTTGAATGTACTATGCGTCATGCTCCATTGCACTCCCACTTCGTGACCGCGTAGCCGCCAACAGGGTAGTTGGTTTGGACTTAGAATTTTTTCAGCAACTCCCATTCCTTTTGTGTTGCTTCGTTCTCAAGCATATTCAAGGGGACTCCCACTCCGTAGCCTCGTAGCCGCCAACAGGGTGGTTGGTTTGGACTTAAATTTTTTTCAGCAACTCCCATTCATTTTGTGTTGCTTCGTTCCCAAATAATGGACCCCCACTCAGTGTCCGCGTACATGGCGTAGCTGGCAATAGACTTGAATTGTTTCTTTTGCAGTGATTCCAACCTCGAAGCCAGTGATTTTAGGGGTGTATTTCCGAGTGGCGGGGTATTCTGCAATTACTCCCATTTTGGTAATTTTTGAACAGTTTCTTGGGGTAGAAATTACGATTTTCCTATGCGGTTTAACGTTACCATATCCCATGTTAATGAGCAGGCCGGTTGGTTGGTTGGTAGTGGTACGGTGGTGCCGTGTAGCGCAAATTGCGTGCTCTCGGTACATCGCGTGGTGATCGCCATCTTTTTTTCGTGTTGCGTTTTGTCGTTGTCATCGTCATTTTAACCCCAGATTTCCCTCAAAAATTCAAAACCTTGCCCTTTATTTGTGACATACCTAGCTGTGTATGTTCTTAATGTCGCCAACTACTACTACTAGTTTGGCATGTTTGGTAACTCAAATAATTTAAAACTAAAGTAGATTTTATTCCCTCACTAAAATAGAGCCGGGCCCGTAGATACACGATTGCCATAATGTAAACCATGTGTTAATGAATGTTTTTTGATTGCCATATATTTGCAGGTGGCTACGATCTGGTTTTTGTAACCAACCTGGAAAATCCTCCATCTATTTTCGTCGCTCCGGCCGACACCTTCAATTTCACCCTCATCCCCGGCTTTGATGATCATGAACACGTTCTTCGCCCAGTTGCCATTGACTATGACCCTGTGGACGGCATGGTGTACTGGACGGATGTGCAGCGTTCAAGCATCACTCGTGCCTTTGTGGATGGGACAGGCTCGGTAGTTCTCTTGAGAGATCTTAGTCGTGAGTTACTTTCCATTATGATTATTTATATATGGAGGACTCAAATTTAAAAAAAAATTATTCCAGTTGGTTCGTCGATGTTAATGTGTTTTTCTTGAATTATTTGCGCTATGTAATAAGGTAAAGTTGGTATGAAAGGGGCATTATGGCCCGAAATTCCAAAAAAGTTCATGTTTTGGATTGTTTACTTACACTATTTAAAAGATCTAGTTGAAAGGAAACTAACCTTAAATGTCTTTCTGTTCCTGAGAAAAGCCAAAAAAATATACGCGGTTGTTTACATTGGACACATCCAAGTTCATTGTATGCCTACTTTTCCTGTCGTTTTCATTTAATGTATGATACACGTTGTTTGTGTCACATACATAACACAGCACCAACGCACAAATGTGGTTTCTTACACGTCCGTAGAAGGCGAACACTTTACGGCTGGAATCACAACTACATGTAGCACTGAACAGCCTGAGTTTTGGGGTTCGCAAAAATGGACACCGAAATTCGTTCTCGCACGAATAACAAATGGATAACACAAAAACGCCCAGTTTTAAAGGATAGTTGTGTGGATGTTTAGGCCGAGTAAAAAAAAAAAGTTTCTCGTCTGGGTTTTTGAAAAATAGGAGGAAGAGGGGCATTTTATTTTTTATTTTTTATTTTTTTTCGAGATGGCCACCATTTTAAAATGTCCTGCAACCGTTGGTGTTTCCACTGTTCAAAGACACTTTTAAAATGAAAGACAAGTTGGACAAGAGAACTGAACATATTTACAGTGTCTTTTAGAGTTGTATTGGTCTACCAAGAACAGTTTTAGATGCATTTGCTTTAACCGCCAAAAGTCGTGAGCGAATTCTTTAAACACATGCTCCAGCGTGAGCTTGTCTCATACCGGTTGCATTCTGGCTTTGAAGTCAGCATTTACCGCATACAGTAAGGCAGACAGATTCCGGTTGAATTTTCAAACGACTGTAGTCTAAAACTATCAATAGTCATACATGTACGTAGTCTGGTTCCCTAGACCTGAAAATTATTCCTGATGCTCACGTCTCAGCCTCGACTCCATGGGCGCGTAGATTCATCAGGAATAGTCAGAATCTTTTGGTCTGGGAACCAAGTGGGTGAGTTTTGTTGCAAACTCGCCATGCTCGCACTGTCGAAGGGGTAGCGATCACACGTCGATATTATGTGGTGTACAAAGTGACCGACAGAGTCTACACTGGAAACTTCGACCCACATATTTCGCAAGTATTTATTTTCCGATGAATTTGTGGACTTTTGCAATGTTTTCACTGCATTTTTCAAAAGTAAAAAATAATAAAAAAAATCCAGGCGGCCTCCAAAAAGGAAGCGGATGGGGACGAGAAACTTTTTTCTTTTTTTTTACTTTGCCTTATATCCTACTTTTAAATGTTCTTTCCGATTAACATCATTTCGTTCAAAATGTGTTTTGTAGCCCAATTTGGCGTTTTCCAGGACGTAATGTATTTCATTTTAGTTATTGGAAGATGGAAATCGGACTGGTTTTTTCCATATTAAATTTAAAAAGGCCTTGATTTTATCTTGTTTTTCATCAGAACCTGAAGGATTAGCTCTTGACGTGGAGAATCGTGTGATGTATTGGACCGATACCGGCAGTGATCTCATTGAGAGTGCTACGTTGGATGGGCAAGAAAGATCCGTGGTTTTCAATTTGACAAATTCGTCCGTCGGAGCCGTGGAACCCAGGGCAATTGTTGTAGAGGTCACGAACGGGTAAAGGATGATCCATAATTGTTTTCTCCTTTGACTCAAACGCTCCATAAAAATTAAATACCAAAAGATATCACTATCATCCCAACATCATGAGGTCGTGGATTTTGAGTCCCACACAACTGATTTTTTGCCAGGAAGCTTCAAGTCAATGGAATAGTTGCTTGCAGACAAGCGTATATGTTATTCATGCAGATTTGGCGATTAATTACACAAAACAAGATTGCATCTTGCCATCAAGATTCTGAGTAATTACATTTAAGCGTGCGCCTTCTAGGGTCTACCTTGTACATGTAATACAAAACCGTGGCATCCAAATTGACCAATCAACAGCTTAGTCCACATTTCTGATCGAAATGACGTCATGGTTTCTAAACTCCAATTGGCTGGTGCCGGGGGTCGCATAAAATGTGGATGCTAGGATATGCCAGACTTTCGTACCATGGCTCTGCACACGTGACTGTCTGAACATGCTGAACCTCAGACTATGAAGCTTCCTGATTATGGTGAATTCAAACTTTGTGCATTTACTAAGAGCACAAAATGAAGGGACTATGTACATGTTGTTTATAATAAACCCTCTTGCACAATCTTGCATCCATCAAATTTCCTCTAAGTAAGTCAACTGCCTGCATTTCTATTATTTTTGAAAGGCTGCTCTTCTGGACGGATTGGGGTTCCTCACCAAAGATTGAACGCGGAAACACCAATGGAACCTCCCGAATGACGCTGGTTAATTCTGGACTTTTGTCTCCAAATAGCATTATATTGGACGTACCAGGTACATACACAAATATAATGTGCATTTACTTTAACATTTATGCACACAAAACTGCCAATAGCACAGTATGGTTTAAAAAAAAACCCAGCAAATTGTGTTAAACGTTGAAATATAATGCTTTTCACTACTCCCTGTGGGGGAGTGTGGCCTAGTGGTTAGGGTTCGTGACTCATGATCAGAGGGTCAGGGGTTCAAATCCAGCTGCTTGTCATATGTTGTCCTTGGGCAAGCCACTTCACCCCCATTTGCCCCTCTCCACCCAGGAGTATAAATGGGTACCGGCTTTAGCCGAGGAGTAACCTGCGATGGACTAGCATCCCATCCAGGGGGAGTAGAAATATTCTCAGTCGTTTATAAACGCTGGCCTGATAGGCCACATTGGCTTGACAGACTTTACTTACTTTTTACTACAGTTGTGCAAGTTCCAAATGTGGAATATTTTTTATCGTTTTTCAGGTGGAAGAATGTATTGGTGTGATGCTGGCTTAGACCTCATCGAATCCACTGACTTTCTGGGCCAAAACCGCATCTCCATTGCTTCCTTTTCATCAGATAACATCAATCCCTTTGACATTGCATTATACCGAGGGAGTTTGTACTGGACAGACTTCAATTATGAAACAATCATCAAGATTACATTAGAACCTATAGGGGTTTCATTGGTTTCATCAAGCGACTTAACAAAACCATTAGGACTACACATTCACTTGGGTAAGTATCAACATAATTAATTGTAATAATATAGTTAGTGATTTAAAGCACATTAAAACCCTAATCCTGCTGAATCCAACAGTCTGTTGGATTGAGCAGTAAACCCCTTGTGTTCCTGATGCAAAATTTTGGATTCGCAGGCAACTGAACCGCATTATAACGCCAAGTTGGACTCTATTGGATCTAGCAGACAATTGAAAATGAGGCACAGTTGGATTCTGGTGGACTCTGTTGGATTTAGCAGGGTAGTCCTGAGAAAATAATTGGGGGTTAGGGTTAAGTTATGATAACCCCTTCTCCCTGGGCCCACAAAACACTAGCTTCACTGTCTCAGCTCTGTGGGGATTATCAAGTTAGATGTACCAAGTTTTTAGGTGCAGAACTATATTCTGTTGTGGCAAAGTGTCTTTCCCAGGGACACACACATACAGACACGCCACAATCTTACAGGCTGGGCTCGTACCTTATAGAATTTTCAGAATGAAACTGTAAATTGGTACAGTGTTCCAGGTTCGAATCCCGCTCTGGCCAGTATCCCTGTTGAACCTTATCAATGGAATCACAGCCAGTTATCAACTGGATACTGACCTCAAAGGTAAGGGATTCACCAGATAATGTTACATTGGGCTCAGTCAACGACAAACATCCCAAATCCTGGTATAAAAAGAGCCCAGGCGTTTAAAAGAGAAAATCTTCTCATGCATGTCATGTACAATATACCTAGAGTGACTTTTATTGTACATTACTTTTTCTGCTAAACATACCGTCACCAAATTAGGTGCCCAATGTTTAATATTTCTGAAAATATTCCTTGTTTTGTAGACACTTTTGCAAATCACAATTGCGTAGACAACATGCCTTGCAGGGCAGGCGAACGTTGCCGTCAGTTCCATGACCACTACCAGTGCATCTGCAAAGATGGCTTGGCGGGAAATAACTGCCAACTGGGTAAGTTTCAAGTTCATTTCATTCTGTGATAAACGATGTACTTAATGTAGTTATTAGATTTCACTTTATTTGATTGCCAAGACAGATTTATGAAAAAGAGAAAAATGTGCTTGGTATTCTAGACAGTAAAATGAGTTGAAATATAATCAGAAACATAGTTATAATTGTGGATTAATCAGTCATTATGGAACAGTGAGAAATAATGTTGAAATTTAAATTGGAAATTTAAAAACGGTAGTATTGATTGCCTTAACCTTTCCCAACGCACACATATTTTCAATAAATATATTATCTAGTGTAACCTTCCTTTTTTTGGTCGTTTAAATTGGTGCACAAAAACTGGAAATCCTGAATTATGGGGCTATACATGTACATATGTGGGCTCTGTGTGTGTCCAGAGAGGATGGCCTGGACTGGTCACTTGTGGTTTAGCAAACTGCCTTGAGGTAAACCAGATAATGTTCCAGTGGGTAGAGTAAAAGATAAACAACAAAACCTGGTATGGAAAAGGCCCTGGCTTTTGAAAGGCAAAATCACCTCATGCAAATCACAAAAATGTAGAATAAAATTAATGTTTCAGTAGACCCTGTTATGTTCTACTTGTAATTTTCTGTTTATTGCGTTGTACCACACAGCTAATCCATGCAGTGGCGTACTTTGCTCTAATGGAGGATCGTGTTTCTTGTCTTCAAGTAAAGACAATGCGTATTTCTGCGGGTGTCCTGAAAGATACCTTGGGGCCAACTGTGAAGTATTTGGTACGTACACAAAATAGATGTCAAGGCCCGTTCGAATTGGGGCAACTCCCATGGTACTGCATGTGTAGTGTCTCTGCTGTTTTTGAATGTTAACCAAGAAATATGGTTGTTTTTTATAAATTGATATTTTCCTCACGCTGTTGTGATTTGAATGCAGGCACGAATTGAAATTCTGCATTTCGATAAAACATCATCAGCTTTAAATAATTTCTAAAGCAACCTTTTTTTTAATTCACAAATAAAATTGTTTTGGGCTGAAAACGATGTATTTGGTGTGCGCAAATAAACCTCAGCTACATCTAGTCGGCATGAAAAGGTTTTTTTTCACCTACTAATATCCCTATGTTGAAATGGCATGTAATCGGAAGCAGATGTATATGTATTTTTTTTCTGAGGCTTACGCTTTAAAGACATATCATCATTTTATATCATTATGATATAATTATGAATATTCATGTCTTCCTTTTCTTAGATGATCCCTGCACAAGTAACCCCTGTTGGAATGGAGGAAGTTGTCTTGGTTCGTCAGCTGGGTTTACTTGTGCTTGTCCCCTTGGATTCATCGGAATATTCTGTGAATCGCAGAGCCGTAAGTATAGCGCCTCGGCCTCATGCGAGTGTGCTTAGGCAACACACTTTGTAACTCATTGCTTGTCCCTGCCCAGGAGTAAATGGGTACCTGTGAGGGCTGTTTGTGTATTACATTTAGCCATACCAGTGGTGCCTACATGTTACCATTGAGCTGTGTACTGCTTTGGGAGCTGAGGTGGTCTTTGGAATGCTTCCATGGGCCTTCTCAGCAGGGGTAATAATATTTCATTACTCCGCGAGAACTTGTTTGGTTGATATGTGCGTTATACTTTTGTTTTTGTTGAACTCTTCGGTCAACTTTGATAGGAGCGTTTTTAGCTTCAGAAATCTGCCAGGGGGGAAGGAAACTAATTATGACTGCACTTAAACTTGCTCTAAAAGGGTTACGGGGAATCATACCCATATTTTTGTTTTACTGAGTCTGACTGAGTTTTTAGACTGATATCGTAGAAATTGGAATATAGTCACACAAATTAAGTAATTAATCTTTTCCTATTTACCCTTCATTTCCATTTAGATCCTTATGACTTGGTATTTGTGACCGATCTGAATCCTCCAGGGATTTATGTCGCGCCCACAGACACCTTCAATTTCACTCTCATCCCGGGTTTAAATGGTAGCCATAGCAACATAAGTCGACCAGTCGCCATTGGCTACGACCCAGTAGAGCGCATGGTGTTTTGGACCGATGTCGCCTTGTCGACTTTAAGCCGTGCCTTTTTGGACGGGAGTGGAGTGGAAGTTCTCTTCACGGATCTACAGAGTAAGCCAATTTTATGTCATGGTTTGTTTTTGCTCCTCCCAGAGGGCCACCCTATTGTCCCCTTTGACTGACTGACTCCCCCCCCCCCCCTCCCTCCCCGACTGACTCCCCTACAGACTGACTGGCTGACTCTCCCCCCCCCCCCCAACTCCCCGACTGACTCCCAGACAGACTGACTGGCTGACTCCCCCCCCCCCCCCAACTCCCCGACTCCCCGATTGACTGACCGACTGACTGGCTCATTGCCGTAACTTTGGACCTGGGCAGTGCTATTGTATAGGATTTACCCTATCCGGCTCAATGTGTAGAGGGAATGTGTGGAAAGACCGTGTTAGCTATTCTGATTCAATGAAGCTAGGCGGACATATACCTGGCTTTGGCGGTTCGTAGGACGCAGACAGTTGCTGGATGTAGTGATTGATTACCATGAGAAGTTGTCCCTATACTGCGATCCTTTTGTGCCCGAAACCGCCCCGAACTTGCGTATTATTATATACATGCAGCTACAATTTTGAGTATTCTGGAACCAGCTTTACAAGGTTTGCCTGGTCTTGTTTTTTATCAATTTTTGAGAGTTTTCTTGCCATTTCCTTTTAGCTCCAGATGGTTTGACTGTTGATGTTGAGAATCGTGTGATGTATTGGACAGATACTGGCAGTGATCTGATCGAGAGAGCTACTTTGGATGGTCGGGAACGATCAGTGGTTCTCAACTTGACAAATGCTTCCCTCGGAGATATACAACCAAGGGGAATTGTAGTCGACCCTGCTAACAGGTACATACGTGAGGCTCACCATACCATTGGACCAGTTCAGATTTTGCCACTGGGGCCAAATTATTTGGTTTATGTTGAGGTGGGGGTGACTGATTCCCTGACTCCCACTTCATTCTTCTCTTACAGTAATTTGTACTGGACTGACTGGGGTACTGCACCAAAGATTGAACGATCTGGCACAGAGGGCTCAGGTCGTCGCGTACTCATCGATACGAACTTAATGTGGCCGAATGGTATATCCCTTGATCTGGAAGGTAAATCTTTGTGCATGTTTTCCTTCTTGAATGGTTCCATGGGGCATAATGGGACATATTTTCAATGACACACACCCTGAGAATACTACAGATTGCCACAATTATTGCCCGATAGGTCCATGACCCTGTGAAAATCTTTTTCCTAACTTGTTATGTAAATGAAAACAATGTTGGCCTTCCAGAATTTTGAGAACTCACATGAGTTGGATGGTTTTGCCAGAATAAAGAAAGGGGAAGCTTAACATCAGGCACTTTCAAGTTTGTTGCTGTTAAAAAATGTAAATTTTACCATAAAAATGTTTGGTTCCTGCAAGGTTGTTGATTGTAAAGGATTGGGTTCCCCATGATATGCATGAAAAGAACTTGTGATTTTTAATAAATGTGGAATTGAAAATGGCGTCATTTTTTTCCCAAGATGTGGTACTTGTCAACACAGAAAGCATTGCCTTTTCCCTTCCCCAAACAGAGATGCCACTTTTCTTGTTTTAGCTGGAATTTCGTGTTTTTTTTAAATTGCACAAAAATCCGTGTTTTTTTTTTCAGCCGTCAAAATACACTGGAAAAAGAGGAGAAAAACTGTGGAAATACGTTGATTTTTACCTTGTTAATAAAAGCGCTCTTGAGTTTAGTACATTTAGGTGCACGCATGGCACAACGTTGTTTGTTGAAGTAGTCTTTAAAACAAGTCTTTGTTGTTGCCGAGCCTGCATGCGATACAGGCGGCCAATGTACTTGCTCGCAGTATACAATAACGCCTTGCGCGTGCTTCAATGCGTGTGGGTGTGTTATGTGCTCAGCACACGTAGCGTTCAGCCTGGAAATCAAGTCTATCATTTCAGCTATCGGTGGTTTCCGATCGCAGTGATATATGTGAATACAAAAAACGCCAGGTACCAACTATGTTTTCGACGCGCACATCGCATATAGTGCAAAGGTCATGTACACCGGTGGCGTTGTGGAATCATGCACGTTTCGTGTCAAATATTACGTTGGAAATTCGGGTAGGTAGGATAAATAATAGGACTATGGCAAAAGTCAAAAGTGATTGAACGAACCGACAGCTTAAAGACCATAGAAGCAAAAATAAATGGAACTGGGCTTGGCTACAAGAGAAAGATGACAATGGGGACTTTGTGTCGGAGTGGCTTTTTCACAAAAACAAAAGTTCCGTTTTTTCAAGCAGCTCTTCCGTTTTTTTTTCAAGCAGACCCAGTTCTGTTTTTTCAAGGAAGCAGACCCTGTGGCATCTCTGCCCAAAAGTGAACATATTACATGTACCTTAAAATGTCCTGTCGTTCTTCAGGGGGAAGGATGTACTGGTGTGAAGCTGGTTTCGACCGCATCGAGTACTCGGATCTCTTAGGCCAGGGTCGGACTGTTCTTGTCGACCTCACCAGTCTCGGCATTCATCCATTTGATCTCTTTGTCTACTATGACTTCATTTACTGGTCTGACTGGACATCATCCAGCATTTTGCGTGTTGAGGCTTCGGGACGGCTGATGGGGAATCACGGCTCGCAAAGCTTTGGACGACCTGGAGGGATTCACATATTTAAAGGTAATTGAACCTTTTAATTACCGCATGTTTTTAGTAGTGCTACACTGTAATTCAATTCAATTCAGTTCAATTCAATTCAATATTTTAAAGTGAAATTCGTTTTCCCAGTGTGCACATAAAAACAGTATACATATAAAACACTTCAGGATTACATTACACAAAAACAATTATGGAAAAAAAGGAAGTATGAAATACCAGTTAGTCCCTACTTTCGAAAAAACTTTGAAAACAAAAAGGTAAGAATCTATAAATTAAGCTTATTATTGTATTGACCTATTGCCGTTTGCAAGTTAGCCACGCCCCTTTGACAACCCTATGGAATTTTTGTACACTAACTTTTGTTTGTCTCAAATTTTGCGTGTTCCGCGTCCATTTTTATATCATGTAATTGGACAATATTTCACAAGCTGCGTTGACACGATTCTAACGCGATTCTACTGCGATAGGTCAATTGGCTACTTACCACTAATTGTAATGCTTTTAGCGCTTTCCATCATATCAACAATCTCAAAGCACTGTAATACCCCCGTTCATCAGACCTCACGGCAGCTGATATCAGAACAGCACATTGGCCCTCTGCCCTCAACAATTTTGAAAACCATTATGGCAGCTTCGCCGTTCTAGTTTTGATTTTTTATACTTTCAGCCAATATTTGCCAACAAATGGTTTGCCAGCATGGGGGACACTGCGAACTGTATTCATAGTGGATTTTGTTTGTATTGGAAAAGAGACATGGATCAAGTAATTATTAGATTGTATATATATTTTTTTTAATATTAAGCAGGGCCTGACATTTGATCCTTTCAAAATCTAAAACGGTATGTTCTTTTTGTTGTTTGTTTGGTTTTTCAGACAATCTTCCTCCTACTTTCACCACCGGTTGCCCGAGCAACATACTTCGTCTTGCTGACAACAACCAGAGGTCTGTCCCCGTGTCGTGGCCCGACTTGAGAGCCTCCGATCCCAGTACACCATTGCTATGGAGCTCCACTCATCAACCCGGTGACATGTTCTCAGTCGGAGGGGTTACCATGGTAACATACACAGTGACCGACCAAGCCGGCAACGCTGCTAGTTGTAACTTTACTGTGACGGTGACTGGTACGATTTATTTTTTAAACTTTTTACAATTATCAATTATTCGGGTATCATTTCTTTTTTGAGCTAGCGGTGAAGCAGTACATTTTTTTCTTGTGATACTCTGTATTTAGGGGTTGGCCTTGACTGTCCATCCAATGTCACAACTGTCACCAATCCTGGCATGTCTGTTGCCAATGTGTCGTGGGCGCTTCCCAGCGTCACTTTCAACGGTCCCCAACAGCCAGTCAATTCATAAAACCGTGCTCTCGCCTCTCGGGCGGTTACGGACACATCAATGTATAAGTAGGCAGTGCAGTTTTGGGTGCTTCACTATTTGCTAACTTGCATCTTTTTAAATTCAAACTGCCTATTTAGCGGTGGATCTAGTGTGCCCAGCAAATTTCACAGTCGATGCGAAGCCAGGTTCCACCAGAACCAGTGTGAACTGGATGGAACCGGTTGTAACTGGATGGGACGGACCAACCAACTTCACCTCAAGCCTCAGTCCTGGCGTTGAACTCCAGATAGGTAGCCATGTTGTCAACTACCGGCAGCAGTTTGAGTATGGCCTGAATCTGAATTGCTTGTTCTCGGTTCAGGTTATCGGTGAGTGAGATTTTTGTTTGTTTTTATTAGGGTACTGTTAAATTTTTTTTTATTATATTTTTTAAACATCGTACCTTGCCCATATAACATGCTTTCACAACCAAATCTTGCAGTTCCCCCTTCTTGTCACAACATGGGACGCCACGATCATTCAAATATTTCTTCAGTTTCGTCGACTCAGATCAATCTGCGACTCGCTGTGTCTGCCATCTTCAAAGTGCGGTAACGGCGGAAACTTTTTCGCGTAGTTACCGATGTCGACCCACGAGCCGGTAATGGACCTTTTTAGGGATAAACGTTGGGGCGCGCACTGTATTGTGAATCGAGCGAATTGGTTGAAGCAGAAACGTGTGTGCCTGCAATTTGCATATGACCTCAATAATGACCTCTATTCTTGTGGTTGCGAGATAAGTCCACACAGAAAGGAAATAGGAAAAGACTCGAAAAGATAATAAAACAGCAATATTTCCTTGCTCATTTATATTTACATATTTTCTTGTCATTTAAGGTTTTTGTCCAGCCAGCACCACGAATGATGCTCTTCATGGTCGGTTGATGTGGCTTGCAACAAGAAGAGGCAGAACAGCAGAGTCCTTCGAGAGATGCCCGCTCATGACATCAAAAGGTGAGACGACAATCAATTGTGAAGCTAAAAATGATAATATGATAACTTTAAAACAGTGGCTGTGTTTAAAATTCCGTAACTTGAAAAGTACATGAGTGATTTGAATGATTCTTGTACTCAAAGAAAGCTTATAAACTGAGCTTTCATATCTGAGGTTTTGAATGTGCTACATGCAGAACTTCTGTAAAACAATGGTCCCAACATTTGGGTTTCGGTGGTTTTTTTTAACTCACCCTGTATTTTAACAGAACTGGTTTTATTTGCTATTCTAGAGTTTGAAGGTTAAAATCTAGTAAACAGGATTTTCCTCTTTCATTACATTAAAAAGTATCACGCTTTTGATAATATGTTGGTTAATTTTGCATACAGCTGGGGATCCGTTAGCTGTTCGCAACTGCTCCGTTTTAGCTCCGCCGGACTATTTTCAATGGGGAAACCATGTACCTCAAAGTTGCGGAGAAGAAAGGAATGAAGTAACTCTGGAAGACGCCACTGATGTAAGCTTTGAAGTTCAGCCATTTAGAATATAAATAGAATTTACTGGAGCTGGAATTGAACCAGTGACCTTTAAAATGTTCAATTGATACGCCATTACGATGCTGTATCCTTGAGCTTATATGTGATGTGATCAAGCTACACGAGTCGTTTGTTGACCCTGGTCAAAACATTTTTGAGCACAGTATCAGCATTACTGCTGTGAAAACCGCATGCTGATACCATCTTTAGTTCAAAAATTATGGAAGTCGGAACACCAAGAGATGTGATGAAGTGGCCCTATTTTGGCCTGTATCTCCAAATAAAAATTCCCGACAAATGACTCATTTAGCTTGATGGCATCACATATGTTGAGAGTCTATATGTCCGCTGATCAGTCCTAGCACACCCAGGTATAAGGCTTCCGACTGGATAGAGTGCCATGAACAGAGATTGAACAACTTTATAACACTGTCTGATGACATGTAGGGCTAGATAGCTCAGTTATTGTTGGGTAGATCAGTGCGCTAGAGGTATGCAGCAGGTTCATATTCTGCCACAGTCACATTTCTTAGTTGAATCTTTATTGATTAAAACTGTGCCTAGTCATTTTCCCTTGTAAGTGATGATTCACAACACATTCACAACGTAATCTTGACAGTTATAAAACAGTTTAAGATTCAGCACGTATTATAATTACCGAGAATGGTGCCTTAGGCCAAAAAAAAAGTCTCCGGTTTCTGGTATGGAGCTTGCCCAAAAAGTGGTGCGGCGACGCAGCTTTTTTTTTTTTTTTTACCTGGTTTTTGCTTCAAATGTAGGCTGATGACTGCAAATGGTGCCCGACTAAACTTAGTGCAAATATATGGGAGTCCAAAGAGGCCACATAAAGCTTATTCTCGATCATAACCCCACCTAAAAACATGTTAAAATTGTGCAGCAGCAGGATTCCAGTCAAACCAATGAGTTTGGCGGTTTTGAGACATCATCTTTTATTGAAAAAAAACTTTTTCATTTTGCCGACGCACATGGCTACGGCGACGCGTGTGCACACCAGAAACCAGAGACTTTTTTTTTTGGCCTTAGGTAGACATTCCCATTGGATTGTGCGCAACAAAATTCAAATATTCATGACCCTAACCCCCATTTTACCTTATCCTACTCCCACACATTTTGGAACCTTCATGTTTTGGACCACGAGCAATCGATCTAGCCTTTTTGCAACCCTAAAATGTTGCCTCTCAATAGTTGTGGAGACCTTGGAGTGTCTCCTTAATCTACCTTTAATATTCTCCTGAAGGGTACATTTACAGAAAATCATTGTTTCAATCTGTATTTTGTTGTCATTCTATAAATGTTTACTTTTTATCTAAGTTGACTGAACAGTCCTATGGAGAAACTGAATAAATGTGTCTTCTGTATTTGGCAGATTGATGTCAGTCTAGGGAACGTGAATGAAGTGGTTGAGTTTCTGGCCAATGAGACGTCAGAGTCATCTGAAAGTGCAGAAGATGTGGAAGCAGTCTCCACCATTTTGATGAATATTGTCGGGGCAGGATCAGGAGATACGGAGGTAGCTGATCCCCCAAAAATGTCAACAAACTAAAAACTTGCAATATGTACAAATTGAGAAATGAATGTTAATAAATTTGAATCTTTACTGATTTCAATGTTGTGGCTTAATAAGATGGCAAACTTCTCAAATACTCCAATTGATTTCGTCTCAGCTTTTAAGGGTTTCTAGTGGGAACACAGGCATCTTAAGAAGTGAAATATTGACTTGCAAAGGGCACTCATGCTCATCTGCGTGAGATGCATGATCACAAGACAGGCATAAGGTCAAGGGAAGTGGTGAATTGTAGGCATTACTCAAAAGTTCCATGGATGCTTTAGATAATAAGCGATTGTCCGATTGATGTAGCTGGGCACTAGTGTGGAAATGTTGAGTTAGTGGTTTATGCAAATTCAAGTACCAGCTTGTGTTATTGATGGACACCATGTGATCATGGCTCAGCCAATCAGGATAAAGAATCAGCTGTGGGTCGTTATAAAGAAATCGTTCACAAAACATTTGCAGAAGATATTCCAACGAGCCTAGGCTGTTACCTCAATGATGGCACATACTTCCTGCTCACATTTCAGCAAACGTCTTAAGTAAACTTTGAACCCTAGAAGATGTGCAAAGCGACGCACCAAACTTAATTCCAAAGTTATCAAAAATAGGACTTCAAAAGAAGTTCAAATTGTCAGCCCAATAAGCTATTTGCCATGAGATGGTTGGCAGTGAACATGGTTAACTAAACTTCTGGAGGATTCTTGGTTCTTGGCTTCTTGGTTGGTTCTTCTCCTAAATACTCCACGTGGGAGTTTATACAGGAGGCCAGAAACACCGGGGCAAACCCCTTCTCTTAGCAATAAATGTTTACTGGGTTCTTTTACGTGCATTTATGCAACACACGGGACCTACTGCTTTACATCCCATCCGAAGGACGAAGCAATAATGGTTGAGTGCCTTGCCTAAGAGCACAAGTGTCCGCCGGCGGGCTCGAACCCACGTCACTGTTGGCTCTGAAACACCAGAAGATAAGTCCAGTGCTCTTAACCCCTAGGCCATGACACTCCATTCTAGGGCCAACCTAGTAGGTGTTTTATTGTAAACCTCGTGGAATTCAAGTATTTATAAATTTTTATGAAGGTAACCGAGTTGGTGATACAGACGGTAAGCAATGTCATCATGAGTACCAGCCAGGCTCCTGACTCCCAGACTCCCGAGGTCAATGCTGGCAGCTCCTCAGCCATCGTTCAGTCTGTTGAGGCTCAAGTTGCCTTGACTCTGAGACAAGAGGGTCCAGTCAGTATACAACAGGACACCATCCACGTTGAGGCAGTCAGTCTACCCCCAATGCAGGTTAGCAATGGACTCACCTTTGTGTCTGCTCCAAAGCAGCAGACCGGACAGTCTTCACCGCAGGAGGGCAGTCTTGTCGGCACTGAGGTCACGACCTTGGTGAATGCCAGCAAGGCGCCTCAAGATGTGATAGCTTCAATCCGGTTACCGGCTAATATTGTCAAGTTGATACAGGCCGGCAATGGTAAGACCGATTTTCAGTAGAGACCTGTTTGGTTCGTAGATCAAGGCATTGTTCAATTACCTTTAAAGAAAAATTGTAAAAAAAGAAGGGGTGTAATGAGTTTTGCTCATTAAAAAGTATTGGGTTTACTTGTTTCCAACTTGATATATGTTTATGTCATCTGCATCCCCTGCTAGGCTTGAATTGTGACTTGCTCCAATATAACTTTGCTAGCTGATGCCTTTGACAAACTTAAAAGGTGTTAAGACAAGGTGAGCCTGTCTTAAGTCTTTTTCTGACATCACTGATTTTTATAAATACCTTTAAGAAAATGGTTCCCAGCCGCTGCGGGCGAGTTTCATTGTCTATGCTGATGACACCTTGTTCAAGTCAGCTCTGATCAAAGACTCCCCAGGGAAGAACGGCTCCAGCCTCCGGGTTGCTGGGTCCGTTGTCTCACTGACTGTGGAAGACGTTGAGTTGGTCAACCTCACCGAACCAGTGGTCGTCCAATTCAAGGTACTTGTCTTCATAAAGATATCGTGGAGCTTCTGTACGGAAGCCAGTCCATCATAGGTTAGACCTAATCACCCTAGACAACCAAATCCTAATTTGTAGTTCTGTAGGTTGTGCAGTCTTGCTTTTTGGTTTATTAGCTGTTTCGGTGTACACACCGAAACAGCTCTTGTTTCTGTTATTTTTTTTTTTCTCTTTTGTTTTTCAGACTTTTTTCTCATAGGATAACACGTGTTTTCGTTCTACAAGTCACTTTTGGCTTTTTTTCAAATCCGATCGACTTCTGACCTGGCACACACTTAGACCACCATCTGAAGATGTGCGCCGAAACTTTTCGTCATGCTGACGTCATCACGTGATTTATTATAGATTTTTGAATATTTAATTTTTCCCATAGATTTTGTACACAGAAATTTAAAAAAAAATGTCAATTTTCAGAGGGCATTTTCGACAGTTTGCCAGTAATTCATTTACACCAATCTTTGTCCAAGCAATGACCCTAATTCAAACAACATTGTGTAACGATGACGTCATGATGACGTCATCCGGTGTTTATTTATGGGCAATTAAATTGTGACACTTTTAATATTTAAAAATGCATAAGAAATCAACCGTACGCGTCCGCAGCATTCTGTTGCCGGCAAGTGGTAGAGTAGGTTGAGGTCTTTATTTCATTCAGTGTGCGTAAAATCACGTGACCCTTGCTTCCGGTCGAAAAAGGCCCAAACCGGAAGTGGCTTATTATTTGAAAGTGGTAATAGATATGAACTTGCTTTTAACGGTGTAAGTCTCTTGGCTGATAGTATTCTTCAAATCATCTACCGATGACGTCATGCAATCTTCGAGCGCCCTCTAGCGACAGGTTGAATATTTTCAAAAATGTATTTTGAATAGATGTCTGTGGCGAAGTTTGTCGGAATCGCCTAAATATTGGTGTATATGATGACCTTGACCCACTTAAGACGTGTGCAAAGTTTAAGGTGTATGACGTCATCAGACCGGAAGTTATAATGAAAAGACCCTTTTTCCTTAAAAAATTCCTGAAAAATCAACCATGGCAGTTTTTATATTAGTTTTTACTTTAATTGTCTATTTAAGGGTAGGTCTAAAATATTTCAAAGCTTCAAGGCAATAAGCAAACTCGGACATGCCCTGCGCACGCTTAAAACTTTAGGTTGACAATAACTCTGCTTTAAAACATGCACAGTCCACAATGTACATGTACATGCACGTACGTTGTACATATCGTATGTCAGTCAGCCCGCGCGCAGCGCACGTGTAGCTGAGGTCAAATCCTGTCCACAGTGACCGTTTTAGCCGATTTCCGGCTAACTTTGACAGATTTCATGTTCATGCATAGTCAGGGACGTAGGATAGACACTTTTTGTATAGAATACGCATGTACATGTTCATTCGACCTGGATGAAACTCCTTTACGGCAGTCATTAATAAAACGGTCGAAACAGCTCAGTGTTTGTCCACAAACACATTTCTAGTTAATATTGTTGAGTTTACAGTCCAGCGTTGTATCTCATGGTCGAACAGGCACCGGCCAATAATGAAACGGAGGGAAATAGAACCATCGAGTGTGTCTTCTGGGATTTCGATCTGAGTGACGGAGTCGGCGATTGGTCAACAGCGGGTTGCTTGCTGGCAAGAGAGACAAATGATACAGTGTCCTGTAACTGCAGCCATGCGACCAACTTTGCCATTCTCGTGGTAAGTTTCCTAACTGAAGTTCATTTCCTACGCCTGTCTTGGAGGTCCTTTGAAGTTCACTATAAAGTAAGTTGGGAAAGTAAAAATTGCATGCATTTAACACAGACCCCTCCCTGTTCCCTTAAAATCCACGGTGTTTTCAGTCCTTTGAAAAATAAGAGCCCAATGTGCAGTTTCCCGCAGAGTGAAGTGCTTTCAGAATTCAGTGTGGTTCTTCCACCATAAATTTGGGGAGTTGGGGTTAAAGGGAAAGTACAACTTTTGCTTTTGCTGCAATTTTCAGAAATAATTGGATTTGGAGGATTTATAGTATGTTATAGCAAATATTATTAAGCTGACTTGTTTCATTTTTTGGGCTGGTAGATGCTGGAAAAACCAAGAAAACCAATCACGTTCTTGTAGTCTGGTTCCTTGACCCCACTTTAGATGAAATGGAGCATTAGGCTTTTGGGACGTGAGGTCGGAGAATCAGTCTAGCACGCTTGTACTCCTTCAAGGGTGTGTGATCAATTGCAAAGAAAATGCGGAATAACTAAATATGAAAAAGTAGGAGCAAATTTTCTCCAATGCTGGTTGGCCGACCAGCGTTGGAAAATACCATTTTTCTTGAAAATGGCAGCACACCAGTAGCCACGATTTTACAGGGTGCTTTAGACTATCATTCTCTAACAATCCAGTAAGGTACTTCGTGATTATTTGATCATTTCGTTTTGTGATATTTGCAAATGTTTATATCTTCCCTTTAGATCATGGGATGAATGTTTTCAGATAAATATGAAAGAGATAGTCTGAATGTTTTAGTTCAGATAATTGTTTTTCTCTTTCAACTTTTAAGTGCTGAGTGGTGCGTGGATTCAAGGTTTCTGTTTTTACTGTTCTTCTTTTATCTAGAATGTCCATGGACAGAAGGAAACAAGTAAAGTATTCCGGGATGTTTTGAATATCATAACCAACGTCGGTTGTGCCATCTCCATCATTGCACTGGTCATCACCTTGACTGTGTATCTAGCGATCAAGTAAGATCTCTCTCAATCTATCTGAAGCCCCGTCGCACTCTTGCAAATACAGCTAATGTGTGCCCGACGTTTTTGGGCATTTGGGTGTCGTCATTCGTTTGTGACACGTTTGGCATATAGTCGTATTCGTTACCGGTTTGTAGGGGTTTGAAAAGGTAGGCTGGGGTCTAGAAAAAATTTCTAAAAAAAAAAATAATCAGAATTTTGAGGGGGGGACAACGTAGTGATCAATATGTTATGTATGCGCACTCTTTTAATCACTTTCAAGCCTTGCATCAATTAGAAACTTTATAAAATTACAAGCCACTCGTGTGCATAAAATGTGATATTTTGTAGCAAAAGTGCCTTTCACACTGAACCTTTCACAGGATTCACGTCCTCAGTTTTTCTTCCACGCAAGGCGTTCCTACAATGATTATAAGCTTTTTCTGTAACCATAGGAAACTGCGAACTGGCAAATCTCGTCAGATCTTCATCCACTTGTTCTTTGCCTGGCTGATATTGTACATCGTGTTCCTTGCTGGCATCGACAACGCAAAGGTAGGTGTGAATTGACACTAGAAGTTCAATAAAGGAATAAATGTGTGTTTGGTTGGTATTAAACACTCCATTTAAGCCCGGTTGCAGTCTGGATGGGTGTTCATCTCGGGGTAATCACCCATCCAGACTGCAACCAATCTTAAACAGAGTGTTTAATACCGACCAAACGCACGTTTATTCCCATTCATCAATACCTTTTCGGTCAAAAAAAGAAATCAACTGGACGTTGCCAACCATTTTGTTCAACAATTTTACTTCGTGTTTTATGAAACACCTTTGACTATAATATAGAATGTCCCTCTACAACTCCTTACCTTTTAAGGAGAATGGCGTGTGCGTCGCGCAAAACGCAGCTGGGTGAAGTGGGAATTTCGGACTATGAAATACTGATTCACTGGTAGTATTGCGCATGCATATGTTAGGAATATGAACATTCAACCAATAAAATGTTAAAAGGCACCGGATTTCATGGGAGTCCAAATTTTCATGTGACACAGGAAAATGTTTATTACCAGCTAGCCATGTCTTTATCATCCCTTTAAGACTGGCCACATGACGGGCTCTTGACCAATAGGAATGGGTAAACTGTCTTAGATATTTATGAATAAACATTAGGTGAGGAAAATATTTTGCTGATTGTAATTGTGTTCACCTTACTCTATTGAAAGATTGAATCAATAACTGAAATTAAAATAAATGGGGTGTAGTGATGTGCTGTTCCATATTGTGTAAAGATGGATTATTTTGCAATTTTGTGGTCGTTGGGGAAAAATACTAGTTTTTGAAATATGTTTTAATTTTAGGGTACTGGAGGTGGTTGTGTGTTCGTTGCAGCTTTACTCCACTACTTTGTCTTATGCACTTTGATGTGGACGGCTGTTGAAGCCAGGAACATGTACGTGAGTGCGGTGAAGGTGTTCCCAGAAGACACGCCTCACTACATGCTCAAGGCTTGCCTCATCGCTTGGGGTGAGTTTCTTGCAATATCCTCTGCATAGTTATTATCATTTTGAGGTAGGCTAATACACGAATCATACATAAATGACGTACCTCGTCAGATGTTAACGTTTACCCAATCAACTGTTTTCCAGGATCTCCACTGATTGTTCTGACGATCACCTTGGCTGCAGCAACTGATCACTACAGAAACGAGCATTAGTAAGTAAAACAGATCACGAAATAGAAATTGTCTGTCTGGTCTCAATGAAGAGGTGAAATTTCCTATTGTTTTTCATGTACTTTGTATTTCCTTTCAGCTGCTTCCTTGAGCCTGATCTTGTGCTGTACCTCGGCCTCCTTGCTCCCATTGGTCTCATCCTCATCCACAACATCATCACCTTCATCTTAGTCATGCGCAGCATCCTGAAGGTCCAGGAGGCATCTCGCTCCCAGCAGATCTCCAAACGCCTCCAGAATGCCGTGGGAATCTCCACCCTCATGGGGTTGACCTGGAGTTTTGGGTTCCTGGTCGTCATCGACGGATCGGAGGCCTTCCAGCTCATCTTCTGTCTGGCCAACTCCTTTCAGGTGGGATATCTTCCATACTACAGCATGAAACCTTATTGTCTCCAGAATTTTTCTTTGAGAAACCCAACTACATGTATTTTATCCACCTGTGCAAGATCTAATGGCACAGTTTTTGGATTAGACAGAAAGGGCATATAAGTCACCTCCATGGCGAGAGCCTTCCTCACCCCAACAAATGTCTCTCAAACCTCTTGGTTGGTTTTGATGAAAGATCTGGGCAGGGTTACGGCTAACAGTTGCATCGGCAAAGTTGTCGTCATCTTTCTGAAGCATTGTGTGAAAGCTGGCGTCTTGAATACAATAAGAAAGTTTGATACAAGGTCTTGCCTTGCATTGGTATAATTATGTTCTTGTTGAATTTGCCTTTTATTTACTTACTTTATTCCACCTCAGGGTACATGTAATGCAAAAATATACATAGAATTCTTCTAAATTAATAAGGTATGTTATAACGAATAAGAAAAAAAAAAGCAATGTATTAGTATTAATACCAAGAGATGTAGGGGACTTACACAAAGCAAGCATGTCGAGTGCGAGTCCCCTGAACAACAAAAACAATATTTAAACGCAATAAACAAAGTACATAATAACAACAAAAAGGACTCCGTATAACATAGACAATATGAGAATGTAATTGACAGGGACGATGAGTTTGAATTAATGTAAAGAAGCTTAAAAAAAATTGGCAGAATCCTTATTGAATTTAAGGTCCATGGGGGCAAGGTGTGTTTTTGATCATGCTGGACCTCATTCTGAATGAGATAATAACTGTTCGAGAATGTTTCATTAATTTCAGGGCCTGATTGTCTTCATCATGTTTTGCGTGCGACGTGAAGAGGTCCGCACCGCCCTCGCACCGTACATGAAGCGCCTCTGCTGCAGTCGCACCTGTGATGTACAGGTGCCTTGGAAAAAGAATAGGGCAAACGACCCGCCCATGTTGTCTGAATCGGTGCCGAGTTCACCATCGTCAACTGCCCACACTGCTGAATTTGACATGTCCGTGTCAGGACCCTATTAGTGAGAGGCAGGCTTCAATACTCGCTGTCTGAAGCGTCAATCTTTAAAGTCTACTTATAGAATACTTATTACCTTAACATGCACAACATTACTGGACCGAGCTCTGTCTAATGTGGATTTCTTAGTATAGGTATTTCTCTAGCACTTAACTGGTTTGTAACTCTTCACTCAGTTTCTGATGTGAGGCAGGTGGCTCTGGACAGTAACGCACATACATTGGGGATAGCCTGACTGTATGATTATGGAGCTATAAAAAAGGCTCCATGGTACGATCAAGGACAAACCATGCACTCCCGCCGTATGTGCGAACATATTTGGTCGTCAACTGATTGAGAAGCCTTTATCTCAGAAGGCTGCTCATGAATGCGTCGCGAAAGCCACATTAGACTGGGCTTGGTTCCGTAATAAAATGGTAGGTGGCACTGACATGAACACCACACGCACCCACATCGGGGTTTATTGGGTACCACTATTATCTACTTTGCTTCCCCACCATTGTTCGCCTGTGTTTCTATTTGAAATCGCTAATGCTATGGCTTTTCTGATGTGCGGTACCAAGATATCTAAAGACCAACTTGTAGGATACTACCCTCCCCATTGTTGCTCTCTGTTCTCAGTACCCCGTAATAAGTACCCATATGTATTAATACATACTCGTTGGCACGTTTGTGCCAGCTAAATTTATTTGAAATCCTCGAAAACAGACTTGTTACGCCTTTGTGTAAGGCTTCAGGCACCATTTGATTACACAGGCATGTCCTTTCCAGTGAGCTTCCCCAATTTTTCCGTTATTACCATGCAAGGAGTACTTGTCCACAAAGTCCATAACCACCACTGGATAAAGTGACAGGTGCACTCAATCTGTGACTGCCTCGTGTACATGGCAATGCAGGCATGCATGATTTGCTGATTGGCAATTCTCGGCAACTGTGCAGAATTGTGCAGGCACTTTGCAGACAATGTGCAGACATACTTAAGCTTGACCTTGCTAATAATCTCCAGGGGCCAATTTCATGGGACTGCTAAGTTCACAAATTTGCTTAGCACAAAAAAAGTCTGGCTTGCAAAAACAGGTTGCCAGCCAAAACTCCATGAGATGTATAGTGCTCGTGATTAGTATTCAGCTGTTGTAAATTTGCTATTGCATGAAAATCGCGTGGAGTTTTGGCTGGTAAACTGCTTTTATAAGACAGGTTTTTTTGTGTGCTAAGCAATTGTTTTTACTTAGCAGCACCGTGAAATTGGGCCCTGATTACTGTGGAGGGGGGGGGGTGGTGGTTTTATTTTAAAGACTTAAGCAATGTACTATAAGAAACGAAATCATTGCATTTTAAAAAACCAGCAGTTGTATATAATTATTGGTTGCAGAAGGAGGAATAGTCGTACTCGTACGACATTATTATCATCAATATCAGTTTTTTATATGTAAGCTAGTTCTTTTTATGTAAGCTAATTAAGTTTTTCTAGTTATTGCTTCGTTTGGTTTCCAGGTTTTTTTGTTAACTCCGCTCATAACTGTTGATTTGAGTGATTCAAAATGCAGTGAAGAGTTAAACAAAACAAAAACCAGCCAACTGCTTAATATATGAATGCCATTTGACAGTGTCAAGGGAAAATACAACACTTTATGATTTGCAAACATCGAAAAATAAACTACCAAGTTTTTGCGAAATACCTTACTAGGATGTTGTTAAATGGCAGTCTAAAGCATCCTGTAAAATTATGGCACCTGATGTAAAGTCGTTTTCAAGAAAATGGTATTTTTGTGTACATTTCCTACGGTGGTCGGCCGACCACCGTTGGAAAAACTTACATTATCTTTATTCATTTCCAGTAATTCCTTTTCTTTTTATATTTAAATATTTTTAAGTTCTAACTTTTGGCTTCAAATACTTTTTATATTAGTATTTGTATTTATATTTATTTACTCTGTACACAACTTGATGAGGAGTGGCAGGTCTTTGGCCACAGTGATTGTTATCGCTTTTGCCTCTCCTATGCCCATCTTGTATGTGATGAAAAAGAATTGGCATGAATAAATAATAATGATAATAATGTAATGGAGATCAATAGTTAAAACACAGAGCAAGTCGAGAACTGTGCCCGGTTATCTTTCAATCATTGTAGGAAGTTTCGAATTAATTAAATTAAATCGAATCGAAAAAAAGCAACAACAAAACAGGCCCAATATTTTTTCCGTTAAAGCACAAAACACAATTTGAAATTTTGTAAGACAAAATAATATACATGTACTCAAAATAATAGGAAGATGCCTTAATTTCCCGACGTGGTGTATCAAGCACTGTATGCTCGATGCTTTCGAGAGCTGGGGGAAAATATTCGCAGCCGGCTTAATACTCCGGCGGGACTCAAACCCACGACCTCCTACTTACATCATTTTTCACAATTTACATCATCTTTCCTAATATGCATCATTCCCACGCAAAAAAATCAACTGCTCAACCAATGAGATTTTGATTCTTACAATGAGAATTGTTTGTCAAGTTACGCACTATCGCACATGTACGGCAAGAACTAAAATATTGTATGGGCCGAACATAATTTGACGCTTGGAAAGCAATAATTGTCAATAAGGCCAAAAAAAAGTCTCCGGTTTCTGGTATGGAGCTTGCCCAAAAAGTGGTGCGGCGACGCGGCTTTTTTTTTTTTTTACCTGATTTTTTTACTTCAAATGTGTGCTGATGACTGCAAATGGTGCCCGACTAAACTTAGTGCAAATATATGGGAGTCCAGATAGGTCACATAAAGCTTATTCTTGACCATAACCCAATCTAAAAACACGTTAAAATTGTGCAGCAGCAGGATTCCAGTCAAACCAGTGAGTTTGGCGGTTTTGAGACATCATCTTTCATTGAAAAAAAAACTTTTTCATTTTGCCGACGCGCATGGCTACGGCGACGCGTGCGCATACCAGAAACCGGAGACTTTTTTTTTTTGGCCTTATAGTCAATTATTAAAAATTCATGGATTTATTACATAGACCTTTGTTTTGTTTTGTTTTTAATGCTACCGTAGGACTGCCGAGCAGAAAAGTAGAGGATCCAAAAAAATCAAAAAAGTTATGTGCTAGCCAAGCATTCAGGGATTGGATGGGCCATAACGACAATCCCTTAGGACTCTTCTGGGCTCTCGGGTGTCCTGGCCAATACACACGTCCTTCCCTGTCCATCCATGTAACCCCGGAGGGCCAGGCACCATGTAAAAGCAAAGAGCTAAGGGAGGAACAAGGCGGCATCCTAAGCCCTGATCCTTCGAGTGGACCACATGCCCTGAACCTGTACGAAGGCGCCAACCTGGAACTCACGGACAGTACTCGGGCCGCTTTCCTTTCTAAATACTAACAAATTCTTGTCAAATTCTTGATGAGAAAGACAAAGACTGAATCTCAAATCGGTCGCCTTCCTCAATTTGGCATGTCTTTCTTTTAACGGTTTAAATCTCTTTCTTTCCGCTTCAATAGACTGTAACGTTTGGCATATCGTGAGGTATATGTCTTAGGCTGAGTAAGACCTTATGTCTACTCTTAAATAATCCAATCAGGGTTACGCCGCAATAGAAATCCTTTCAAAGAAGAAGCTCCAACTTTTGATTCCTACAGTTCCTTCTATATTACAAAAGGGCTAGCGGTAAATCCGGGCACAGCGACTCCGCGATTTTTTTTAAGGATGTCCTTCCAAGAAAAAGAGTCACTTGCCCCAAGTCTATTCCAAGAGTTGTTCGCTCTTCCAAAAAAGTGACACTCCGTAATGACTATGGTCCGTGCTTGCACTTCATAGACCCTAGTTCGTACTTGATGTACACCGTCAAAAGGCTGTTAATGCCGGTACCAGATCCTTCCTCAGCATACATGGTCCGTGCTCAGATAATCGTCATCTGTATAACGATACGGCTTTGTGGCACATCACATCACAGAACTCTGCAAGTGAAAGATAAATATAGATGAATACCTTGATTTTAATTAGGGCCTAGGAGGCCTGTTTTTAACTGCATTTATACTTTTGTGTAAATTGTAACACTGTCCATTAATATTTCCTGATGATGTAAGGAAGAATATTTATAGGACATTAAAAGCCAGAAACAAAAAGAAGAAACTTAAACAGCATTTTTGCCCCTATATTTTTCTCCTAAATTCCCTAGCAAATGCACCCTAGTTTTCTAAGTGATGTTTTTCACTTAGAAATACTAACAAATTCTTGTCAAATTATTGCCGAGAAAGACAAAGACTGAATCTCAAATTGGTCGCCTTCCTCAATTTGGCATGTCTTTCTATTAACGGTGTAAATCTCTTTCATTCCGCGTCAATAGATTGTAACGTTTGGCATATCGCACGCTGAAGCACGCGCTGGGCTCAATCTAATGACCTTCTGTTTACCAGTGTAGATATTTCATCCACTTTGATCATCCAGCTTATGCTGGGTCCAGCCGGCTGATCTGAGTCATCATGTTACTTTTCAGTCCTGGAAAAATCATGTTTAAATTTGTCAAACAGTCATACTTGCACAGGCTAACTATGCAGTTCGTTAGTGACTTCGTCATACACGCGCGAGCAATACTGATTACTAGCGCTCATTGGCTAAACACTCAAGTTGCGTTAGCTTCTCAATGCTACTTAACGTGCAGTGGGCGTGGTTTAAACTGAAGTGACGTCACACTAACGAACTGAATACAGCTAAAGTGAGCCAGGTGCAGTTTCCTTGTCAAATCTGACTATACCGGGCATCAATTAGTACGAGTAAAACAACTTGATGAATGATTGTCATCCTCCTATCTTGATTTAGACACACAGCTAAGTTGATGGGAAACATTGAGACTGGCTCCCAGAATCGGGCCCAGATGGACAGCTACGCACGACGACTCACATCAATCCGTGCGGGAGTCCTGATCGACTTGGCCAACATCAGCATCAGCGGCAGCGAGGCAGAGAGCACGGAGGGTGGGCGGCAACGCTCCCGAACCACCTCACTCTCGGACGCGGAGTCCACGGATCACCAGCCGCCGCGGCGGTTCATAGACGGAGGTGTCCACATCGGCGGTATGCCGGTGTGGACGGTAATTCTGTCCCCCGGTAAAAGTGTCCGGGGGGACAGAATTACCTAGGTAAAAGTGTCCCCCCCCCCCTGTCCCGTTAATTGTGTCCCCCTCCAGGTAATTCTGTCCCCTCCAGTTAATTCTGTCCCCCCCCCTGGTTTTGCACGCATAAGTTGTTATATTGATGTTATTATAATAAATTCAGCGCACAGGTATACATTTTTAGATTTTTCCACCCTTCATCAATACTTATCAAAATGAAATTAACGTTTAGATGTTAATCAACCGATCTATGTTTCTGCAAGAAGGCACGCGTTCGCGTAGTAATACTCAACCTATCGCTATTGCGCACGCGCATCAGCCGCCGATACACGTGTGACTGTCATGGCGGACTTCAATGAGGAGAATTGGCAAAATTATACGCGACACGGGTCACGGCGCGCCGCAGGCCTGCTGCGGGAGTTGTGCTTTGACGTAAGCACCATTCACGAATTTAGCAAGGCGCCGCGCAAAAACAGTTAATAACTTCACTAATATACAGTCTGGGTGCTAGACTTATGACGTTGCACGGGGACACATTTACCAGGGGGGGGGGGACACATTTAACGTCGTGCAGGGGGACAGATTTACCTAGAGGGGGACAGGTTTACCTAGGAAAAAGTGTCCCCCCGGACAGATTTACCGGGTCACGACCCGGTAGATCTGTCCGGGGGGACACATTTACCAGGGGGGGGGGGGGGGACAGAATTACCTGCCACACCGGACATCCTGCAAGGCGCCTCCACCTCGGATTACGAGATGGACTTCATGAGCATTTTCGGTACACTCCTCGATGAAATCCGCATTAAATATATAAACATTTATCACATCAATAATGTTGTTTATTGGCCTCCGTACTTTATGAATACGCGGCTGAATACGCGGCTGAATACGGGGCTGTGGTATCTGGCCGATATACGCGGCCGGGTTCACTCAGGTGCATGGTGGCGATGTTTAAACGAGGAAGAAAATTGCATGAGGCATTAAAAAGACAGTTGTATTTAATTTATTGACATGTTGGTTAAGGTCTCTTCAGTTTCAACAAAATATGCGTAAGTATAGTGAAGAAAAGAAGCACGTGCATCTCCTGCACGCAACGAACAGATTACCATTTTCATACCCCCCCCCCCCCTGTTGGACTTGAAAATGGCACTCGCCTGGTCCGTGCTGAAAAGGGAGACAGGGTTTTTTCACGAGGCCTCCGTAATATCAAAAAACGGGGGTTGGGAGTGGGGGAGGGGGTGGACACCATCTTCATTTGAGGGCGCTGTTCAAAACAGACGGATCATGGGCACTATCGGACAATGGGCGGCCCTTTTTATGGTTGCCCTATTCAATTACAGACGTTCGCGCGACGTTCCAAACAGAGCACTCGTTAAAAAAAAAGGCACTCGTAAAAAAGGGCGCTCGCCAAAAAAAGGGCACTTGTGAGAAAAAGGGGGATCATTATTGAGGGGGGAGTGCGTGACGATGGATGATAAATTTGTCTACGTCCTTACGTCTGCCATGAGCTTTGTGTTCGTTGAGTCTGGTAGGGAGATCCCGACATTTATTCATTAGATCGGCGGGCGGATTTTTGGCCTTTTTTAGTGGGGTGCACCCCTATTTAATTATGGGGAGCTGGTGACTTTTAACTTCTTTGGGTTCTCATTCGTTAGATTAAGTTTGCTTAATTAGTGATTCGGAGTAAACCCCTTTAATTAGGGGAGGATCACAAACCATATACTTATTGGACTGGCTGCTACATGCTGATTGAAAAAAATATGCTACATAAATACTTCTGTTTAAAATATCTGCCTCGTATTAAAAAGGTTTTATTTTATTGCCTCATGTATAAGTTTTTAAAAAAGTCTAGGATAGATTTAAGAATTCATTAACTGATCAAGGTTAATGGCTACTTTGTACAAATAATAAATCAAAACACTTCATAAATGAATTACTCTTTGGTTGCTGTTAAAATTACAGAATACAATTATTATTTACATCATGTTGAGACAGTACTTGAATTGCCATTGTAACATTTTTTTATCATTGAGTATCGTAACGATGATTCGAAAGGACAGTTCAGAACATCAAGTAGATGTACACATATCCATGAATACAACAATGAACGACAATATGTCCCCCTCCCTCCAAAAAAAGTGGAGGCCTGACTATTTTTGAAATAACTACAAAACCATGTGGTTGAAAATATGAGGTTGTGCACAGCTTACATAACAACAAAGCACTGAAATTGATTAAGGCAAGGAACTTGGTCACTGCGTCCAAAATTGTTGTTGTGATCACAAACTGGCAATTGTGCAGTGAGGCGTGACTGAAATTAAATCAAACTCACAGGGGTTGTGACCAAGGAGTATCTGCACGGCCAACACTTTTCAAAATTGACCTCGCAGTTTTGTAGTTATTTTAAAAACAGTCAGACAGACACTAATTTGGGACATACTGTAAAGGGACGCCGCTGTTTTTGTTGAAACAGTGTGGCAATTATTTCCAACTATAGCCACCATGATGGCCAAAAACGTTGGTGTCCCACGAGTCTACAGATCACGTGGTTGATTTCGCTGACCCAAAAGAGTTCATACATCAAGGACGCATGCATGACAGCAACAATTTTGAGGGTTTAGGCCTACATGACAACACGCATGGCGGAAAATCACGAAGAAGTCGAGTTATTCAAGTTTACAATCAACAGTAATTATTGAGCGTTGCACAAGCAGTTTTTACGCCGACGAAGTATTCTGCTTTAGAAGTATGTGTACACGTGTTATTTTTATGAGGAACTTTACTCACTGATTGAACATTATTGGGATGACATTAAAAGAATAGCGAACTTCCCACAGATACTCGGTTTCTTTTAGGTAAAACAAAACACTTTAACTGAACCTGGATGACTCTTCATTTTACAGCTACATGTAATACTACTAGATATGAGACTCGCATACCAACTCATAATTCACCTACTGGTATGATGATTGATGAACATATTTGGAACATTTCCATCAAATTGTCCTCACTTTTTGTCCGCGAAATTTAAAATTGCTTTCGCGGTTCGTCCAGTGTTTCTCCATGTTTGCAAGTTCAATTACAAATGCAACCTGCAGTAACAGTAAACTCCAAGCCACTTGCATGCTTTTTAGGACATTTGAAATCATAATTTGGACAAAGCGTGAACATTAAATAATTATTATCTAAAGATGCCGTTTGCTTAAGTAATTATTTGAGCATACGTGACTTTTGACAGCTGGAAATATTGAAAACCATATATCTTACACATTAACATCAGCAACAAGTACAAAAAAAAATGTTTCTGCAAAAGCAATCAAACATCTGGAATGTATGTGTCAATTATGAATATCACGTTATCTTTGGCATGCGCTTATGAACAGTTTCCAATGGGACTGACGCGTCGGAGATGCGACAGACACCAATGTACATTGTGAATATAGCGCCCTCAGCTCAGGCGTGTACTGGTTGTCTCATTATCACGCGGGAAGGTACCTCCAAAACGAAACCGTTGAACAAGCTATATGAACTGCATTTGGATCATCAACGTGAGCGAGGTGTCAATCGTATGGTTTTCAAACAGTAATGCGTTCGTGCGGAATCGAGCAGTTCATCTGATCCAACTATGGAGATACCCTCTCTGGAAACCTTCATTGGACGGAAAGAAACTGGTACGCCGTCGTCGCGGGTCCCCGTAACCTCTTTTGTCCTGCCTTGTTTTTTTTTAACGAAATTATACCTTATACTTCACGATCAAGAGATGTGTGCTGCTGTTATGTTCACAATAAAAAGGTAAGAATGTCAGAATTCACGATGAAAACATTACGTTGGCCTATGTTGCAATACAAAACCGTATAAGAATCACAAAACATAATTTATGCACCATGTTGTATGAAAGGCTGTTGGTTTACAGTCATGTCAACCCCGATTCGTATCAGATTTTTCCAAACCGGAACATTTTGTGGTCAGCGAACATTTTGTGTTCAGAGTATAAGAGGGGAACTTACGGTTTTTGAAATTTTCTATCGGTTGTTCAAGCCGAATGATACTGCTTGAGACTATTCTTTCATTCCATACAACAATGGTCGTCAATGGTGTGCGAATCATTGATTGGCAATCTAAGAAAGGTCTAGATATCTGTTAGTACTACACTTTCTTCGGGAGGAATCTCTATAGAATATCTTTGTTTTACAATTTCTTTTTACAATGTTAAAACATAGACAGCTGCAAATTTGACGTCTCTAAATAAAATCTCTAGAAGTACGTGTCAGTGAGTGAGTAACCAGGTGATTGGTCATCACCGGACAAAGAGGGCGGGGCTACCCCAGCTGAGCTGTCAGCTGGAGGGGTAGCAGGGACCGAGGACGACGGCTCGTACCGTCACGAGTTTGACTCTCGCGAATCCGACCGATCGACTTGGAAATCCCACCGAACCTGAAAGTTACCATCCCCTCCCTCCGGGTTGCCCAAGGTGAAATTCTCCGTGGCCACAAAATCTATCATCTCGGTGACGTCATTAAAACTGACTGATTTCCTCTTCTGGCTGAGGGGTCTGTTCATGAAGTCCATCTCGTAATCCGTGGTGGAGGCGCCTTGCAGGATGTCCGGCATACCGCCGATGTGGACCCCTCCGTCTATGAACCGCGGCTGGTGATCCGTGGACTCCGCGTCCGAGAGTGAGGTGGTTCGGGAGCGTTGCCGCCCACCCTCCGTGCTCTCTGCCTCGCTGCCGCTGATGCTGATGTTGGCCAAGTCGATCAGGACTCCCGCACGGATTGATGTGAGTCGCCGTGCGTAGCTGTCCATCTGGGCCCGATTCTGGGAGCCAGTCTCAATGTTTCCCATCAACTTAGCTGTGTGTCTAAATCAAAATAGGAGGACGACAATCATTCATCAAGTTGTTTTACTCGTACTTATTGACGTCATAGTCAGATTTGACAAGGAAACTGCACCTGGCTCACTATAGCTGTATGCTGGGGCCAATTTCATAGAGCTGCTTAAGCACAAAATTTGCTTAAGCACAAAAAAGTCTTGCTTAATAAAATCAGGTTACCGGCCAAAACTCCATGCGATTGTTATGCGAAGTAAACAACAGCTAAATACCAGTCACAAGCAATGTACATCACATTGAGTTTTGGCCGGTAACCTAATTTTACTAAGCAATGTTTTTTCGTGCTTAAGCAAATTTTCTGCTTAAGCAGCTCTATGAAATTGGGCCAAGTTAGTGTGACGTCACTTCAGTTGAAACCACGCCCACTGCACATTAAGTAGCACTGAGAAGCTAACGCAACTGGAGTGTTTAGCCAATGGGCGCTAGTAATCAGTGGCGCGCGCGCGTGTATGACGAAGTCACTATAACGAACTGGATAGTCGAGTCAGCCTGATGCAAGTATGACTGTTTGACAAATTTAAAAATGATTTTTCCAAGACTGCAAAGTAACACGAATGATGACTCAGATCAGCCGGCTGGACCCAGCATGAGCTGGATGATCAAAGTGGATGAAATATCTACACTGGTAAACAGAAGGTCATTAGATTGAGCCCAGCGCGTGCTTTAGCTGATAAATAGATATCGTTTTCAGTGCAAATATCGGTATTAAAAAGGAAATACCTTCTACTTTAAAACAAAGTAATGTTTTTACCTCCATCGCTGCTTCCGCCTCCTGTATCTCACCAACCAGGTCGAGAAGATGATGATTAAGACGAAGCAAACAGACCCAATGGATCCCCATACAGCGGCTATGATCAAGTTCGAATTGTCCTCTCCTGTTAATTAATAAATCGAGAAGATATTTAACGTCGGAAACATATTGCTTTGTATGATTTCTGTTAAGAAATAAGCAGGGTGTTTTGCTAGCTCCATTCACCAATTTAGACGCTGTGATTTTGCTGGAGCAATTGGTGGTTGTATTCAACAAAAGCTGCCACATTGCTTACGGCGGGCAACACTTATTTGTCCTGTGAATGCAGTGATGATCAAGCGCTCAGATTTCTGTCCAACTAACTGAAAGTATAGCAAGTCGTGGTATGTTTCCCTTGGTTCTTTTAAGAACCTCACAAGCTCACAAAAGAGATTTGTCACATGGTGCTACCGTAAACCTTTATCTTAATGCTATCTTTACCATGCTAACCTTCAAATGTTTTTTTCTTGGTTTTAAGAGAAGATGGAGATGCACTTTTTGCGCAGCTATAGTCAAACACCTTTATAACAAGGTCCTTGGGACTTTACGAGTTACCTTGTTATAACAGGTACCTTGTATTAACAGTAATAGTGACTTCGGACCTAAAATTTTGCTTGTTATATGCAGGATGTTGTATTAACAATGCTCTTCTTATCAGGGTTCGACTGTACTTGTCGTAACAGTTTGATGTGATAAATCGCTTACCAGTTGGTGGGGGAGATACGGGGTCCTTCCGAACTTCGCAACGATCTCCCTCGTGTCTAGTGTCGCACCTTTGGACACCAGGGGAAAAATAAGAAAAAAAACTAGTGAGATTTAACAGTAACACGAATTACACTTTCCATGCGCCTAGTCAGAACACAGGTCACTAGTAGACCAGATAAGGTTTTCATACCTCGGCTAGTCGGCTTCATCTCTGACAATTGTCGTCAGGAAATTGTACATGCCCCTGATTGAGAGATTTCCGGTAAAAACAAATACTTCATGTCCTGCTTCACGAACATCGAATCTTGTGATATGACGTCACAATACTATTGTATATCTATTTTGAACTGGTTATTAAAGGCTTCCAAATAATTCTGGAGCTAGAGTTGTATCGGAGGCTTGAAGAAGAAAAAAATGCCCAACAATGCAAAATTATAAAATCTCGTAAATTCTCGGGGAGTCTGTGTGAAGAGGTGTTGATAGAAGAGGTGTTGATAAAAAAGGTGGTTTGATTGCAATAAGAAAAGTAGAGTACATGTACTGTGATGTTTGACACTTCATCCGCTCCAAGACGTACCTGCAAGACGCCAACTGCTTCTCTCCTGAGGGTTCCTCACACACTCCGTCATTCAGACAGTAGTTGTCATTCAGGTAACAGTTTGAGAAACAGTTAGTCTGGTAGACGTAACACACCATGGACACCGGGCAAGGCAGTAAGAAACACGGGTCGACTTCGACAAAAGTACCTATAACAAGATCGATACTGAATTGACTGGTATCCGTAAACAGAAAGTTTTGCTAACCAACTCATAATCGCAATTCAATTTCTCGTTTATGGTTCCATCATATGAAACAGATCTTTAGAGAAAAATAATGAGTTCAGTTCTCTGTCTTTACCATCAGTTGTGACAGCTGACATGTCGGATACGGTAAAGTTGCCCAAACTCCCGCTGTTTTGCACTTCGTTGTACATGACGCTAAGCCAAGCCGACTTCGTGGACTCGTCTAAGTCTGTCGATGCTAGAATCTGGACCTCGGGGACAATGCTGCCTCGCCTAAAAAACAAACAAAAATGACGGATATGAGAAGAAAATGCGTTCAACAGAGTGCGATAAAAAACGCAAGTCAAATAGAAAGGAACTACATGGACACTGTTGATATGGCATCTTGCAGTTTAGTGCTCGAGACGCGGTTTTTTTTTCAAGAAACGTTCAAATGAACTTCTTAATCCTCCTAAGCAAACATGCTTTCTATGCAAAGCTGTCCTTTCAGTCAAAATCAGTCAAGTGACTGTTTTTTAAGGTCAAGTGCTCCCAGCCATAAAGCAGGATTGATTGGTTGGGACTGTTTATGTAACTTGCTACATCTTTGCTTTGACTGTAGGTGATTGATAAGACAGCTGTGCTTCTACCAGTTGCCTGCTTGAGGCTGTTGACTGAATTTGGCAAGTCAGAGTGCTTGTTTGAAATATGATCTGACTGTTGGTGATTAGGCTATACACAGTAAAAGGCATGGCAGGGGAAGTGGATAGAATGTGTGACTCTCTGTGACTGTTCAAACAGTAGGAGGGTTGGCATTCCAGCAAACAGTTGTGTGAACTCGCGACTTCAAGTTGTGAGGCTCAGCTCTAACAATAATCATGTTAGAGAAGCAAAGTTGCATGTATTTCCATATCATCAATTTAGGTTCATTATATACGTACGTTATTTTCAACACTTTGACGCTGTCAACCATCGTCACACCTTCCCGCGTGTACAAGTCTGATATCTGAGAAAGGGGGAATCGATGGAAATGTAACACAGTTAATTTGAAACAACAACGATGACAGAAGAATCCTACTACAACAAACACGAAAATTAGGACTACCTTCGCACACTAGTCTGGCACCAGCAAAAAAGAACAGGTTACTGGCCTGAGGGTACAGCCCAGCAAATAGGCCGAAAATCCGTCCGCCGAGCGAGCTCATGAATAAAAGTTATACACTCAAATTATTCTGTATTAGAGAGTTCTGAGAGCCATGAAATTGGGGAATTGAAGATATATGGCACTGCACCTCTGGCCTGGACTTGAGGCTTCCAATTCTGAGCATTTTGGATGCAATCGGGTCCGAAAGTGGCACTATTTAGCCATGTTATGGAGGGATACATTTTCAAAATGGCTACTTTTCCAGTTTGGGAAACATCGTTCGTATTTAAGGGTGGTCTTCTTTCGGTGAGAATTTCTCGAAAAGTCATCGGTCGGCCCACCAAACATTGAGAAGAAAATGAAAGATGACGTGTTGATCATCATTCATTCTGTGCAGCCTGATCACCTGTGAGAGTTCTGAGTATTTTTAAAAGCATTTTGAATTATGGGGATTTTATCACTGGTGTCTATGGGAATTTTTTTAAAATTTTTAACTGAGTTGTACAAAACAATGTACCTGTTTTACTATTCAGCATCCAAGTTCACAATCTATAATGTCTTGTGCCGAAATTATGTCAAGAAAATAGGACCCAAAACAAGTTTAACAAGAGTATAGACCTTTATGGATCGGTTTGTATTATTATTATTTTGTTGCGAATAATATCAGTCACTCTTTTTAACTAGAAGGGTCCAACATCGAGTGGAATCCATTTCACCAGAAGTAATTGATTATGTGATTGATTATCAGGAGGAATCGATAATACAAAAAAATAATAACAAGAAATCGACACTGCAAAGTAATCGACACTACACGTTACTAACCTCTTGCTCGACCTGCCGCGCTATACTCCTGAACGATTCCGATGCTGGATCATTCAAATCTTCTGTGAAGGGAATACCCTCGATTCTCACTCGCATTCGAATCTCATTTGCCTCCTCTGTCAAGAAAAGATTTTCCAAAATCATCTTGGTTTTTACGGGACTTTTGAAATAAAACTAGTTCCAAAAGAACTAGCCTTGACCAATGCTGTCAAGCCAAGCTTTTTCCCTGAACTGTCCGGCAGCCGTTTTACCCTACTTGTCACGGCAACGTACGCCGCTAGCAGCCCCCTGGCTAGCTCCGCTTGCCTGTACTGTACTTGTCACGGCACACGTACGCCGCGCGCTTTGCCGGTACGTATACAGTACCTACGTACGTACGTACTACGTGCACCCCATGCAGTAACCAATACGCAGTCGCAGTCGAGGCGAAAGACAGCCTTGACGCAACCGTCGCCAATTTCTTATGTGTTTCTTTACGTTTTCGGCCAATATCGGCCGAAAATTTCTGATGCACATATTTTACACGATAGCCAATCACAGCCCGTGCACTTTGACCCAAACATGCATATTCATGTTACTTCGCTTCGTCTTGTGCGTGCGCGTGTTGAACGAACGATGTGTGTGTGTGATGCGTTGTATTATACATGTACATACTGTACATAATGTACATGTACATGTGTACGTGTGTACACATTGTCGTGCTGCAGTAACCGAACAAAATGGAGGTTTCAGAAGTAAGCCTAAATGGATGTCTCAATTCTGCGGCCGATAAGCTACAAATTGACGATTTTCGTCCTGAACAACGGACTGCACTTCAATACTTTCTTCAAGGACACGATGTCTTCGTCAATTTGCCGACCGGGTTCGGTAAATCAGCGATTTTTCAAGCAGCGCCGTACTGCTGTGAATTTCTTTGGCAGCTCGGCCTGCAACAAGCACGACAAGGAGGAGCGAACGTGGACGAGAGTAGTTTTTGCATAGCCCTCGTAATTTCACCCCTCACCGCCTTAATGAAAGATCAGTTGGACTCCCTAAGTCGCAAAGGAATCAAGGCCACTGCTTTAACCAAGGATACACCCACAACTAAATGTACAGTACAAGTTTGACAGCTACTGAGCTAGCTTTTACTGCGCAAACAACACAAACCACACGCACGTGTACAAAGTTTATTGACCCTTCGACTTCACGCAGTAGTGATGAATATTTATTTTATCGTCAGCCATTATCCAATGAGAGAAGACTATTTACCATAGCGCATACTTATTATCATAATGAGCAGAAACGGTTGCGTCAAGGCTGTCTTCCGTGTGACTCCCACGGCATGGTTACTGTATACTGTACATGTACATGTACATGTACATGTTCTGTACATGTACGTGTACGTACGTCCGTGTGCGGATTTGTGTTAGGAGCATATCGCGCGCGCAGTACAGGCAATTCGCAAGCGGAGCTAGCTAGCCAGGGGCCGGGGGCTGCGAGCGGCGTACGTTGCCGTGACAAGTAGGGTAAAACGGCTGCCGGACAGTTCAGGGAACTGAAACTGAAAGCTTGGCTTGACAGCAACGGCTGACGGACAGTTCAGGGAAAAAGCTTGGCTTGACAGCATTGGTCAAGGCTACAAAAGAACAAGCAACCTTGCTCATGAAATTTGGACTCCTATAAAATCTGGTCTCTTTTACCTTGTAAGGATTCTAACCCTCACACGTAATCGGTCGCTATACTAACTATCTTGATTTAGGCATGCGCAATGCAACAAAGCAGTCCGAATTCAGGGTCCAACTTTCACACTACACCGGCGCACGTGGCTCTACCAACTTCATAGAGCTGCTTAAGCATAAAATTTGCTTAAGCACAAAAAAAATTGCTTAGTAAAATCAGGTTACCTGCCAAAACTCCATGCGATGTACACTGCTTGTGACTGGTATTTAGCTGTTGGTATTTAGCTACTTAGCATAACAATCGCATGGAGTTTTGACCGGTGACCTAAGCAAGACTTTTTTGTGCTGAAGCAGCTCTATGAAATTGACCCCAGAGCTGTATCCAGCTCATTTTTGTCAATTTCGTTCATCGGGCGCTAGTCAGATGCTATAAAGAGCCATTGCTTTGAATCATGAGTGTGTTCCTTACCACTGATGACGTAGGCAGTTGATACCTCGGGATTCAGCTGTTGCTGCGCAGTGCTGGTCGCCGCCATGGGAGTTGTGGATGCTTCTGTCGATTGCAATAAGGTAGTTTGGGTGGTGGATATTGACTCCGTTGTGAATTCAGTAGTCGATCCACTCGTGGTTGCCCTAAACTCGGTGGTGGATGCACTCGTTGTTAAGGATGCCCCGGTTGATGTAGATTCAGTGGTTGATCCACTCGTGGTTTTTGTGGATAAAGGCCTACTTGTTGATCCACTCGTGATCATCGCCGACACACTTGTTGATCTACTTGATGGGGCTGCGCTTGTGGATATCAATTCCGTTTCGCCGATGTTTTCCATGGTTGTCTGTGGAACTAACGGTGGAACTGTGATCTCCTCAGTTGTATTTTGTGTCGTTATTTGCACAGTTGAGTTTTCCACAGAAAGTGTTTCGGCTAATGACGTCATTACTGTTGACTCCGTTGCGTTCGTGACGAAATCGCTGTCGGGTGAATGGGATATATTTACATGCGCAGTAGAAGAATCGTTACGTACCGGTAGTGTCGTGAACATTTCAACTGGTGCAGTAGTCGATTGTGTCGAGGGTGTTGAAGCTGACGAAGTATTACTCGACGGTGTCGGGACTGCAGTAGACAAAGTTGTGGATGTATCGGATTCAGATGTTGATGACGTTGTAGACATATCAACTAAAGATTCTGTGGATTGTAATGGTGTTGTGGATGTGTCAGGCTGCAGTTCAGTTGCGGCGTCTGAGAGTGTTGTGGATGTATTAGGCTGAGATGTTGATGCATCGTAGGATGTTGTGGGCGAATCGTCTAATGGTTCTGTGGATGTTGACGCTGTTGTGGATGTATGAGGCAGCAATTGAGATGATGTAGCGTCTAACAGTGTTGTAGATGGACCAACAGAAGTAGATGTACTATCAACTAGTGAAGAATTATCAGTCGGTGTCACTGATGACGTCATTTCTGTTGACAGGTCAGGGGATTTTGGTATCTCTAGCGTAGATGATTCGTTCGACGGTTCCAACGTGGGCGTTTCCATCGACGAGGTATTTACAGTTAACACCGTGGTGTTTTCATATTGCGAAGGTGTTGGTGTCTCCAAAGTTAAGGTACTCGTTTCAAAATCACTGAAAGCCGGTATAGTTGTTGTGTTTTCCATTAAAGGCTGGGTCGTGTGGAAATCACTTTGTGACGTTGTGGAGAGTTCGGTTACGACTCGAGTTTCGTTGCTAGCAGCAGTACCGTTGTGCATAGTGGATTCACCCGTGACGTCAACAGCTTGTGTTACAGTCGATGACACTTCTGAATCAACTGTTGATGTTGATTCAACAACTGTTGTCAACGGTGTATCAACCGTTCCAAGCATCGTGGCTAGTGTCGCAGTAAGCGGAGTTGTTGAGTGAGTTACTTGTACTGGTTGGGTTGATGTAGTTTCTAAGCGTTCAAAAGGAGTTGACGTTCCAGTGTTGTGCGTAGGCCTAACGTTTACTAACGTTGTAATCATGTTAGGTGAAGCAGTTTCTTCGCCTAATGGCGTTGTGTTTAAAACACTTGAGTTTGTAACGGTCGAAACACCCAGGGAACTTGTTTGACTTCCGTCAACTTGAGTACTTGTTGACTCGGTCTCTTGGTAGAGTTCGCCCGTGGTTGTCGGGCTATAATCTGTTGTCGACTCGGCGGTAGTTTCGCGGGAAGACGTAGTGCTACGGACTGTGCTTTGGTAAACCTCTGTGGTAAAATCCGGGCGCGTGGGCGCTATGGTTACAATATCTGACGTGATCTCCGTCCAATATTCCTCCAATGACTTCACAACTGTGGCTCTGGAGTAACAAATACAAGGAGGGAACGACATTATGACATAATGTAGGTCCAGTGAATTTTGATGAAACGACTGTGCGCTGGTTTTAGGTTGTATTTTAAAATGCGAAAACATACTAACTTAGTACATCAGTTGCACTCATTTGCATGGGAATTTTTTTCGGTGTGTGTTTCCAAGTTTTGGTGTCGATACAGGCAAAATTGATATTTGGAACGAATCTATGGCAACAAACTGCTTTCATAGCTGCTTTGAAATGTTAGTTTTCTGGTCATGAAATCAACTGAGATTCCTCACTAAGCACACAAGGCATAGCTCACAAGCCTGAAGAACGATAGACAGGAGACAATGAGAATAAATTACAGTTTTGTGGGAGGAAAACCCCAGAAGATTATTCTGGGTGGAAATCCCACGGAATCAGGTAGGGACTGAAAACCTAATCCACATGTTGGCCCGGGCGGGATTCGAACCCGGGTCCCTTGGTGGAAGGCGAGGAAGATACCGCTACGCCAACGTATGACTCCCATGTAATCTAATCTTCATCTTAAAAAGGGCCATTTACAGCACAGTTAAGTATGAAAATCAAAGACAATTTGCTTACATGAAACGCATGGGACCCTGGACATTCCTGGGCGCCCTCCAGACAGCTTCCAGAGTTGTCTTTTGCCCTCGGTTGGTGTGTGTGAGGGCGCTATTTTCTTGACCGTTGCATGCTAACGTCTGCATCCTTCGATCGCTGGGAGTAAATAGCCCGACTGCCGCGGGGTTCTGGTCATCATTAACCCATCGCGCCTGGAGTAGGAATCCGCGGAATTGAGCCCTCCCGCCGGTGATGGTAACTGTGGAAAGGAACGTTCATTTATTACACTCATGTTAATGAAAATCCAATCCAATCCATGAAACGTGTCTATTATAGGAAGTGCATGTCTTTGCAAGCTGATAGCCAAGTTCACACGTGACCTTTGCCCCACATAACCTTTGGCTGAGATAGGCCTAACAACCATCAAATATCTGTATGAGCTGCCAACTATTCTACAAAAAATATTGTGATTTTCGTGCTTCAAGACAATTGTTCGCGTTAGTTTCGGGATACATTTGTGCACACGAGAATGCCGCAAAGGACTTTCATGCCATATCATACAATAATTTAGTGTACAGCATCAGTATCATTCAGAGGAACTATTATCCCTAAATGGCTTCAATCCCTTCAGGGTCACTGTATGAAAGTACTTTTATGTGTAATTCCAGAGCAGTCCATAATGGTGTGCTGGTGGTCTGCCATCCATTTTAATCCTTACACGCTTTCATAATGCGGTATTTAAACCATCATGATACAAATGCAGCTTTACAGCGCCTTAAATCCACATGTCTGAGTACTATACTAATGCGCCTATCAATGTTCATGTCAAAAAAACAAGTTGTAGATTATCTGATGGAGGACATAGGTAAGTGTGTAGTCAGTATATTACTTCTGCCAAATACAACATGACAACACGGTAAAGAATGGACACAGTTCGCCGGCCATACGGGGACTAGGCCCATAAATCCATACTTTTGTCATTCCAAACTTTTGTGCACTTGGTTCAACCATGGTTCGACCTTGAAGTTGGTTTTCACGGTTGCGCAGATTACAATTGACAACACAGGCAACAATCCTCACTCATACCCAACAACAACAGACGCCCCTTTTGTACTCCCATATATAGTGCCTCCACCCGGTTCTGAGTCAAGCCTTGTTGCGTGTTGACAACACCATCCATGCAATTCCACGTGGGCGCTCTTGTCAAGTTTGTCATTCAAAATAATAATAATACACACGCCATGGTGATTGATATTTCTGTTTGGAGGAAATAGCCGGCCTCTACTTGACACGCCAACAGGCGTAGGTGTGTTCTAATAACCCGGAAAGCCCCTTCTCGTGCTTTATGTTAAATTTTGACATGTACAATTTAACCCCAGCTACGCCTAATAATACTCTCCAATTGTTACCACATGAACAAGGATGCATACCTATGTTCCCCAATAGGCCTACCTATGTTCCCAAAAACCTATGTTCCCCAACCCTAACCCTAATCATCTAAGCAGGATTTTGGGGAACATAGGTATTAAGGAACATACACTCAACCAAAAAGAAAGTCGCCCCCTTCCAATACTTTTTTGTCTAACAACAAAAACTACTGAGCACCTCTCGCTCAAATAACGTCTAATCAGTACAGATTTTTGACAGAAATGATACCGAAAACAGTTGCACTTTTGTATACGTGCAAGCTGTGGTTTACACTCAACTTGCAAATATAACTTTTTTTTCGGCAGCATTTGTCATAAATTGCATGGTGTTGCACACATTATTGCTGTTTTGGGCCAAATAAAGAGTATTGCTGGATTGCTAAGGAATTTCTGTACCGATTAGTCGTAATTTGAGCAAGATGTGGGCAGTAGTTTTTGATGTTAGACAAAAAAAGTATTGGAAGGGGGGGGCTTTCTTTTTTGGTTTAGTGTGGGTATTTTGGAACGTATAGGCTAATTTGTGAGTTAATGTACACAACTTTCTTCACCACGAAGTGAAAAGTAATTTTGTTAACGGCTCCAACGTCAGAACTACAGATAAAGGAGCACTTTCGTTCCGATACGGCCAAATTTAAGACTTTAGATTTTTGTTGTTTTGTTGTCCATTATTTCAAAGGTCCGATCCAATATCCGTATAATCCCCGGATCTTTCAAAATCCAACAAAAAATTTGATATTGATGAATAGCTAAATTGAGGACGGTAGATCTAAGCCACCATTACTCAGTGCGTGGGGTTCACCACTGAGGCTTAAGCATAACTGAATATTTTAGAAGATTGTCCACAACAATGCTTATTGAGTTTTTGGCCCATTCATATGGTCAGTGGTTTTTGGACGCTTAGTACTAACTGTCCCTCACTCACCAAAGAACAAAATTGAGATGACATTACTCACCCGTTATTACGCCCCCTGGCGACACCGTTGAGTCATCAATCTCCAGCCTGTAAGGGCTTTCGGTATCCATGGCAACCACATCCTTGTGCCTAGGTGTCATATCCACGCAGGCCGTTTCAGGGGCGCCGGTCGAGTTCCCAAGCCCCACCCCTATCATTGCAAGCAGAGGGATCAACAGACACCAGATCGCCATCACGATAGGCAATAATATAGCCGCGTCTCAAAGGGTCCTGCCTGGGTCCAAACATCCGGAGAAACTGGCTCCTTTTCTCCACCCGTTACCATGGTAACGCAGAAATGACACTGACTGATTGACAACGCCATGTATCATCTTGATGTTATGGCAATCGGCTACATGGCTTCCACACCGCTTCATCGACACAATACCAGCATAGCTTGCATGGTTTGGCGCGGGCGCTTCAGTAGGCCGAAAGAACACTCAATGCTGAAAAACAAAATTACATGTAAACTGTCCGTGAAAAAAATGACTCCCAAAGTCGATCTTTTACAAATCTAATCATGTAATCTACATTATATCCTCGGGAAACAAGTCTATGTGGAAGCTGAATATTGAAACAGACCTCAACCTAAAGGTTTCAACAAATGTCGAACACTATTTTGTCAACTTGAATGTCAAAAAAGGGGGAAATCGCTCACCAACAATCATCAAGCTAGCCCCTTCAAATTGGTTGTCTGATGGTTTTCTTTCACATTTTCAACCAAATTCCAGTTGTTAAAGTTTCATTCCTAATTCCAATGTTCCATCGGCCTTCCGAGGATATATCCGTTCTAACCGGGAGCCATGGGTTGGTATTTTGAAGTTCGAATACCTGAAAATTGGCGAGTCGAAATAAATTGACATAACAAAATATCTATACTAGCTGGCACCACTTTGCCAGGAATTGTCAGTGGACTAAATGGACCGAGAGACTAAATTCCGTCTCTGCACATTAACCCAGTTTTATTGTTCCTTTAAATCTGCAGGATGAATTCAATCTTTTTCCTACGGAAACAACTTGTTTGATTTGAAATGCCATACAATTAAATCAATCAAATTGACCCTTGAATTTGAATGTATCAGGCTTGCAACAGGTGAAGAGGTACACCGCGTCATACACCCGCAGACTCTCATTGCACCCAAGAACACTTTCGTTGCCAACACTCCAAGAAACCCAAGGTCCATTGACAAAAGCCACCGCCCCCAGACAAGTCAAAGAATTCACATCAAGTCTCCAAATAACGTACATACTTCAACTCTCCTCGGTCTATACTTCAACAGCGGTAATTTCGTTTCCTTCTATGACGATTATATAACACACGGATCTTCCAATATGCTTCCATTCTTTGTGCAGTGTTCATAACAATCATGTGATCACACTGTTTGCCTATTCCGAGTCCGTATACGGAAGCGTGCAGTCATTGACAAGAATAAGGCCAAAGGAATATAGACACCGCCTTTTCTAAAGACATTTTCAATATCACACACTGTTTGAATAAACTATATAATTGCCCAAAAAATCGCAGGAATCGGGCTACAAGAAGTTACACTTGTCTTCTTGTACAGACTAAAGACCTGATTCATGTCTTAAGTTTTGTCATAAGGCATATTCTGTACAAGCTTCGGATTTTCTTGACAGATAACTCCAAATATGCTTTAAAATTGTGTGAATTGGTTAAGCATTTTCATTCAAAAACCTTTGACACATTTTCTTGTCATCATCTATCCTTTTCAATTATTGTTTCATATTTCTACTTATTTATTACAACAATTTGAGGTTTCGAAATAAATGTCTCATTCTGCACCACCATTATATCCGGTTGTTCAGTAAGACGGGGTGACATGACACATACTTCCTGACGAAATTCTTGAAACAGTTGGTGCTATCTGTTAATATAATTCAGAAAGTGGATTTTTGCTTTCTGATTTTCCCCAGTTCCTGGGCATTTTATGATGTTGTACAAAAGTAAAACCTTTTCCTTTTTGGCTTGCACTGATGATTACAATCTCCCAAGTCCCCTTACAAATTGGACCCGGTGGTGCTCCAACGTCTCCGTTGTAATCATTTGTATCACTGGTGTCACCATTATCATCTGTTATCACCACCATACTATCATCACCATCATCCCGTAATTACCATCATGATTTTCCTAACTATGACAAGAACTATCATTAACATACGTTCCAACAGAATCATCTCCACAGAAAGATAGCGAATGTTCAAAACCGTGTAGGAAAACAAGTGAACTATAGGCCCTATAGTTCCCTTGTTTCCTACACGGTTTTGAACATTCGGTATCTATTGGCAGTGTGGTACTTACGTAATCCTTTCTTGGTCGCAACTGAATGGTCTTGAGTGAAGATAAAAGTCCTCAAATTATCTCCAACCCAGGACAACGGTATAAAATCCACTCAGTGACTCAGTTAAGTCAAAATAATCCCAATTCGTCAAATGTGAACACTATAGGCTATGTATATGCTGAATATTTCCGTTTAGGTTGTCTGCAGTTGACGTCGAGTTTACTGAATGAATATCAAACATGAATGCCGATAGGGCATGCATTGTCAACCCCTGACACACATGGGTGTGCCCCGAATTGGAGCGTCACGCTTGAATGAACCACAATGGGAGAGAGTTGTGTACGTTGAGCCCAACTATTATGACCGACTTCACGAGCAAGCACAGGTAGGTGCGAGGGGGGAATGCGGATCTATGTCAGTATATGAAGCTATTACGAATGGAAGCTGAGTACTATATAAACCTACATTGGGTGGATTTTAACATGAGGCGATGTTCCAGATTCAATGTCACCATTTCCCTTCATCCGATCTCATTGAGAAACAAATTGTAATAATAATAATTGTATTCATTGATGGGAGCCATGTCACCTCGGGCCATGATGACTTTCAATGGGACATCATTACAAAAAATAATTTAAAAATACATTGAAGAATGACAGGTAAACTTTCGTGAGATCCTGGTAAAAATTCTAAATACAGTATAAATAAAATAAGTAGAGGAGGCTTAAAATACAATACCACAATAAAATATACAATAGAATCCAAGGCTAAAATTCAACACTCGAGGACGAGGAGACCCAGAGGGACGGAGAGACAAAAGGACAGGCCACAAGAATTACTGACCATCAAAGACCGCCAAAGTAATGACATCCAAGACCTGACAAAAAATGAAGACAAAACCCTGAAGACTTAATTAAAATACATTAAACAATCAACCAGTAACTATAGAAATTACAGAGCATGCTAGTTGTGTACATCTTTTATCGTGAGGTCAAGGGCGGGGGCAAAATGTTGGGATTCTTGATGCTCTGTGGTGCGATCTGGGCAATTTCTGACAATTTAACCAACATTTCTGGGGAAAAGATGATGGTGTTCTCATTGCCTGCGGGGGGGGGGGGGGTATGGTCACCTTTGGGCCTACCCCCACCCCTAGATCCGCCCTTGCGTGAGGTGTGCAATTCCAGCGAAATGGACGAAAATGTAATGTCCGTGACAGAGCCAATTAACCATGATATCTATCAATTAATGATTTAGAGAAATGATACAAAATTCCTAATCTGTAATTTAATTGACTATCACCAGATGATGGATGTATAAGATTTGAAGAAGAAAAAAAAACATTTCAGGTTTATTCACTGAGCTGACTTGTATTTGTCTTGACGCTGGAATAACCCGGATATACATTTACCAGACAAAAAGTCCAAGTACGTCCTAACTTAGTTTCTTTGCTCATTGATGTGCGGTTATACCCAAGCTATATCAAGGACCTGGTGTAGTAAATGTGAACATATATAACTAGGTCATGGTAGAATTATACAGGTAATTAGGCAGTGCCACCAATATGACAGAGTGGTTCACACAGTGTCTTTACTGAACAGAATTCCTTGTTTATCCTTATACTCATGTCCAGTGGTTTACGGTTTTTTTCAAGCCGTGAGGGGTTAAAGAAAATTATTTCAAGTAAGCCAACACTTTCAGTCGTTTTTAGTGTGTATGTGTGCGTGGTTTGGTTTATTAGAATAGAATGGGTTGTGTACAATTTATCAAAATATTGCAATTGCTAAATACTTTATGACAAAACATGAATACTGAAAAAAAAACAATTATTGGTATTTTCTTTACCTCAGTATTTCATAGAGGGCGCATACGAACTTCGACCTCTTATGCCTTACCTCCCATAAAAGAAAGCTTGAAGTTCATGGTCCTCCGTGGTTTGACGAAACTTTCAGTAACCCAAGAGCGCCACGGTGACGTCAGATGTGGTCATTCATGCAGAGTTTGGGTAGCGCCCTCATGTGGGCAATTTAAGCAATCCCGGAGAGGGCGTTCTTTTGGTCTTCAGTCGTGCTAGTCTGGTTGACAGATTGAAAGATTGTGACTATTCCTGATGAATCTTAGGTCCGTTAGCCTCCGGTAATACATTGTATTACAATTTATGTCACGTGACTAAAACGGGAGGAATTCCTCCTTTTTCCGAAAATTTCCGAAGTTTGCCGAAGTCGTTTCGTCGACAATCAGACTAGCGCCCGAGTATTTCCGAGTATATAATATAGGTTTAATTAAATGCTAATTGCTGGTTAATTTTATTTTTAAATGAGTTGGTAATTAATATTCATTGCTTTCATTTAGAAAACTTGAAATTCAACGACGATTTTGTGCATCAAATATACTCGGATCGTATGGGCGAACTTTTTGCTGCGTCATGTACAATTTTGAATTTGACGACCGTTACCGAGATTTTCCAAAACTCGGTCTCCATTCGGCTCCGCCTGCTAACAGTGCTATTTGGGTGCCTAATTTTGAAGATTCCAGATCAACATTAGTCAATGTTATCTTACAGAAACATCAAACTGTATTATCATAACTGTATGATATTACGAAGCAAGTGATTTATTAAAAAATGTGATCAGAACATTAAAAGCTACAAGCGGTAAAGCGAAATCGGAAACGAAGCCGAGCTTTAAAAAGGGCCATCAATGTCGTCATGTTTATTTTTAGCCACGGAGACTGCCTGACCTAAGATTCATCAGGAATAGTCAGAATCTTTTGGTCTGGGAACCAGACTAAAGTTGTGCTTATCCTGTTCCGCGCATGGGTGCAGACCAGTAAATCGACTCCCACAGACTTCAGTGATAATATTACGCACACTCCAAAAAAATATTTAAAATGCTGGCAGCTCTCCAAGGTGTTTAAGACACCCATCACATTAAAGCTTATTTCATCATCTTTCAGTTTTTGTTCAATTTTTTGATGGTAATCAAATTCCATCCAAAGATGATCACCCCTAAAAGTAGTCCTGTAGCCCATCGCCATTTTGAAAAACATGCGCTTCGTATTGCAAAATAGAGCAATTTGAGGGCCAAATTTTATCCGAATTTCACAGAAAAACGAGCTCGCAGTCCTGTGCACGGCTTCTTCCTTCTTTCGTTTACAAACCTTCCAGTTCATGGCCTACAAATGCAAAACAAATTGAGGGCATTCAAATCGTGATTTGGTCAGAGTATAGGCAATTTGGTGCCTATTTACCAATCTGCCCGCACATCCCACGCCTTGTCCATACCAGAAGACCGAGACGTATATCTAACCTTGTGTAAAGCAGGGGTTGGTCTCATGGGTGGGTCGAACTCGAAGACTGTTTTCATATTTTATTTTTTAACAAAAAGCAAAATGTTCGGGGGAAAAAAGCTTTCCGCATATACGGTTCATAGTAAAAACTATAAACTCCCTTGATGTAGCACAAATTTAATGTCTAACCAAACTTTTAATAATAAAATCCTGGATTGTCGGCAAACAATAAACAAGATCCAAAACCTTTCCGTATTTTGTTTACGGGAATAAACCTGAGAGCACTTTTTATAGCTGCATGGATAAACTACAACGCAGAAGGCTGCAGGACGGGGATACACTTTCGCGGGAATTCTGGGATTTATGAAAGGGTTGTCAAAGAAACTGATTCTGCTCTTCAGGTGTAAAACATTCTTCAAGTTAAAACATACTTCAAGGCAGACTGTCTTTCGACCGATATATCCATGATAACGTTTGTCAATAATAAGTGACTTTGTGTTTGTGTTCTGACTCTCATTTTCACCATACTGCCTTCTGCACTAGTATTGACCCAAGACGCTAGTGATTGATATTGGATCGTGCACATTGCGCCCTCTAACGGTACAGTAATTAGACCAGCGCACCTACTCAGTCGCACTAAGGGCGCTCTACAACAATAACTAAAATCACTATCGATCACTGACGTCTTGAGCCAAGACAACTTCTGCACTTGGTAGGCGTTGCCGTGTTAGGCAAATCACCCACTGCTGCCACCGAAGTCTTTATTTAGACTCGCACACCAGTCCCTCGTAATTGTGCTTGATCAATCCGAAGTCATGATAAAATAAATGTATCACTCAAGGTCAATTATTCTCCTTTGAAAATTTGTCAATAACTGATTCGTTACTGCTATCGCTAACAGTCTTCAAACTCAGTGAAGATAAAGCCACAATGTTCGCACCCTCAATAAGAAATAAAATGCAAAATAAAGACAAGAAATGCAAAATTAATGTGATGATAAAACAAATCAAATTATATTTGAGAACGCTACTGGGCTAGCGTTGTAGCTCAACCTGGCTGGACGAATATAGTGAGTAACGACTGTTTTTGAGTCTAGCAGACGATCAAGTGCGGCAAGGCAAGGGTCATTCATGGCATGTGGTCTCTAACTGCCTTGGATGTTTATAAACGTCATCTTGGACGATTATATAGTGTGGCCTCAGTCTCCAGGACTTGGCATTATCACTCACGAGAGGTGCGTGAATGGTGTCAATCGAACTCGTACAGAAGATTGCTGAACATCTGTACGATTGCAGACAACTACTAGAACTAGCTAGCTCTGCTCATAACACGCAATTTTACAGTTCATCTCGGTGTCTGCTACTTGCTAGGGTTCTCGGGTTAATCTAGCTGTGAGATTTCAACTCTCCGTGCACTAGTTACGCGACCCCTACTTGGCACTGAGACGTGCACCAGATGCTACACAGTACACACGTACACCGCACTCTCATACCACCATCATTCCACCACTAGCACTAGACGAAGTGCAAGCAGGTGTTTCACCATAAAGCTTGTCCTCCATGGTTGGACAAGTGAAGAAACTCCATTCCGGCGGCCTTATTTCTCTCTGCTTCAACGCAGCCAAGTGAATGTTTATCTACACTAGTGTAGATCCAGTTTGGAGTTCAGTTTGCGGCTCATTCTTGCCCTAGTCTAACTTCACGAGCACGACGAGCTAATCTGGGCTGAGTGACTTGTGTCGTACTCTAGTATTAGTGAAGTATATTCCAAGACACCGGAAGTATTCTCTTGTAAAGCCAAGGCTGTACACGTGGACATTTTGATATACTCAGCTCTTCATTCTGTACTTTGCTTCGTGACTGGCCCACTTCGAGTACCCCCACCTCTGCTCCTGCAATGGCTGCACGTCTTCTCAATTCCCACGCGGGACTAGTCTTAGGCCAGAGATCCCCGCAGTTCATCCACCTCACGCTTGTGATATTCTGCCTGTGTTTCACGATATCGACAAAACTTGCAGCCGCACAGACAAACATGACAAACATGACAACCGGTAGGTGCTGTTCATTTACAATTTTGCTCAAAACAAATTTGTTCAAAAATACGTATTTAATAATTCACGTTTACAATTACAATTCCTTGCCGATTTTGAGACAAGAATTCCCCTTTGGCCTTTTCACCATGTGTATAGATTGACATCTCAAGATTGATCGTTTGAGTAAACAAAAATTTTACAAAGTTCTTAAAGTCACAAAAGGAAGTACAAGTTCAACTACAAGTATAAATGCAAACCAGAACTCCATCCATGATCATATCCATCTATACATGTGGCGTAGACTGTTGTTAACTGTATTTCCATAAATGCACAAGACCTGACAGTGACAGTCAGTTGAGTTACACCTGAACCGTTCGGGCGCGTACGGCTTCATCTTACAATTTTACTAAAAATTTACGCCATGCTCATCCAATGGAATTAAGTACAATCATGGAGGAATAAAAAGTGTTTTTATTCCTCCATGGTACAATTGTACAATCAAAACATACATATCAGACTGCGTTGGAGACCGGAGTTTTGAATCCGTCACTTGCATTTCAACGTAGATTGTTTTTTTTTAATTTGCTGGCGAAGACTAAACAAATGGAACAGACCAAGTGTTGAAAACTACTTCAACTTAAACAATAATATACACATCGGTTTGTGGTTAAGAGTAAGATAAACATTCTAGAAACATATATGCATGTGGTTTTATCGCTTCTTGTGGCTCGAAACCAAAAGGTCTGGCTCATAAGCACATTTTTTTTATCTACAGAATGTAATCCCATTTCATGTAGCTTTTGAAATACAGCCGAGGCCCAGTTCGCTGATTGTAGGACTATTGAATTACGGAAACATCATCAGACTGTAGATTGGGTTCAGAAAATGGCATACCATGTCATGCCTCTTCAGTGGCAAACGCTAAAAATAAATCATCGAAGGAATTATCTTAAATGTTTTATGTCGGTCCATGGTCGGTCAATTGATGCAGGATCGTTCAAATTCCTGTCTGGAATCAGAGACGTTTACATGTACATGTAAAAGCTGTGGACCATCCTTGTGATCCGAATATTAAGTTCTGAAATAAAAAAAATAATACATGGTCCAAGTTTCCCTTCTCTTCGCAAGAATCCTCATGACACCAAATACGTGTGAGGAAAAGAGGATTTTAGTTTTATCTCGTATGGTTCCAATTACCGATTTGAGGATGTGAACGGAATACCTAGGTTCTGTTTGGTCTGACACCTTGCCACATGTGGGAAAATAACCAGAATCATTGTTGAAACCACAAGAAGGGGGCAATATTAGATCTAAGACAGGCACGCCCTGTTGTAAGTTTTCATCGTCGCCACATGATAAATTTGCTCATAATTGCCCAAACCCCCAAGGCTACTTTCAAACAAGCGTGTGTTGTGTGAATCTAGACAGAGGTGCGACCGCCAACCACAGCAGACCACACTCGCGATGACAGAGGAAAACTTTGTCGTCTAATTAGACTCTTAACCCCAAATAATTTAGGTGCATGCTTTAAATTATTGAGAAATATGTAATGTGTGCCGTGAATGTTTGTTTACGTTTTTATTGTACTAAGGTAAAAGGAATTTTTCCTGCGATCTTCGGTTTTTGTTGCTCACGAGTCGAGTATATTCCATTTCCAAATACATTCTTAAACTCCTCTGACTGAAAAAACAACATTGGCTTAAAAAATGGATGAAAAATAACTTTTACTAAATTCAATAACTACAACATTAACTCTTATACTAGTAGGACCTAAATAGAAAAATTTACGAATTTGGTTTATCATCTTCTTCTTTGTTTTTTTTTTATATATGATATAATCAGAATTTGTTTTGTAAGGGATGCATTGACGGTAACATACCTTATGTTTTGTCGTACGCGCAAGCATGTTGAAGAAATTCAATAATGTTCTCAGCCTAATGTATGAACACGATGTGGAATTACCGTGAAAATGTAATGAAAACAAAAACTACCGATTATCGCAAACAAATAAAAAGTTTTCTTGTACTGTAAAAACCCAACTTTTCACATTTTCCCCCCTGTAAAAACACATAGCGTGGCCTGGAATTAAGCTTTAAAAATAATTGTAAAACTCTGGTTATTTTCCTGTAGTACGGCAAGATCTCCATTCGGATTGGAATGTCACTGGTTTGCTAGGTGTCCCCCTACTAAACTGCTTGATTCCCCCCCACCCCACCCCTAAGCTTACCCACCCCCAATAACACCCACATGTCCATTGTCTTGGACTTCAGCCGTGAATATTGTCAGAAGATTGTTAGAGATTCAGCACAGCGGAAGATACGAAGACAGCACGCAATCCATAACCTTTTACCTTGTACCAAGAGTATTTTTACCCACAGTGGCACTTCTTGACCCCTTGGGTACACGGAAAGGTCAAACCAAAGGGAGTGGTCCGCATAGCTAGGTGAAAGGTCAAGTTCAAGCCGGCTGGAAGAAGACTATCCAAACAATTACCTCACGTAATAGTAGACATGTTGGGCCCTACCCAATTACTCACTCAATGTCACTGGGTGAATGGGCTGATCCTTGTGTGGTAATGGGAGGCCTCGGTTGTCAGAGAATGAAACAGACCAGCCGTGGTGTACATGTACAGCACATGTACATGCAAGGGCGGATTCAGAACACAATTTTTTGGGGGGCCCAAAAAAATTGTGGTCCCCAAAAAGTGCGTCCAAAAAAATTACGGCCCCGAATTTTTTTTGTGATTCTAGATGCTCTGTGGTGCGATCTGAGGCAATTTTTGGCCACTTTAACCAATGTTTTTTGAGGAAAAGATGGTGGTGTACTCACTGCCTGCCTGTATTGCGAAGTCACTAAAAAAAAAAAATTGGATTCTTTGGGGTTTTTTTTTTGGGGGGGGGGGGGCATGGCCCCCTTTGGCCCACCCGATCCGCCCTTGTGTACATGTACATGTACACTGCACATATACATGTACATGTACACTGCACATGTTTTTTTGTACAAACATGTAAACTGCACATGTTTCTTGTAGTACACACATGTAAACTGCATGATGTGCACTGCACATGTGCACTGCACATGTTCGCTGCTATTATGATATTGAGCAGGAACTTTGTGATGACGTTTTGTAACCTAAACATAGTGCCACAACGTAATTTCATTCAAGCATGATTTAATCCCATAATCACCAGAAGGCGGAAATAAAGAAGGTCAAAGTTGAATTTCAATTTCCATTTTTAGTGATATTTAAAACAAAAATTTGGACTCCAAGATCAAGATCATGTAGTTGTTTTCTAGTAAATTCCTGTACTGTAAAATGCTAGTCAAGTCACCGTGTGTTCTCGGTTGAGAGGTCACCGTATGCCACGCTTGACTGACCAAACACAACACCAATGTTTGTTGCTCAAATTGGACCGCAGGAATTCGACTCAAGAATCTAGAACCACCCACGAAATAAAGTCACGTAATTGAACCTGATGTTAAGTAAACGTTGAAAAAGCAAATTTGAGGAGTACCTAAAAGCTTAGGCCAAAAAAAAGTCTCGGTTTCTGGTATGCGCGCGCGTCGCCGTAGCCATGCGCGTCGGCAAAATGAAAAAGTTTTTTTTTCAATGAAAGATGATGTCTCAAAACCGCCAAACTCACTGGTTTGACTGGAATCCTGCTGCTGCACAATTTTAACGTGTTTTTAGATTGGGTTATGGTCGAGAATAAGCTTTATGTGTCCTCTCTGGACTCTCATATATTTGCACTAAGTTTAGTCGGGCACCATTTGCAGTCATCAGCCGACATTTGAAGCAAAAAAATCAGGTAAAAAAAAAAAAAAGCCGCGTCGCCGCACCACTTTTAGGGCAAGCTCCATACCAGAAACTGGAGACTTTTTTTGGGGGGGGGGGGCCTTACTTTCTCGGTTGCAAGAGGGTTGGCAACTCATTTCCTCGTTATTTTGATAAACTTTCAAAGCTAAAAAGGAACCAACATGAATATTTTTAATTAACAATCTTGAGGAGCCCATCTTCAAGTATGAAGTTATGAACTTATCGTTGCTTCTCCGGTGTACATTTTTAATGGCTTTAACTTTCAATAAATTTTCCTCCAAAATTTCTGGCTGCATGGAGGTATTCCGCTGATCCACACTTCGGATGTTTTGAAAGGTTAAACCTGAGAACTGTTCACTGCTTGCGTCCACACATCACTCCTTGTAAGGAACATTCAGTCATTCACACATTCCTCGCCCAATTACGCCGTTGGGGGTGCACAGCGTGTGATCCTTAAAAGCCAGACATGTTTTTTATTACGAGAAAAATGATATGATGACGTCGATGGAGCAAAGCACTTTTTTCCCTCTGTTGTGTCGGGCGAAATTTGCGATAAATTGGTTTTTGTGTAAGATGACACTGTGAGATTGAGATATTGAATGTGCAGAGCAAAGGTATGATGTTCATGATATCAGTGGAACTTTTGGCAGATAGGGCTACCCTAATGAAGATTTATAGTAAAGAGTTGGGTTGGAGTAGCGGGGAGTCGGATTGGCGCGCCATGGCGTAGCGGGACTTTCCTCGCCTTCCACCGCTGTGACCCGGGCACGAGTCCCGCATAGGACAACATGTGGATAGGGTTTTCAGTCCCTACCTGATTCCGTGGGTTATCCCCGGAATAGTTTTCCGTGGGGTTTTCCACCCACATCTAAAACTGTTATTTCTTCTCATTAATATTGTCTAGCTCTACGGGTTTCTTCAGCTGGCTTGCGAGCTGCAGTGCTAGGGCGCAAACAATTACCAGAAATAAATAAATAAACAAAGAGTCACCTCTAATCTTTAAGATTATTCTCGGCCCCGCCTACATTTTTATTGTCCGGACCATTCCCTTCATGTTTTTTTTTTATGTATTATCAAAACTCGAGGAAAGACTCGTGAAAACATGTGTTACGATTGAATGGATATTCATTTCATAAAGCCTAATCTTGTAGCTATGATGAAAACAATAATGCTCAAAATTTAAGCCAATTTTACGTTGTTGCGTGTTGTCTGAGAACGATCGTGTTAGCGCGTGCACATGTGCGCATGCGCTTTCATTGTCCAGTTTCCCTCAATCTTTTTGCACAGCATGCTATGGACTACTGCTGCGCGTGTAGTACGACTACGTGCCTTTGCCGACTCATCGTTCGAACTTGGCATAACCACGGACCATTTGCATAACTAACCTCGTGTTTGTATTATCAATGAACTGTCATGACCGATTGCGACTTAATCTACCTCTAACAGTGAAATTGTGAAATTCAATTTTTGTATTCAATATGAAACAATATGTATCTTTTCCTCCGCGAAATGTTACAGGGAATGTACAACATTTGCTTGTGCTGTAATTTTCAGAAATATATGGATTTGGAGGATTTAAAGCATTATTGTTACACTGACTTGTTTCACGTTTTGGGTTCGTAGATGCTGGAAAAACCAAGAAAACCAATCTTGTTCTTGTAGTTTGGTTCCCTGACCCCTTTTAAGATGAAATGGAGCAGTTGAGAGACGTTGGGGAATTATAAGGTCAGAGAATAAGTCTAACTGACTTGTACCCCTTCACAAATATGTACTCAATTGCAAAGTGGAATGACTAAATATGAAAAATCAGGAGCAGTTTTTGAAAAAGCCAGTTTTCTCCAACGCTGGTCGGCCGACTAGCATTGGAAATTGATACAGAAATTCCGCTTCATTAAAAAATGTCAGCACACGAGCCATGATTGTGCGGGATACTTTAGACTGTCATGTTCTAACAGTCCGTAAAGAATTTTGTGATCATTTGATCATTTTGTTTTTTGATGTTTGCAAATGTTGTATCTTCCCTTTAAGTCAATAATATGCTTCGAACACGCTGTAGAAAACTTGAAATAGAAACGGGGGGGGGGGTGGTTTGGTTGAAATAAATTATAACGAGGGGTTGCAATTGATTCTTATTCAAGAATCAGTAATCACCGCTTTTACAGTAATTAATTTGTCCTCGATTTGACCTACATTTGGCCTAAATACAACAAACTCGGAAATGATATTTATCTGGCGTACCGCGTACAGTATTGTAGTACAGATACCATGCGGCTTGTGCTTGAACCTTGGCCGTAGATTGAAGCAAATCACGGTCGGTGTCCAGCAATCTGCGCACGGTAGACGACATGGGGCCAGAAATGCGTCTCTGCGGTTTGCTTTATAAGTTGGCTTATAAAAATACAAGCTGATTTACCCGATCATAGATCGGGTATATAGGGCGTAGTGTTGGGGATGAAAATGTGGGCAGTTAAATGTAAATGGGGGATCATTGAGGAGACATGCAGTTATAGAAAAGCAATTTTTTGGTGGTGTGATCTGAGGCAATTTCTGACCACTAAAACCAATTTGAGCAAAAGATCATCTTTTAAACATCATTTTCGAGCTTGGGGTAATTGAATCAGCTACACGGTATTCTGAGCAATAGAATTTTTGTAGTAGGCTACAATTTTTATTCGGGGAAGAAAAAGTGGGGGCGGGGGGATCAAACAATGTCCCCGCTTTAAAATGTGGGGGGGGGGTCCCCTTGTTCCCCACCGCTTTACGCACATGATAATTATGTACCCTGATAACTGTCTGTAAATGTTCCCGTTGGTCTGTTAAATTGGCATTTTGTGAGGCAGTCGCCGCATTGCCGGGAGAACGTAGTGAAAAGGTTACCATAGTACACAGGCGAAGGCTGATTGTACAGTTTTGACACGATAATGTATCAAATGTATCATCATAATGTAATCAAACGTGAAGTTGTCATTTGCAATGAAAATGTTGAGTGTTACCATAAAATTACAAACGGTGTGAATGATGGAGGAAGGTCATAATTAAGTTTCAGTATTGGACTCTTCAACAAACGTAAACTTGAACTTCTTACAATTTGCGAGACCGTCTGCGAGGAAAAAGTCAATTCAACTTTTAGTTGGTCAACCATCTATATGTTTAAATCGGCCTCCGAGAAATGTTCGCTCCTGAAAGGTTCCGAGACCGCGGTCTCCCGCGACGCCAAAATGGCTCCACGTCCATAGAAAAAAACGGAGAATTTCTTCCGCCAAATCAAGCACTTCAGGTCGTCCTAATTTTTCCGTACGGACCGGCGATCCGTTTTGTCGATTTTGTGTGTGACTGCGTTCAAGATCACAATATTTGAAGCAATGCATCGACCCTTCGTTGATCCCAAACAGGCCCCCGAAATTATAACGCGACACTGACTGTGACGTGGCGGGCCGGGCAGCGAACTCACAACGCTCAGCCTTGGTGGAAGCATAGAGCTAGTGAAAGCATGGAGCTGTAAACACATTATGGAAGCAACAGCACTCTATCACGCGACGTCACATGCTTGTGCTTCAGATAGCGAGCACCGTAGACTCAACCTCGTTTCCAGGGTGTGGAGCAGGCTGCAGTACGCGTTGCCAGTGACGGTTTTACGCATAGCCGGGAAGTACCACGCAGTGTAGACTTTCGATTGGGTCAGACCGCGCTAGGCATACTAATGTGTAGTCCTTCTGAGTATTCGTTGCACTCGGCACAGGGGCGGCAAGCGAAGCATATGAAAGAATAGGGACACTTGGTGGCCACGCACCATGGACAAAAAATATTTTACCAAGGTCACCCCATACTAACGTTTGGCGAACACTTTTGCTAAACAGCCGAGTAGAACACGTAAACGCAACCCCTACGTTGACCTCGCTGACCTCGCACAGTCTAGACACGCAGAAAAAGCCAGCACGGGGGGCGACCAGGCAGTCAACGTGAAAGCGCACACGACGGCAAATTCCTGCGCAAAAAGCAGTCACGAAAAATCGACGAAACGGATCGCCGGTCCGTACGGGAAAATTAGGACGACCCGAAGTGTCCGACCCGGCGGAAGACACCCTCCGCATTTTTCCACGGACGTGGAGCGATTTTGGCGCCGCGTGAGCCCGCGGTCTCGGATCCTTTCATGAGCAAACATCGTCTCGGGGGCGAGTAAACTTCTCTCTTATATATATAGATAAAGACCAACAGTTGTATTTGGTCAGCATGTTGCATGGACAATTTTGGGAGGGAAAGTTGGACGGCTGCCATGACATTTTTTTGGTGGTTGCACGCAGAAGGTTATGATTAATTTTTCCCACGTGATTATTTTACAAAATAAATTGGTGTCATATTTTGACCAAACTCCCCCAAATCTTCTCAAATGAGGCGGGTTGTGACGAGACGAGTTGTGACCTGTACCTGTAAGTGTTACCATGTTTTGACATCTTTTGACGTCTAGATGCGTTCACTTTACATGGTATTACATGTATGCAAATAACCAAAACCAACAATTTACAAAAGGTTATATAATAAGTGAAAGTGCTTTTCCATTCAGAGGTTAGATGTCAGAGGTCATGAAAACCAAGGTCTAGTAGACTTGATAACAAGTCTGAATTGTGGCTTTTACAATGAGATGGTCGAAAAATTATCCAAATTAAGAGTCGGGAATCAATAACTTCATGACCGCTTCGTGGGCGTGGTTTACGACTGAGGGAGGGTGGGGAGAAGAAGGGTCAATAACATCGTATTTTCTTGATTTTTTCCCCCCACATCTATTTTGTTTAGAAGCTTCCTCGGATCTTGCGACTGAGATAGTGACTGAGATTGTCACTGAGTTGGAGGAAGAAGAGACGACGACCGTGCCGAGTACAACTGCCGATGACACTGAGGAATTCACTGATGGAGAAACCACGCCAGAACTCCTAACCGGTGAATTGACCCTCCTGAGTCCTACACTGTGCCAAAAAGTGCAACATTCAGAAAACAAATAATTAAAACTGTTTAATGTTTTTGTTCTTTAATAATTTTATATTTCATTAAAGCCACCCTATTTCTCAATCCACTACCTTTTACCCCATTCAGTGTGGGTCCTTAGATCTAGAAATACAATCAATTAAGTGAAAGGGTGTAAAGTTTAACTCCAGGCACTCTCACGCAGGCCTACCTTACTTATTTATATGTGGACATTCCTTTGGTTTTTTTGCACAAGGAAAACCGGAAGAAACAAACTATTTTACTCACACTTTGAAAACTCTCTCAACCCAATTTTTTCTTTGATTCCCTTGAGTGTTTCTCTTCATTTTGCGACGGATAAACCTAACCCCAAAATGCTTCTAAACTTGTTTTCCAGAGAGGGGGAACCTTATGTGGACCTGGCTCAGTCCACATAACGTTCACACAACCTGCGTTATGTGGACCTGTGTTGTTGTTAGATCCACACAAAGATGGTAAAGTTGGTACACCTGGACATGCTGAATCTGGGTTTATACATTGACTAGGTATTGAAGTTGGTGACATCACAGGTGAGAGTGGCCCAAGTAAAATGTACACCCTTTCACTTCATTGATTGTATTTCTGGATATAGGGACCCAAATAGAATTGAAGAACAAAAATATCAAACAGTTTTAATTATTTGTTTTCTGAATGTTGCACTTTTCTGTATACTGATTATATTTACAAACACTCATGGGCGTCGCCAGGATTTTTTCTAGAGGCGGGGGGGGGGGGGGGCAAAACATATTTTTGCCAAAAAATGCCTGTATTTCTCACAACATTCTCGATATATCAGTTTTAGAGGGGGCAGGGACATTTTGCCCCCCCCCTCCCCCCCCCACCCATTAAATTTACACCACTATGACTTCACGCCTCTTTTTCTTTTTTCCCCTTTTTTTCTCTATTTTTTTTCTTCCTTTTTTTTTTTTTTTTTTTTTGGCTTTTCCGGGGGGGGGGGCAAGTGCCCCCCCTTGCCCCCTCCCCTCGCGACGCCCATGCAAACACTTTGTCTGTAGTTTAATATATCCACGTTATGGTACCTCAAGCTATACCAAACTATTGCTTTTCACATTGGTCGGCATGGACATGAACCCTTAACAGTTATTCTTTGTTGAAACAATTGGCTAACATCTTTCTGTGAGGTTTGAAGTTACACAAATCTTTGCGGTATACCACGCTCCACTCAGGGATCAACTATTACATTCAAGCAAATTACAACAAGAGAAACAACTCGCTTCCAATTACTGTGTAAACATTGATATGGGAACGCCAAAACCCCAACGGGACTTGCGCACTTTGCGCTGAGTGGGTGTTTCATGACCCAGGGGGATCAATTAAAATTCGGTACAGTTACTATAGCAACCGTGTCGTATGAACTAATACTCGGGCAACCTTTATGGTACTTTTGGAGTATTTTTCTGTCTTTATTGTGGACTCTTGTAGGGAGAATATAAAGTGAGATTCGTGAGTTGATACGATTGCATTGAGATCAGATTGTAAAATTCAGCATTTCAGCAAGATTTGGTGTATATGTACTGGTTAGGATAACAAGAAGTTGTGATCCCTTTAAAAAGGTCACCATTTTTGTCGCTTGTGATTGCCATGTAATTCAATCGGTCTTTGTTTTTCAATTCCTGAGCTTCGTCTTTGCAAACATTCTTGTTTCCACTATCCAAGCTTTCAAAACTGTTTGGCGATTCTTAGAACTAAATGGTGTTTCGTCTATTTCGGATTTTTTTTAAATTATCTTGTTATAATTTAGATTGGCTCTGATCTGAAGTGTATTTGAAAGGGAAAAAACCTTAAAGGGAAGATACAACATTTGCAAACATCAAAAAATGAAATGATCACGAAATACCTACTGAAATGTTAGGGACTGAAGGTCTAAAGCATCCTTTAAAATCGTGGCTCCTGGTGTGCTGACATTTTCAAGAAAAACTGCATTTTTCCAACGCTGGTCGGCCGACTAGCGTTGGAAAAAAACTGACTTTTATAAAAACTCTTCCTAAATTTTCGTATATAGTTATTCTGACTTTTCTTTGCAATTGATTACACACCTGTGACGTGAAGGGGTACAAGCCTGCTAAACTGATTCTCTGACCTTACAATTCCCAACGTGTATTAAGTGCTCCGTTTCCTCTGAAGTGGGGTCAGTGTACCAGACAACATGATAGGTTTTCTTGGATTTTTCAGCATCTACAAGCCCAAAACGTGAAACAAGTCAGTTTAACAATATTTTCTATAACATACTTATCCTCCAAAGCCATTTATTTCTGAAAATTGCAGCAAAAGCAATGTTGTACATTCCCTTTAAGCCTATATCAACGGAGGCTGAAGAATGTCGCTGGTGTATCTTTTGGTTGTCAAATGGTTTTAAGTTTCAAATGAAATATGATTTATATCTAGATCCTCCTGGGCAGAAGTTGGTTATGCGCTTCACTATCAGTAACAGAAACTACAGTGATATCGAGAACCCGGACGAAAGAGAGGAACTAGAGAGTTTGCTGGTTGAAGAGGTAGGGATATAGACTTGGACCTTTTCCACTATCAATGTCGTTGTCATGGTTGTTGTTCCTGCCTTTATCTTTGACCTCTGACCTTCGACAATGTTGAGTGTTGTAGACATAATTATTTTGGAATTGTGTCTTGACGGATTAGGGATGGGCTGTGAATGTAAGGATTCATCTTGGTATGGAGTTCGTTTAAAGTGCCATGCAATGTAATTTTTTTATGCACCTTTGTGTCCCATTTAACATTATTTTCAATTTTAGTTTTGCCATTTTCAACGATATTTTGGTGCTTTTTTTGTTTTTTACGCTAATGCAAATTTCCATGTTTATGAGCAAAAGTGTGGTGTCATTTCAGGCAGAAACCTCAATGTTACAGTTATTTCAGCACCAAAAGTTGCCAGAATTTTGGGTCATTTTGCTGTTGTAAATTTATTTTATTTTCTGATTCGTTGTAATGTCAGTGCATGGCAATTAGCCAATGAGCAAACTTTTCTGACAAATGTTTTCAATGAACAAATTTCGGGTTCACAATTTGAACAGAAAACCCCTTAACTGAACAATTTCCTCCAGAAATGACATCACAGCAACAGCGCCCTCAGTTGTCCGGAAAAGCATTGACAATTTTTTGATGTTTAAAGAAGTGCACTTTTCAATAAAATTAACCAAAAGGGAATGTCAAATAGTTTTTAGTACATTTAGGAGGAATGGAAAGTTGCACTAAATGTGTTCCTAAGAAAACCTCATCTCATGGCCCCTTTTCAATTTCATGTAAGTGCAGTTTAAATAGCGATATTCAGGAAAACTGGACGTTTTTTCCATGTAGTTAGGATTAGGATTCACTGTAACTCGAGTTAGGATTAGGGTGCAGTTAGAGTGATCAAGTAAAAACTAATCAAATAAATCCGACATTTGTAAGAGTCTCAACATGACGTTATAGTACTCGGTATTGACTCTGTTCCAACGTCATTTCATTTTTTTTTCAAGATATCGTAATAGGCCATATCGGCCCGTTTCTATTGGAATGTGCCAGGATGTTTGCTTGAAAACAATTGATGTTTGCAGAGGCCGTCCAATAAGTCAGTAGAATGCTGGTTTATGAGCACTAGGTTGTAGAATGATCAGGATGCACGGAATCTTATTACCCTCTTTAAACTGACATGACTGTTACGACTTTACAGTTACAGCCCAACCTACATTTTAACCCATGTTGAAAAGCTTTGACGTGTAATTAGCAAACGGAGTCCTGCCAACATGTTGAGAAGAATTTTTTACTGTTTGTGTGTGTTGTCGGCTGGGTGGACTGGTTTTGTAGACTGCGTGTTTGAATGTTTATGTCTCCATTCTCCAAACGAATAGGATAACAAAATGACATTAAAGTAGTCTGCTACTGTGAAATGTTGAAGGCCTGTATTAAGTTGTAAAAGTGATGTTAGTAAATTGAGAGGGCTTGGTGTTATTTGATTTTCACTTCCGTGTCGTCAGAAAAGGTTCACATTGATCGCTCACGTCATGGTTTGCTTTTTCCGTGTTGGAGTTGGTGATACACACACCCTAATAATACGTTCCAATCCTGACAGCGTGCCAGCTCAGACACCATGAAAAGCCGAATGCTGTTTCTTTGATTCTGTGAATCAACTTGCGACGTGGCGTCTCTGATACTTAGCTAAGGGAGAGGATCTAACATATATTACATGCATACCTTTTTCTTGTATTTTTTTTTGGGGGGGGGTGTTGAGCAACCCAGTTCGGCCTCTGAACTCATCAAACCAAACTTTCCTTGAGAACTTCTATCTGATTCAGTTACCATCGTCGAAACACCCATAAACCGAAGTGTGTGTACATGAAGTGGTAACACATAAGTAGAATGAAACATGACTTGTCATGGCCCAAAGATTTATGTGTATTATTTTCACCTATTTACTGCTTTGGTCGGTCTGGTTTTGCCCTTTGGAAAGCTCATTCGAAATAATCTTTGTACGGAGTGTGCCAAACAAAGTGCAACATTCAGAAAACAAACAATTATAACTGTTTAATATTTTTTTCTTCGATGAAATTAGATTTTACATTAAAGCCTGACTATTTCTCAATCCACTCATTTTTACCTCATTCCGTTTGGGTCCCTACAATCCCGGCCAAAATGGTTGGGACACTTGGAAATAACCTTAGCCTCCAACGGTCACCAACTCCCCCGCTCCCCCGGTCAATGTTGTGTTCTCCAGCGGATGGAGCACACACCGCGTAATGAGAAACAACATTGAGCGGGGGCTGGGGGGTTGGGGGCCCAGCGAGATTTGGCCAGGATTGTAGATGCAGAAATACAATCAATAATTATTAAGTGAATGGGTGTACATTTTACTTGGGCCACTCTCACCTGGACATGCTGAATCTGGGTTAAGCATTAATAGGCATTGAAGTTGGTGACATCACAGGTCAGAGTGGCCCGAGTAAAATGTACACCCTTTCACTTATTTGATTGTATTTCTGGATCTAGGGACCAAAATGGAATGGGGTAAAAAGGAGGGGATTGAGAAATAGTCAAGCTTTAATTTAGTATATAATTTCATAGAAGAAAAAAACATTAAAAAGTGTTAATTATTTGTTTTCTGAATGTTGCCCTTTTTGGCACACTCTGCAGTTACTGATCAAAACTGTAATGAAACAAGCGATGATTTACTTTCTCGGTAACGTATGCTTTATTTATTTACTGTCATTTTTATACAGGGTGGCTTTATCAGTTTTAAAAAAAGTGCTATCCATTATGGGGCCCTGGTTCATATTACATATATAATAATTAAAAAACAGTATAAAAAATTGAATTAAAACAAAACAAATCAAGAAACATAGATATTATTAACAATACAAAGATTAACAATCAAATTAAATGAGACACATAGAAGAACAAATATGTACTATGAAATACCTTTTAGAATGTTGTCGTGTTCGTTACAGTTTCCAAATACGTCGATTATGCCTTCAAGACGAGTCTCACAGGAGAAGAAATGTTAAGTTTTCCCAACGGAAAAAGAGCAGCAGCTCTATGGCGGATTCAGAGAAGGCACTTAGCTGTATCGGACGTTTATTGTCCAAGTTCGCGACAATAAATTATGCATGTACATCGTTCTTGCTCCAGGGATTTCAGATATGCTTAATTCGAACGATTTCCAAATTTATGAACCCTTATGGAGGTTCTTTAACTTATTGGACAAGCGTGTCGATCAAATGTGATAGAGTATCATTTAGCACTAAAGTTTGTGTAAGAAACGATTGTTTTATTGTGTCACTTTTTATTTGTCCGCATTTTGCAGCTTGAAGAGTTATACTCCAACAACAAAAAGTTCAGATCTGTTACCGTGTTGGAATTCCGGTGAGTCAAAAAAAAATCATTTTCTTCCTGATCATGATATGAGAGCCTATGATTCAGATTTGTTGTGATGTTTGTTTCAGTTGTTGAAAATTGTTTCTTGGTTGAACTTTTTTAAAAATGCCTTTTTTTTTATTTACTCTTTCCTGCTTTTAGAAACGGAAGCATCATTGTGGACGTTGAACTTGAATTTACAGACGCCCTCAACGTCCAAGAGCGCGCACAAGTGTTCACAGCGCTCTACGAGAAAGTTGTCCTTAATGGAACGTTGGGGGCGCTTGAGGTGCAGGACTTGAAACACGTGAAGGACGATGGTTCGTATGACGGGCTCTGCATGAACCTGTCAATATAGCTTCATATAATAATGTTAATATAATACAATAATATCAAAGTAGTATTAGTATTGTAATAATCTGTCAATAAAGGTATATTATAACGCGTTGCAAATATTAGGGGTCAAAGGTGAATCCCTAGCCCTTTTCCATGACGGCCGTTCCGGTCTTGGCCAAAATTCACAGCTCTATTCAAAGAATATTCACCCTCAATAACAGAAAATTCCGCTATCGGCTATCGTATTTCAATGGTTAGCAAGACTTTTAGCTTGCTAACTGAGTTAGCAAAGAATTCTTGCAATCCCATTGTGATCGGAGGCATGAAAGTGGGCACTAAAGTGGATATTTAAAAACATGTAATAATCCCTAGAATTCTAAAACAATCTTTGGCGATTTCAGGCAAGATTGAGGAGCTGAACGATGCGTGCGACATCCGCCCTTGTCTTCAGACTGAGATGAAATGCGTTGCCAATGGAACCAAGTGCACAGCAAGTTGTAGCGACAACAAAGGCTATTGTTTGAATAATTCCACCTGTCGGCCTAACAACGATTACATTGTCTGCAAGTGAGTTATCCAGACATACTGGAATTTGTATCCTTGTATGTGAGTCATTTCTTTGTTCTCGTGTACTAACATTTTAGAGATTGGAAGTGTAAATTCACAATTTAACCAGAATTAATTTCCTGGGCTGAAATTCGGACTTAATATCCCTTACATAAAATACTTCAATTTACGACATATCAACACATCTTGGAAATTACTAGTTTTTGAATAAAATCCCTATACCTATTTCGTGATAACCTTGTGGAGACGTATTCACCTATAGAAATTGCCCTGTGGGGACGTAGGCCTATACAATCTTATGTTCCCTGTTATGCACATGGTTCCACATGGTACCGTGTTCCAGATCGACTATTCGTACTTTGTTTATTAATTCGCTTGTACCCATCGCCCTTAAAGCAGGGCGCTGTAAGGGCTGATTTTTTGTCTGGATGCATGATGTAATTTATTGGAGCCCCCATTCGATAGAATTCGTCTGAGCAATAACACGGGTCAAGCCTTCCGCCTGCGCATGACACGTGTGCACCGAATGGACGTGCTTGTTGTTGAGGCAGTAACTCCCCACAATGCTTTGCGCGCTTGTGCTTCCTTCACAAAATTGAATGCAGGAGATAAGCCGTTCCCAGCGCCCTGTTGAGTGTGGCCTTTCGCCAAGTCCATCGTGGCTTAACTTGCCGATATTAGACAAAGAGGCGGAACCGCGAAGCGACTGGAGCGGGAGACCACACGCGCGAGTGGCGAAGCCACGAGGCCTTTTCCAACTTGTCAAGGATTTCTTATATTTTTCTTAATAATCCACGATGGCCTTGGCAAAAGGCTATGTTGAGGGCGGTCGGTACAGTAGCAGACTTACGAAGTTTCAGCAACCCTTTCCTATACAGTTTGACAAAATGTAAATGATCGATGAATGCGTTTGATTTTGTACGCGCTGGTTGCTGGTGCTCGGTGAGCTATAATATTATTTTTGTGCCCAAGTTTGGTGTTTACCACCCTCAGCGAGAATGCAGTCCTTTAAAGGGAGTTCTTTGGTTTGGTCTTATCCATTTCGTTTGGTTTTTACAGATGCAAGAAGGATTTTTTTGGCTATCGATGTGACAAGAAACCCTTGCCACCAAGTGGGGGGAGAGATGGTAGGTTTCAAATTCGGCTGTTTTTTTTATTTGACAATGAACATAGGCCTACTCAGTCAGTGCTTATGTCAGGCATGCAACTTTTCCTCCGATCAGCTGATTTCCTTTTTTTTCACTTCCAATGTGTGCCATTGAAAATAGAAAAACGCTGTACAAAGTCTGGGAAAGATTTGAATTTCCTCTTGTTGTGTGACTTCCCAGTTGCATGCCTGTTATGTAATTTTGTTTGGTTAACCACCTGCAAAAATTCAATAGTCGTTTGGATTACTTTGCAGATAACGCATACATAGGTATCATCGCAGCCGCCGGCATCGCTGTCCTCTTGCTGCTTGTAATGATCGTTGGGTGTGGCTACAGCAGATTAGTCAACAGGGGCAAGGAATCGGATACGTAAGTATAGGGTGTGATGAACGACCAGGATGGGCGTGGTGGGTTGGTGAACGCCCGTCATGGGCGTGGTTGGTGGGTGAACGCCCATCATGGGCGTGGTCGATAGGGTTAATGTTCATCGTGGGTGTGGTCGATGGGTTAATGCTCATCGAGGGCGTGGTCGATGGGTAAACACCCATCATGGGCGTGGTTACTGATCACTGCTATGAGCCCCTTCTGCGTTTTGGTTGACGGAGGGCTAGACTGTATAAAAGGTGGCCGCTGTTTAAACATTTTAACTACATGCATAATCTGTAATGAGTGTATTCTAATTCAGCATAATGCAGGTTTCCAAAATTAAAATCAGTTTTTTTAATACTTTTTTTTTAACTGGCGTTCAGCAGGTTCTTACGTAATAAACCTTATAGAAACCTGCATGCAATGACGTGCAGTGTCTCTTTTGCAGGCTTGCCTCGTTTTTAATCCAACATGGCGTATTCTGTGCAAGGAGCGCGTACGGACTTATCGTGTTACCCCAACCTCGTCCCCAGTGCTTACTTTATTTCCAACCTCGTTTCCAATAGTAAACCCTGGATAGGAAACTTTCTTCCTGTATCCTGATTCGATACCGCAATTGGCTAGTAATGGATTATTATCGTGTACTTGGTGCTATTACTCACAACGTGCAGTACGTGTTTTCGTAATCATTCGTCCACGAGAATACTAATTTCCTTTCCAATTTGCTAATATTAATATGAAATATGATACTGCATGTTGTCTTGATAAGATCGTAACAGTTTGATTTCAAAAATCGTGTTTTTGTAACTCACGCCGTGCTCGCGCTGCTACGAATTGACTCTGTTTTTTCCCCAGACACCGCATACAAAAACAAACGCTAATGTGCAACGCATATTCAGGCACCAGACTGTTCCTCATGACAGACATTTTCCTCCGAAAATCAATAGGGGGGGGGGGGGGGGGGGGGGATGCCATATTTTCAATGGGGAGCGCCAATAAAATCCTAAAATCATTCACACTATATTAACTACAAATGCACCCTTGTCACGACTATTTCTTTAGGGGGAGACCGTTCACATGTACATCCCCATCCTTCTTTTTGCTAATGCAATTTTTTTACGGAATTTATTTTTTTGGGGGTGGCTAGACAACATTTTGGGGGGGCTAAGGCCCCCAGCCCCCCCCCCCCCCCGAAGAACCGCGCCTGGGTGGGCGCGTACTGCTCGACACCCTGGGGACGAGGTTGTATCCCCCCCTCCTATATCTATGAAATGCTTTCCAATAGCAAATAAACTGCCAAATCAAACTTGCTAACAAATCAATTATACTGAGAACACAATGGTCACTTGCCAGTTTGCTTTGTGTAAGCAAAGAACGACCGTATAGATTTCAGTTTGTATATAGTCACAATAGTGGACCAGCGAAGCATTCAATCCCCGTCGTCCAGATAAAACAGGCACAGGATCACCTTGGTATATAACGTTGTGGAAGGACATTGTGTATCATTGGACTAGCCTTGAGTTGTCCCGTCTCTGCCATGTTGGACTGATGTTTATGGCGTTTACGGCGTAGCTCAAGAGAGCACAACACCAAGGCTTAAGGGTTTGCCGAACGAGCTCTGAAGATCGGTTAATGGTGTTTCAAGATCAGGGCCATCATGGTTTTCTTGTGGTAATGTTTATTATTTGGTCGTCTGTGGTTGTTTTAATGTCGAAACGTGACACTTTTATGAAAGCAACACTGGTTTAACCCAGACCTTGAGTGCTGAAAAACATGCAAAACGAATAGAAATCAGGCCAACTTTACTCACTCTTTAGCTGACAAAATTCCTCAGAAGGCCTATTTCACCAACCAAGTTGGGGAAAGTCTAAATTAGTCTCAAAGAGACTTTTTTTCAACACGGTGCACCATGAGACTGAGGAGGAAGTCAAGTGATATAGGCCATCAGCCTCGGTCGAAATTTTGGTAACCGGTATCAAGTAATGAGGGGGATAATCGTCATAGCGATTTTTGGCAAGGTAAACACCTCCAGAATTGGAAAATATGTTATAACATTGCAGCGGTGGCAGCTTTTTAGGTGTTATCACCCTTTTTTTCAAAATGTACATCAAAATGCTTGGGGCGGTATACCTTACGCATACGCACTATAATCATTTATGCCCTGATTTGATATTGACCAAACCCCCAAGCTGATGGCCTAATATCAATTTGAGGCCAAAGACTAGACTGGTATATGTCCAGCCATGGTCCAACTGTTTGAAAAGACTGACCTCTTCATTAGTCTGGTGGCTGACTATGGTGAAAGGTGTAGAAATACAGACCAGTACCAGACATGCCAGATGTTTCTTTTGGCTCAGTGGATTGATGCAGTACTGACGTTTTTTTGGACTGGTTGTTTCAGGAGCCAGTCTATTTTCTTGTATTGCATGTTTTCAATACCTTAAGTTGTGGAACTCTCATGCACGGTATTAATTGAGAGTCCTAAAGTTTTGGACTCTACAGTTTAAACTTGCATTATTTTGTTGAATCTAGTATTGGTCAGGAGAGAACAGTGTAGTCAGTCAGTAGTATCAAGTTTGCAAGTCTAGTAAGAAGCTGTTGTTGGATACACTGTGATGAAATATATTGGTAGTATACTGAAACTTAAAAAATCCGAAAGGATTTTTTTGGGGGTTTAAGTTAAAACAAATGGTTCCACTGGAAGTGGATGAATTTCTGTTCATAAAAATATTCACATAGTTCTAACCCACCAAACGATGTGGCTCTCGATATATTTGCAGTGTTATTTGTTTGTTACAGGGAATGGCAAATATAAAAGACTAAAAGACCAAATGTATCTTTATGTTTATGATCGGTAGATGGCAAGTTTGGGGCTATCGGCAATTATTTATCGGTCTACAGAGTTTTTATGAGGAAACACTTGCAGAGGATAAGACATGAATGTTTTTTTTTCTATTAAAACGAAACTACACTGGAATTGGCCTAAAGCATGACTGGTTTCAATTAACCTTGCTATTTGTTAGTGCTGAGTACAGAATGCTTGCAACATCAATGAAACTTTTAAATGAAAAGAAAAACCTTCAGGGGAAAGGTATAAACATTTGCCCCTATTGAAAGATCGAATGAAAAAAATCCTGGCAACCATAATCAACTTTGCCACCATCGTCATGTCCGAGGTTATTGCTTTCGGGTCAAAGCTTCCTTCATGGCGGAAATATCATATAGACATGTCATGCTTTTAGATACCTTGAGAGAAATATCGATTCTGCACTGCCTGAAGATTTAGAAAATACCTCCTCTTGATATTTTACATTGTTTGTGCTAGACTTTCGAAGCGCCGCGCTTAGCCGCTGGAACATATTTTTGCCCGGGAGTAGGGGGTGCTGCAGCATATTCCAGCATCCCAATCCAAATAGTTGGGGGTGCTGCAGCACCCACAGCAACCCCCGTTCCCACGGGCTTGCACGAGAACCAGACCGTGATGAGTTAAATTTGGTTATCTGCAAATATATGTAAAAAAAATCATTGAAAATTAACTTTTTATTTTTTTCCCAAATTAGGTCGAAGCTCTTCCAGGCCGATAATATGGTGGCTCTGGAGATGCTCGATGAACCCCCTCCCGTCGTGGGGGGCGTGGCTTGCCAGACCATCGAATCCTTCTTACTCACCAAGTACATGAAGCACGGTATCCCGCCCAAACCAGGTATGCTGGGTATTCTGTTGCCATGGCTATATGGGTGAAGAATGCAATAGATTACTTCCGGGTCGTGCCATAAGAAGGGAATTCTCACGAGTCTCGAAGCTTACCTGTGTTGTAACTAGGCCTAAGGTGTATTTTAGGACCAAAATTGTGATTTTAATATCAGAACTTCATTTGTAGAGCATTGTCCAGCATTGGCGAGCATTGTCGAGCAGACGCAGACATTAATAGTCTGGATGATCATGGAGGAATAGACTTTTCAGTTCCATGTGATATTTCACTGTTGCGCATTCGGGGTACCAGACCCAAACAGATATTACAAATTGACGATTTATGAGTAGTAGAAACATGTTGCCATCAATGTTGCCATTTCCACACAATAAAATGTTACAATGCCGTGTAAACATATTATACAGAGCAAAATGCAAGGAGTTATGTAATTGTGTATAATAATGTACATGGATCAATACTAGAACAAATTTACGACAACATTAGGTATAAGGTGAAGCGTCACGCTTTTGTACCCTAACCTATCGACATTTGGAGACAAATAGCTGCTGATCATGTTTAAGTCTTGTCTGATTCTTAATCATCTAGTTGATTTTTAAAAAAATGACTCTTGGTTTAATATTTCAGGTTTTCAGCACGAAATCATTCAGACAAACGAATCGTTCTTGCTGGACAAGGCGCAGCGAGAACGCGAGTCCAACAACGTTCCAACAATCATCACACCGAACGGTACCGGGGCCTCACCGCCTCCTGCCCCGGCACCCACCCCGGTGAGCTCCCCGGTACCTGAAGACCAGCCGAGCACGGAGCCAGAGCAGGGATTGAGCAACGAGGCTTTCGTAGAGGACGAAGGGGACATTGTGCCGACTGCGGAGGTAGTTGGGGATGAAGCCAAAACAGACATCGGAAAAAAGATCATAAAAGTCTGAAAACTGAGCTATGAAAACGACGCCGTGTAAACTCCGAATCCTGCAGAACAAAATGAGATTTGATATATTCGTTATCTTAAAGCAGCAAAAGCTTAGAGCCTACATTTTTATTTTGCGGTTTTGTATTATATGGGCCGACATTTTCGCCTGTGATAGGACAAATCAATTTCAATTGGTGAATTGATTAATTTGAACGAATTTAATTTGAGAAAGCAGAATGAATTGAATTTGAGAAAGTTGCACATGGCAGGCATGCAACCTTTCCTGGGATCAGCTGATTTCCTCTTTCTTTCTTTTTTTGCTTCCCATGTGTGCCATTAAAAATTGAAAAACACTGTAAAAAGTCTTTGAAAGATTTGAATTTCCTCTGTTTTTGGTGACTTCTCATGCAGTGGCATGCCTGAGACATGGACAACGAATCGTAGCGAAGTTGTATGTCTATTGAAAAAAAAAAGAATAATGCACTATGTTTCTAAATATTCAACTAAGTTGTAAATAGTTAATCACTGTTTTAACCCTTGTTCAATATACAATAAGCATCAAATGGGATTTTGGAATGTTTGCTTATATGGGAAGATGACAGTAGTACTCAATTGTACTGGCAGTGTTGTAGTACTCTTACTCGGTACTCGTACTCGACTCATTTTTTTTTGGAGTACCGGTACTCGCACTCGAAGTGACGGTGTTCGTACATGGTTAGCAAAGTACTCGTACTCGACATGTTGAAATTGTACTGATCATCAAAGTACTCGTACTCGAATAGCAGTACTGGGGGAATGGTATAGCTTGACTTACCACGGCTATATTTCATCGATACTTTCAGTTTGAAATGGTTGATTGACTTTATACGGAGAAATCGAAGTTTCCTGATTTTCCTCTGTGCACATCTGGACTACCACATTTAACAGCTATACCTGTGAGTGTATCTGTATATCGGTCTGACTGGCCTGGGCCAATTACGCACAATGAACCATTTGCCGGCCGTATGGCCGTATTCGGAAATGAAAGTACATTATGCTCATATAACTCGTACTCGGAATACAAGTACTCGTAGTCGAAAGTATACTCGTACTCAGAGACATGCCCTTATACTCGGTAACCTCAGTACTCGGCATTTCTCGGTACTCGGAAAAAGTAGTCGACTACAACACTGTGTACTGGTCGTCTCGTATTTAGCAGACATTGAAAGAACATCGTTAAAAAAAGATATTGCCTGCCGCGTTTATTATCAGAGCGCAGTACTTGGATTTATTGCTGCAGTAACTGGCTATAAATTGTTCAGATCAAATATCGAGGATAATAAACATCATGCCTGTTAGAACGAATCTCGATACGATCGAAGGTTTGCCTGATGTGAACAACCTTATCAATATTTGACATAAGACACACACAAAACAATCAGCTTGTCCAAATTGTAATGTGTTTTTCAATGTTTGTTTAGGAGAGAAAAGTATTTTTTTTTTAGACCAAATGGATTTTGTCTCATCAACAAAATGGATGGTTATTTCAGATATTGGCTGACGTGGAAACGAGGTTGAATTATCCCTCTGATGCTGAGGTATGAAAACCTCTTTAGAACAACTCTGAGTCTACACGTTTTAACCAACATCGTATTGCATTTACAGAGATTTTTAATTTTTGAATATTTTAGAATCAGAAGGCATAATATTGCTTTAAAGGATCGAATATTTAACCTTAAATGTATCAAAGCATTTCGTTCTGTTTTGTCATAGTGACATGTTACATTCATTCGCGCGAATTTCTTCGTGAAATGTTGTAATTTTCACATTTTGTTAAATTTTTTGTAAGCTTATCGGGTTTTTTTTTAATTCATATATAATTCATGGAGACTTTGTGAATTCCTTTTTTTTTTATCTATTCCAATTTCACTTTCGTCCAACGTATTTACTATTTCAGTGCAGATGTATTATTGCTTAGGCCTACACTCATAACATCAGCTGTAAATTGCACTTTTTGTACATGCATGTAAAAAAAATATCTACCGCATTGTACATAGTAAAGTTGTAGAACCGTATGCTCGTGTTTTCCTTTAAATATCCGCTTGATCTTAGATTAAAAAAACAACTCCTAAAATCATGATTTTCAATGATATTTAAATATTGTAGTGAACAATTTTCTATAAAAAAGGCTCACGAATTCGGACCACTATTACATTTCAAAATACTAGAAAGCACTCAGAGAGCGCAAACCTCCGCCCAAGGCTGAACAATTCCCCGCCATTATTGTCGGTACACCCAAAAGAAATACTCGCATAAATGGTGAAGAATCCTTAAACAATAAATCCTAGATCTTGACCAAGATCCGGATCCCTTCCAAAATCTAATCGATTTGTACTTGTACCAAGGACCACCCCTAACAATGTTTTCGTGCAAATCCGTCCATAACTTTTTGAGTTATCTTGTTAGCAGACAAACAAACCATCCAACCAACTAACCAACCAATAAAATCCGATGAAAACATAACCTCCTTGGCGGAGGTAATATACCTTATCATGCTGCCACCATTTCAGTCATGCTCCCTGTATCCAATTACAGTACTGAATGATAATGTTTTTTGTGCAAAAAAAAGGAACCAGACTATTTTCCTTCCAGCCTCGCTTTGGTTACGCTGATTTGAATGGGAAAAATCCCAATGGCTGCAACATGATAATGGTCTATGAAGATGTTTTGGGCCACCTAGAAGCATGTAGGCATCTATAAATTACTGTATAGTGTAAGCCTTGTATACGTCAATACAAGTATTAAGTCTAATTTGCTAAGATCTTTATGCACATTTGAATCATAAATATTATCACTTTATTACAAAGTTTTATGTTATAATACTGTATACGTATTTGTAGTTGTAATATGTCTGAGTTTTAAAAACAAATGTAGAAAATCTGCGACAGCTGGGTCAGAAAGGCCAACCTTCTCCCGATCCGATCATTATGTTATTGTTTTTTCTCACAGACTCTTTGGAGGAATTATTTGTTTATGAAAATCATAAATTGAACATTGTCACCAATTGAGGGCTCACTCCATACCTTCCTTTCGTCATAAACGTTTTAAAAGGTTATAAAAAGAAACCAGTGCCTGCAGAGATTTGATATCAAATCACTTTTGATGTAAATAAGGTTTCAATTGATATGCTTTCCATATAATGTCTTTGAAAAAAAAAGAAAAAAAAAGTGAGACAGCGATTTTTTACCCATATCATTTTTCAGAATTTTTGTAATTATAAATTTCTAATAGGCCGTATTCCAGCTGCTTTTTTTAATTGAGAAACAACTGATTTTGTCAATTGTACGTCATTTTTTATTTTTGTTGTTATGGTTTTCCTAGAATTCCAGCACATTTTTCTTTCTAATTTACCGTTTGATTAGTATGATTGTTTGTATGTAGACTTGTTTATAAATAGACGATTTTCACTCTGAATGTAACCTTATTTTGCTTAATTAATGTGTACAGCTCGTAATTTATTCACCAAAGAATCAAATCTAGTTCGAGTCTTACATTGCTTCAGTTGGAACAGATGCGTTCAGACCGTACCGGTTTATCCGCACAATATGTTTTCTTAATGTTCAAAAGTGCCTTATGGTTTGAAGCCGTTTGTATTCCGTCCATTTTTCTTAGATAGCGAGGAATGTGTTTAATAAAGAAATACTGTATACAAATTATTTGTTTGTTGAAGTGGTCCTTTTTATTCCCCCCCCCTCCTTTTTTCCTTTTTTTCTTTAAACTCGGCCGATGTTATGGCTGTGATCAAGCACAGAAAAGCTCAGGAAATGTTCTTGGAAGCAACAGTCATGTTGATTAATGACAGGTGTTAATTGCTTGTAGCTGATTTTAAGATGATTTCTGATGAAACACTGAACTTATTTATAAGCAACATTCTTTGCTGTGTTGCTCCATAATATTGAACTCCGCTGGAAACTATTCCATAACAATGACGTCAGAAGAGAAGTTGCGCGCAGAGTAGAGTCTAGGTAACATTTTGGAAGGAGACCTATGGGACTTGTAATAAACTATAAGCTCTCTGTGTTTTGTCTCTTATACAGGGTGAGTAAAAAAAAGTCGGGACTATTGTTTTAGTGTAGTTCTGCATGTAGCACTTCAAAATCTAGGATGTGAAAGCTCAATTCACAAGCTTTCTTTTAGTACAAGAATCATTCAAATCACTCATGTACTTTGCAAGTTGCGGAGTTTTTAACACAACCGCCGTTTTAAGGTTCTGTCCACGGATCACAAAAAGTTCAGTGTTCTTTCAGCAAAACGAAAACAAATCACATAAGGATGTGTGTGAATTGTTTTCGTTTTGCTGAAGGAACGCACACCTTTTGTGTGATCCGTGGACAGAGCAACGGTGGTTGTGTTTAAAACTCCGTAACTTAAAAAGTACATGAGTGAAAGTGCTACATTTAGAACTTCACTAAAACAATGGTCCCGACATTTGGGTTTCGTTTTTTTACTCACTCTGTACCGTGAATTCTGGAGTTATTTGCCATGCGATTGTGTTGTTGGAGTCCGCATGTCTCCATTCAGGTATCGGTAATCGGGTGTGCTCGAGAGTTCTCTGTCCTAACATTGTGCGCGTCCACAGTCCACTTTTGACTAGTCTTTGTACATTGTACTTTCCTAATCCCATCCTTGACTTTCGCAAAGGAATGGAGGGACATTGCTCTTAAACATATTGCTTTCAAGTAGGCCCTAGATCTATACCGTCGAACACCTCTACTCGTCTCGGTTTTCAGTTTGTGATGTTGTACTAGTCAGTGTTCAGTCTCCGTTTGAAATACACTGTTGGGGTTTCTCTAGCTATAGAACCAACAACCACAACACACGGAGGATGAACTCTTCTCGTCAACCTATGCATATTGTCGTGACCAAAATAATGATGAAAAACAAAGAGACCAAGTAGATGGCTTTTTGAAATGAATAAATTGTTTAATATTCTCTGGATCGTTGTGATAATAAATTGACGTGATATAACTATTTATAACAACCACAAGTTACACTGTCAGTACAGTAAGACCTTACATGCTAAAACTTTGATTGAGCAGAAAGAGGTCGATTTAATTTGTTTTGATATAAGTACTTACTTCTAATTTTGCCATTTCCGAATCTTGAGCATTTGTTACACACAAACTAATATTCGAGTTATAACCCACCCTTCATGAAAACTATTAAATTCTTTTCTGTATTCAGTAAAAGTAGCTAGCTTGATGAAACGTTTGGTAACGATTGAGTCATTTTATATATTTCCAAATAGTTACCAAGAATAAAGACCATTATGCATATTGAAAGCCAACTTATTTTTTGGCAAAATTGTTTTTATTTCAGCAATAATGTAATGATTCTGTTCATTTTTTTTCGGTCAGTGAGACATGGGCGTTTTGGTTGTAAATCATTGAGTAGTTTAGAGAAGTGCTTTGATCTCATCGTAGAGCACCAGCACCAGTGCTCCACCTGTGCCACGGAGGACATTAGAGAAGGCCCCCTTGAAGAAAGCAGACGGTCCTTCCTGCTTGAAGATCTTCCTCCAGCAGTCCATGGTGTTCTTGTACAGGACGTCCTTACGGCCTGACTGCATCATCATACGGCGGCGCACGGTGTCGAAGGGATAGCTGACCACACCTGAGCCGGTGGTGACCGTCTGAGCGATCATCCAACTTATGATGATGTTGTTGTACTGAGATGGAATCAATCCCTTCACGGTGTCGTACGTGCCGAAGTAAGCAGCCCGGTAGATGATGATCCCCTGCACGGATACCCCAAAGCCTCGGTACAGACCGATGATGCCATCCGACTTGACGATCTTGGTCAAGCAGTCACCCAGACCTTTGAACTGCCGGCCACTACCGTCGTGCTTCCCGATGTCGGCTGCCAGGCGAGTCCTGGCGAAGTCCAGCGGGTAGACGAAGCAGAGTGAGGTAGCCCCTGCCGCTCCGCCCGAGGCTAAATTGCCGGCGAAGTATCGGGCAAACTGGGTCCTCTTGTCCACTCCGCTCAGGAAGAGCTTCTTGTACTTGTCCTTGAAGGCGAAGTTGAGGGCTTGGGTCGGGAAGTAGCGGATGACATTGGCGAGGTTACCACGCCAGAGAGAAGTGAATCCTTGCTCCTTGACAACACGACTGAAGCAGTCGACGATGCCTTTAAACTGCTTATCGGCTGCGATCTGAGTAGAGGCGGCTTGGACCTGTCGAAAGAAAAATACAATAGACGAGTTATCCCTATCAGATCCGCAGAAATATGTTTTATTTCTGACAAATATCTCTTTCTGATGCGTGTGTAAAAGCGAATATGGCCGAGTTTTAAAACAGCGCGATGCCAAAATTTCATTTTGGTAGACCACGAACTAGTTCAATTTAGCAGCACCATATCTCAACTTTCTTTGTAGGTTCCAAGTCAGCTTTAAGGAACCAAGAATTTCTCAGACATTTTGAAGTGGGGCTAATGGAGCAAAATCGGGGGAAGAAAGCGGCTCCGAACCCCGTCGCTGAACCCCCTCGAGCCTCCTAGATCCGTAACTCGTGTGAGCATGGAGGAATAAGAAAAGAAAAAAAATGGTATGAGTTATCATTTGAAGTGATGCATAATAATGCCTACTTGAAGCAGAAGTTTGACTCGTTCGATTGGCGCTACGGCGGTCTTGGAGATAGCTGCCGCCGTGCCACCAGCCATCAAATCCTTCATGAAAGACGCCACGTCAAAGCCTGACATGTTGACAGAGTTATTAACTTAAAAATTCAAAGAATTAACGAAGTAGGACAACTTGTCTTCTGATTACTTGTACTGAACTTGGACTAGGCTGGTACGTTTACTTTTACTGCCGTTTGTGTTTTGTTCGCGTAACTACTGTTATGTTGCCAACGCGCGCTTTACTGTCTATTGTTCTTGTCATCCGCGCAACATCAAACACGATTGGTCAAAGTTTTCTGTGCGTTAATTATGCTTGAGACGACGGGAGAGCACTGTGGTAATTTTTCAGCCTGTGATCAGACTCCGAAACTTTATTTCTTAAAATATTATTACATAAATTGCTTTATCGAACCAAAATTATTTTTTCGTAGCTTAATGACAAAGAAGATTCAATTCACATCCTTTAGTTACAAAATGTTTCTTTCGAAAAAATATCGGCGCTTTTTTTTCTGGCAAAGCTGAAACGCCTCTTTGGCGGGAGTGGCACATAAAAGATCAAAGGAGGACCGACCGAACATGAAAACTTCTAGACTTCAAACTGACTAGGCAATTAAGTGCCTTCACATGTAATTCATCTAGTTCGGCAAAGAACTTGTGAATGTTCAATTCTCTGAAGGCACAGAGCAACACTATCCAAACAAATAATTCCGTTCATTAACTTTTAAGTTTCAATTCAAATTACAAATCAAATTATATCCTTTTGCTATATTTAAAGCTTTTTCTTCCCGTAGCTATTAATTTTTGGTGTGCTAATAGCGGATCCAAACTTGTGACTCGGTTTGAGACGACGGTGGTCCATCGTCTTTTGGTCATAGCGCCCTCTCTTGTAGGTGACGATGACGTCACAGATTTGAAGCGCAAATGTCAAAGATGGCGGCACAATGATAATTTAGTGGTACTTCACGGAACAAAACAGAGAGATTTAATTCAAGAATGTTCGCCTCTGATGTCCATGGATCTCGAAGATAAAGTCATGGATTAACACGTAAGGATATGTCGTTTGTGTATATGTCGTATTTATTGTCTTTGTTTGCCCAAAAACGATTTTACAGCCGAAATATTAGACGTGTTTGATCCACCATGTTCACCATCAACGATTCTATTTCTACATCACACATTGCTGCATTGGGACATCAACATGATCAATTAATCATTGACTCATCCCCAGTTAAAAAAAAATTGGATTGTCTTTGATGGGGCGGCATTATGTATACGAATCTCAGGTAAATAACCTGATGTCACTTTTTTCTTCATTTATATGAATGGAGCATTGCCATTGGAGGTCAGGCACATTGCAGAAATGTAGGCTAACTAAAAAACATGAGTCTGGGACTCGGAAACATTTTGACATGTTCGAAAACTTCGAAAATGTTCTTGACTCTCCATGGACTTTTTACACAACCAGTAACCACTGACATGACTGAAGAAGTGGCGTCTACATTCTTTCCAAATAACTCATACCCATGATATTGATATTCATCATATGTGCTTGTTTTTTTCATGTTTTTTTTTCATGTTGTTAGTTTGGGCATGTTGGGTGAAAAGAATTTAAATTGTCAGATATTTTAGACATTCTGAACCAATTGTTTTTGCAGCCGAAGTTGTTACATTCTAGCCCCATGAGGCATGAATGTGGCTCCATATAAATACTGGACTTCCTGCATTTGTCCTGCATATTGTTAACTTGAAAGTTGTAGTGCAGTGTTGTCCCACTAAGTAGGCCTACAGCATGCAAGTGTGGTTTGCTCAGATATTGCTGCATTTGCCTGTATAATCCTCGAGCCACTACGAAGCCACACATCCCAGGTAACTTAAGACATGTGAGCTGAAATTGTCAACTTTGCAGGCGCACGAACATGACGAAACTGTAGAGTTTGCAAGTAGGCCTGTTGGATGTGTTCTATGATCTCTCAGCATTTGCCTTCCGGGTTGATTTGGTAGTGTTACCTCCATTATTTTTTTTTTACCCATTTAAGCATCTTTAATTAACCCTAACCGCCCTGCAAAATCCTTTTTGCAAATTGGAGGAATTTGCAGGATTGAGGTTACATGGCAAAAGTGCGTTGCTGATTTCGGAGTACGCACTGTGTCAAGGTCTTGGGCTGGACCTTGTGTTGTTTATGCTCAGCCGTGCATAAATTTAGTCCTTGATTATACTTGACATCCTCCGTACTGCTCCAGGATGTCACTGCCTCTGCCTCAGCCTATTGACAGACATAGCCGGAGGATTTTGCAGGATTCAGGCAGTGGTCACCTCTCCATGGGCCATATTCAAGAAATAGCGGAGGAATTTGCAGGATTGAGGCTATATGCTATTTTTCCATGAGGCCAATTGGAGGATTTTGCAGGATTGAGGCTACACCCTAACAAAAAGGCCTAGGGAGTTAGGGTTAAGGATTCAATATGCACATGTACCACCAGGCAACGGGTACATTCCTACAGTGTACTGTACATGTGTCTCCCCGTCAAGAAAAGCACTTTATTAGTAACGTAGCCTGAAAATGCAGCTGACCGCATTGAGGGAAAGTAAACTTAACACAAAAGATTTTGCCTGAATGGTGATGATTAAATAAATAGTTTAGTTGTCAACAAACTTTAAGTGGCTTTCATGCCGTTTACCATTGTTTACTATTGATTGTTAAGGACGAAAGATAGCACTTTGCATTACATCTTTGCATGCATGAAATGTAGTGTTGCAAAATAGTATCAATCTCAAAGAAATCGTGCCGTGAAACAGGGTTTTGAATATTTTGTCCGGTTTAGTTTAACACGTTACCAGTGTAATACAAGTACGGTACACTTACTCTTACTGGTTTGTAAAAATCATTGAAAAGTTGGCAAGTACATGTACATGTATGCTAAAAGGTTATAATGGCAATGTTAGGCCAGAATATTGAACTTCACTGTCATTTTAAACATGTAGACTTGCTTAGGATTTCATTGTGAAATTATCCATCAAAGGCCAGGTGTGAAACATTGCCATTTTCTATCCAATCTGATGGTGACTGGCCTGTGTTAAGGCATGGCAGGGTTGAAAAGGATTGATTTTTTTGACTGTCTGTGACTGTTCAGAATTCAGATAGCAGGAAATACTTATCATGGTTTTCAGTTCATGAAGAAAGTATGCAATGCATGTAGTTCTTGTGCAGTGGTAGATCTCGGAGGATAGCTGTAGGGCTCCTAGGAAAATGGCCTGGGGATTTTTACGGCATATACAACTTACAAGTACATGAATGCCAACTTGGCTGCACTATTTATGCCGCCTACATTTGGACCTCAGCCCATCAGGATTCACACACTTCTTGAAGCGTGACACAACAACACAATGTTCCCCTTATAACTGATCTTGATTTTGTTTGCCAACTTCATTAATTAATTGTCATTATGTTATCAAGCCTCCAGTCGACCAAGAAGAAGTTCTAAGCAGTTTTTTTTTCTCAAATTATTATACATACATGTATTGTAAGCACGGACAACAGAAACTTAAATTTATTTTAAGATGTTCTGGCAATTACGTACATCATGTGATTTTTATACATGTACATGTATGTAGTGCACACCTACATGTACAACAAGCCCATGTTCTTGCAACCACGTCCCCATTGTGTCGAGCAGTATGCGCCCGTCACTACCTGCTCTCTCACCCTGGTATTGGATCATTTGCATGTGCAAGATTTTTGAACATGTATGCAAATGAGGAATAGTCTGGTGCCTGCATGTGCGTTACATAAGCATTTGTTTTTGTATGAGGTGTCTGGGGTAAAAACAAAGTCAATTCGTCGCAGCACGAGCATGACATGAGTTATGAAAACACGATTTTTTAAATCAAACTGTTACGATCTTATCGAGACAACATGCAGTATCACTTTTCATATTACTATGAACAAATCGGGAAGGAAATGAGTATTTTCGAGAAGGCGTGGATGAATGATCGCGAAAACACGTACTGCACGTTGTGAATAACAACACCAAGTACACGATATAACTCCATAACTGTATCGAATCAGGATACAGGAAGAAAGTTTCCTATCCAGGGCTTACTATTGGAAACGAGGTTGGAAATAAAGTAAGCACTGGGGACGAGGTTGATGTTCTAGTGTTGACACAGTGCAGGCTCATTGCCTTGTGTTCACACAAAACTCCCATGTTTCAGTTCCATTAAGCATGCATTGAGTTAAGGGTACACACCGGTAAATCGATCCGCCAAGCTCATGAATAAAAGTTATACCCTCAAAATATTCTATATTAGAGAGTTCTGAGCGCCGTAAAATTGGGGAATTGAAGAGATATGGTAGTGAACCTCTGGCCCGGACTTGGGGCTTCCAATTCTGAGCATTTTGGATGCTATTGGGCTCGAAAGTGGCGCTATTTTGCCATGTTGTGGAGGGATCGTTTTTCAAGATGGCTACTTTTCCGCTTTGGGGAAAATAGGGGTCGTCTTCTTTGCGTGAAAATATCTCGAAAAGTCAATGGTCAACCCACCATAAATTGAAAAGAAAATGAAAGATGACACATTGATCATCATTTTTCTGTGCAGCTTGAATACCTGTGAGAGTTTTGAGTATTTTTAAAAGAATTTTGAAGTACGGGCATTTAGCACTAGTGTCTATGGGAGTTTATTTGCAGGTATGCACCCTATAAAGAATCACAAAGATGGCCGTTTCGCGCATGCGCTGTGCCGCGGCAGTGGCCTTTTCAGTGGGCGGAACCTACGGGGAGGGGGAAAAAGTGTTTTAAAGGTATCAACAAGGGTTTTTTTCCGTAACGGATGCTTCCAAATCATAAGGGAGCAGTAGGCTATCACCCGATTACAACAATTGATAGTTGAAAAGGGGGGGGGGGCATTTTGAGCTTAAAAGTAGCTGGAACTCAATTTATTGTCGCTGGGGGCGCTCTACAGCTTAGGAGGGGCAAAACAATCACTATTTTCGGGCTTAATATCGACCTCGGATAATATTTTTCTTTCATTTTTTTTCTTCAAAATATTGACTTTGGAGATATTCTGCTTGTCCTGAATGTGATTTTGTGTTAAAATTTAAAAGTTGCCTGCTATTATAGGGTACACACCGGTAAATCGATCCGCCAAGCTCATGAATAAAAGTTATACCCTCAAAATATTCTATATTAGAGAGTTCTGAGCGCCGTAAAATTGGGGAATTGAAGAGATATGGTAGTGAACCTCTGGCCCGGACTTGGGGCTTCCAATTCTGAGCATTTTGGATGCTATTGGGCTCGAAAGTGGCGCTATTTTGCCATGTTGTGGAGGGATCGTTTTTCAAGATGGCTACTTTTCCGCTTTGGGGAAAATAGGGGTCGTCTTCTTTGCGTGAAAATATCTCGAAAAGTCAATGGTCAACCCACCATAAATTGAAAAGAAAATGAAAGATGACACATTGATCATCATTTTTCTGTGCAGCTTGAATACCTGTGAGAGTTTTGAGTATTTTTAAAAGAATTTTGAAGTACGGGCATTTAGCACTAGTGTCTATGGGAGTTTATTTGCAGGTATGCACCCTTAAACCTCCCATGTTTCAGTTCTATTGAGCATGTATTGAGTGAGGTACAATAACCCGCACCCAGGCTGCGCCTTGTAGTGCACCACATATTCTCCATTGTGCCTGACTGACCTGTATTGTCTGCTTGCATTCAACCTTTCTGTTGTGTTACTCAGTAATGGCTTATTGTTGCCCTTGGCTGAACACTGGGAATTGAAAGCAAACTTCCAGGATTTGTTTTCGTACGCATAAACTTTGAAACATGTACCACTACCAGTACATAAATTTGAAAGGAAGATATGTACAATGAACTGAATTACCGGTATCTCTTGTTGTTTGGTTAACCAGAAAATGTAATTTGTGTAAGTAAATGTCTTGCATGCATCATTGCATTTGCACATGGATTTTACTGATGACGTCACACTTTGTTTATGTGTGTGCTTTCCTATGGTGCCCAGTGGACAGTGGGCCCCCACTGGCTCCACAGGAAAATGCACATGTAAACAAAGTGTGACCTCATCAGTACAGAGGCTTATTATGCCCTGTTATGAAGGCATGCAATTTTCCTCAGATCCGCTGATTTCCTCGTTTTTTGCTTCTCATGAATACCATTACAAATTGAAAAACACGGTTCAAAGTCTTGTGTGGTTTGGAGTTTCCTCGTTTTTTCACAATTCCCAGTTGCATGCCTGGTTATCACTTCGCAGGTTTGAAGCTATTGTAATGCGTACGTTTTCCAGCAGAGCTGTGCTACACCTTTAACATGAACATTGTGCACAAAATGCCTACATGTATATATTCCCAAGTGTGATTTGTACAAGGCTTTATCCTTGATCCTAACTGTTTACTTATAACCTGGTACCTAAACTCCCAATTCCAGTCCTATTCATCCTGTGCAGTCAGGCACACAGACATTAAGAAATTCTAAACCTACCCTTGGGGCCCCCTCCCCCCCCCCCCCCCCCCCCTTTGGCTAGAGCTCCATCAAGTGTTAACTGTTGCCTATGTGGGTATTTTTTTCTCAATTCTGTCCAAAGAATTGGAGACTTTTTTGTAATGCACTTGATGTTGAGTTTCTGTCCTTGTGGAGTCTCGAGTGCATTCATGTGAACCTTGGGAATTTGGTTCATTGCTGTTGAAATCGTGAGCAGGTTTGGTCTCTTTCAACTTCAAATGTAGTGGGTGGTGGCCATCATTTGATTCTTTGACAAATTCTGTAAGTTGTATTAAGCTGTGAATATTGAATTTGTGAAACTATACATGAGTAATGGTTACAATGTAGCATGTAAGACTTGACAAATCGGCTGCCAAAACAGGTGATTGCTTTTGATGTTTTGTGAATGTTTTGTGGACTTACCATATGTGCGCATGTACTGGTACATGTACACAGAGGGTAGTTAATACACATGTATTTGTTGCTCTAATAACTTTGTGTACATATGTAACACCATGGAGGAAGGAAAACGGAGTGGTTTTTTAATTAAGATGATGCTCAGAGTATTTTGCATAATATTAGTCACTGTGTTGCACTGTCATTCCTCAGATTACTAGTAGATGCCACTGTCTGTTACTCATGCTGTGAGTCTAATTTATCATGGTCACTGGTCATGACAGTGGCATGCTTGCGTACACTTTAGCTTCGACTCAGATTCCAATGTGTTTTATATAAATTAAATTACATGTAATTGTCTTTTCTGGTTTTTTTTTTTTTCAGATGTAAAGGAGGCATTTTGTCACCATGGCAGCAACCAAGTAGCAGTTCTTGCTGTTGTACCTTCTAGTTGCAACCATTCTTGGGATTTTTAAGTGTAAACTTGCAAACTTCAAACATTGCAGTTGGACGGTTTTTCCCCCCGAGCAATTTATTTGGAGGCTCCGTCGGTTGTTACTGAAGTCTTCGCAATGGCGGACGTGACGCTTGACTCAATCGTCGCGCAAATCCTTAAGCCGGATACGCAGTCGAGACTCCAGGCGTCTCACGAGTTTCAAATGTTCCTAGCGGACGAGGATAACCAGTTGGTGTGTGAGAACTTTGACCGGTTGGTGGACGCTCTGGTCTCCTGGGTCAACTGTAGTAACTTCAAGGTGAGTTTCTGGCTTGGTATATTAACCCTAACACACCTGAATCCATCAAAATCCACACCCCTTCTTTTGGAGGATTTCAGCGGATTCAGGATACCTCCATGTTTAAAAAAGTGGTGGATATTGATGGATTCAGGACAGTAAGCCTAGCGGTACAGCATGATTTTGATGGTTTCAGGATACCTCAATTTTGAAGGGAAAAAAATGAAGGGTTTTGATGGATTCAGGACAGTAAGCCTGGCGGTAGTTGCAGGATTTTGATGGATTCAGGATACCTCCATATTGAGCAGTTCCCTCTTTCCTACCGCACCTGGCGGCTATAGTTACGAGTATTGGAAGTTTGTCAACTTCCAATACCGAGGGGAGCTAATATCGACTGTCCACCCGAAATAAACCATGTTATATTTGTTTTACTATACCTCATACATATTCAGCGCCGTTTTTTCTTCTTTTTTCGTTGTAGTATGCACCTCAAACAATCTTTTTTTGAAAAACATGTCCAGTTCACCAAAAGAATCGTATTGCTCAACTTCACTAGTTCTCTTCGTTTACAATACAGTGCAGCTGTAAATACAGTGGTTTGTGTACAACATTCTTTTGTACAGGAGGCATCTTTATTGTCCATAAATATTCTCTAGTTCAGCATCATTGAGCTAACGTGCCGTGCAACCGTGTGTAGCTCGTTTGGGCGATGTTCGCACGTGCGTACTACACCCGTGCGGCAGTTCCACGATTGCTTTGTAAAGCGCATGCGTAGTAGACTTACCTGTGCGACAGTCTACTACGCATGCGTATTTACCCTGTGCGCGAATCCTCGCGCGCGCGCTTGGTAAACAGCAAAAATAACATCTGGCACGTGATGGTGAATTGACCAGTGAGAGTTCGGCTCTCGATCATGAATATGTATGAGGTATAGTAATTCAGTATTCCAAATGTGTTTGCCAATGAAATGGAAGAAAGTCTCTTGTCCAGAAATATGAAGCAGTATCTTTATGGAGTAAAATTGAAACTACATGAACCTTGCACAGATACATACGTGTACGTTCTTGTTCCCAAAACTGGTAGTTTTAGCAAATAACATATAAACCATGATATATCTGCAGTTACAGCAGCGAAGTGTGTACATATTCATTGTACTGTGGGCAAACAGAGAGTTTACACTGCACAGGGTTAATCTTATTAATTCAGTTGACAAAGGATTAGAAAAGTTGCTGATGTGTTTTTTTTTTACATGCCATGGTTGCTGGGAATGTTTCTAAAGCCCTGTCCGCACTGGACTTTTTTTGGTCAAACTAACCGAGACTATGGGTACTTTTCCCATTTTAAGTCCAGTGCGGACAGCCTAGGACGTTTTCCTCTCGGTTACTTTTCCTGAGTCCAGCGGTTACCTTTACTGGCCAACTGCTGCCCAGGAAAACTTCCCACGCGCCCAGGAAAACTGACCAGGTCACTTTTCCCGAGACGATAAGTCCAGTGCGGACAGTGTGAGTCGGTAAAAGCGGCTCAGGAAAGCGTACATCCGGCCCGAGCGCCCTGTTATGCATACAGAGACCGCACGAACCTGCACGTGCGGTGGCCGAACATTTTGTAGAAACACGCTGCAAGCGGTAAAATCTCGTTAAAATATATATTTCAACGGACAAAAATACATACACAGAGAAGAGAGATCACGTTCTGAGAATTAATTTGCGGAAATTCTCTTTCTCCACCGATGTATGTTATTTTTCACGATCCAAATTCGTCCTGATACGCTACTGTAGTCATGCACGGAACATCATGGTACGTCCGGTACCGTACGTAGGCCGTAGTCACTGGTTCCTGCCCACATCATAGCTTCGATTCTGTAAGCATGCGATGGGAACCAACGAATACTGATGGCACTGCTGCCGCACGGAACATCGTACAGCGGCATGGCTTCGACGACGTGCATCACAAAATGCGTCAGAATTATAGGCCTTTTCGTCAAGATTTAGCGTGTCAAGATGAAATAATATCGTGTAAACGATTATGTTGTGCATGCAAATGGCATGTGTAATATTACTGTGCGTATCGGCGGCTGAAAATGTGATCGGCAATTTGTTTTCTGTGTACGGTGAGTCATTTTACTGACACTGTGACAGCTCGGTTACTTCTCCCACGCGGTCTGGGTAAATTTTCCCGTGTCGAAAGTCCAAGTGCGGACAGTGGTCACATTTGACCATTTCTCATTTTACCATCGTCTCGGTAAAACCTTCCAAAAAAAAAGTCCAGTGCGGACAGGGCTTAAGCTTATATACGTGTAACTATCTGAAAATGTAATGCCTTATGCCAAAATAACGCAATAAATCAGGTTTAAAAAGTTAAAGGGAATGTACAACATTTGCTTTTGCTGCAATTTTCAGAAATGAATGGATTTGGAGGATTAGTATGTTATAGCAAACATTGTCACACTGACTTGTTTCACGTTTTGGGTTCGTAGATGCTAGAGAAACCAAAAAAAACCCAATCATATTCTTGTAGTCTGGTTCCCTGACCCTACTTAATATAAAACGGAGCAATTTATAGACTTTGGGGAATTGTAAAATCAGAGAATCAGCCTAGCAGGCTTGGATAGTCTTCACAGGTGTGTAATCAATTGCAAAGAAAATGCAGACGAACTATATATGAAAAATTAGGAGCACTTTTTGAAAAAAGCCAGTTTTCTCCAATGCTGGTCGGCCGACCAGCGTTGGAAAAATACAGTTTTTCTTGAAAATGTCAGCACACCAGGAGCCACAATTTTACAGGATGCTTTTAGACTGTCATTCCCTAACAATCCAGTTATGTATTTTGTGATAATTTGATCATTTCGTCTTTTGATGTTTGCCAATGTTGTATCTTCCCTTTAATGTAGAGCACATGTACATCTGCATGTACATGTACATCATTATGCAGAATTTGTTTATAATTACCCTACCAGTATGTATAAATTTATGTACTGAGAAAAGTGTGTTTACTTTGTACTTTGGGGGGGGGGGGGGGAGTCTTTCAAATATAAATACAACAACTTCTAACAATAGCCCATCAATCCAAACAACTTCTAACAATAGCCCATCAATCCAAACACACGACTGTCTGGCCAACCTGTGATGACAAAAGATGACAATAACTTGAGAATTCATCAGCTTTCAAGGACAGTAACTTCCCACGGATTTCACTGTCTGAATGACAACACTCACAATCAATGGATCTACAGTGCATATGAAGGGTGCCCCACCTACATGTACATACTTTTAGGCTGAACGTCGGGACTGTTGAATAAGTTTTGACAGAATATCAAAATATTTAAGAAATGTAAACCTCTCTGGGACGCTCCAGTTCTAAATTATTTTTATAAGTGTATCCATTGTACATTTTATTGAGGCCAATGGTTTTCTATTTTTACAAGCAGGAGAGTCATTCTGTAGAGCTATGACATGTGTACATACATGTACATGAAATTATTAAGTTTATTATAATGTGTCATGTTACCCTACAAATGTACATGTACACAGCTGTACATGTACTGTATAAATGTCAAGAACTTAATGCATGCCCTGCATTGAACAGATACACGTCAGATCTGTATTAAATCAATAACTGTTACAATATTCACGGTAATCCTGTGATGTGTGTGTGTGTACGTAAAATGGGAAGGCTTAACTTATTGTAAAAATAAACTGAAAGAAATGCCTATGATGTCCAGTTCATATACATTTAGACTGGTTGTTAATTGCAGTGGTTAGACAGTTGCTTTTGATTGTTTTGTGTGTGTTCTTAAGCAGGACATGTTACCTCAATGACAGTACACGGTTGCACATTTACACGTACACACTGTAAACATGCGTTCACTGTTGATCGTGGATGTCCTATTGTCCCTCTTTTGTTTGTACTCTTAACTTTTTAGGAAGACCCACATGACCCCAACCGCGGACGTATGCTGGGAATCGTGGACTATATTGTTCTCTTTTGTTCTCTGGTATTTTTCGTCCACAATTTGAAAAGATGAACACGTACATGTATGTATGTACATGTACATGTATACATGTGCATTGTACTCTACAGTACATGTGTACAGTGTATGTGTTTCTTCTCTGAATCAGATCTGTAGAATTCAGTCAGTTCACATACACGTTGCAATCTTATTTCAAACAAGTTACATGTGCATGCATCTCATTTACAGTCTTTGACATATTTCAAATTTACGTTCTACACATATAGTGCATGCACACATACATGTACATGTACATGTGCATGGCTGCGTGCGTGTACACATGCATTGTACGTATAAATACTGCATGTGCTTTGGCCTACATTATTTTGGTCAACATATTCCTGTATGAAGACTCCTCAATGTGCATACTGCATGTACTGTGCATTTGTGCATACATTTGTGGTGTCCGTTGTCTCTTAGCAGCATGCAATAGGAATAGAAACAGGAAGTTATATGTACAATGTATGTATGCTTTCGGAAATAAACATTATTCGTGGCCATGGGAGTGGTTAAAATAAAGATATCCAAGCGGGAAGATAAAACAATTTATGAAGTCATTGACTGGAAATTTTAATGAAAATAATGTTGTATGTACTGGTATGTTATTGATGTTGTATTTTATATAAATGTGCGTCATAGTTTTTTTATACTTAAATAAATCTTAATTGTAACATCCCAATACCAAGGATATTGTTCTCAAGTTTTATCATCTACATGTAAGGCTGTTTTCTAAACTTGTTGTGTCATCTGTGAATTTTGTAATAATACCATAATGTAAATGGGACATGCCTTGGATTTTTTAAATGGGTAGGATTAAAATAAAAAAAGGTTACACTGTAAAGGTGGTGGTTGTTGTTTAAACTGTTCACTTTTGCGCTTTTTAAAAGTAGCGATATTTTCCAAATAAAAAAACATGTTTAGCGCCCTGCCTTTTTTAAAAAAAGGAATGAGCTATTTTTCAAGATGGCCGCCAGCTTTTTAAAAAAAATTGCCGCCACTTGGACTCAGAAAATGACATACCAGCTTGATATGGGCTACTTGATGCAACAGACAAAGAGGCCAAAATGATGTCACTGTTTAAAATGTATCATTTTTGGGGGGCTTTTTTGGGGGGTTCAATAAAAAAAAAGGAGGCGCCTCCAAAAAGGAAGCGGGCGGGGACGCTAAACATGTTTTTCTTTTTTATTTGGCCTAATTGCATTATATTCATCATCTGGAGTTTTCAGCTTTACTTGTGCATCACTAAGTACATGTATTTTAATTTAGTTCTGCACATGTATGAAATGCAAGTACGTATTTAGAACAAGACGTGCATGAAAATCACATAGTCATGCTAATTAACATCGTAAAATGTTCATGACTTGTCTGGCTTCATGTGCGTACATGTACGTCGGATCATCTACATTTCATGTATCCCATTCCTGCATATCATGTCTCCAATCGTTAATTCTAGCGTGCGACTTGACATTCACCGTAAGCCCCTCGCGCTTTCCCATGCTCCCCTCACTAGCCAATATTCACGTTCATCATTTCAACAGTCAGTAATCTTTGCTGGAGAACAAGTGGGCCATAAAAATGGGGCCGTCTAGGCCGCGTAGTGGCTCAGAGTGAAAAAAATCATTGTCGGGGTCGCCGTATAATAAACTGATCTTATTGAACACCTTTATCATACCCCAAAGCATTGACAGGAACTTGAATCGGGTTACAAAAATAAGGTGTGATTATCAATGGATTTATGGATCAGGATGATATTGTACACGGAGAGTCATGCTGCCCCGGTGGCTAATTTTAGCTCTGCGCTCACACATGTAGGCCTACATGTACTTGTACACATGGTGGTTCGATAAGCGGAGCCTGGATATCTAGGCCTGTACATTTATGTGTAGGGTGTACAGTATGTAAATTACATTTGAACATTGAAGGGCATTATGTACAGTACATACTGGTATACATTTGTATGTGTTTCTGTATCAAACAGTGCACGACTCTGAAGGTGCACTGTACATATATGTATGGCGATTTTGACTGTTTTTGATCTTGATTTGCATGAGACTAATACATACCGGGGGTACATGTGTACATTAGTTCAGTAAGTTTCCCGCATGATGCTTGCGTGCTTAAATCAGAAAAAGAAAGAAAGAATTTTTTTTAATCAGCTCATCCTGTGGCTCATGTAGGGTGGAATTCAGTTGGAGTTTGAGCTTGATGTTACTGTTACTGGTAGTTGTAAAGATATTTATGTGGTGTTTTTTTTTCTCAGTTGACTGTCTGAAAATTATGCATGAATTGCTCACAGAGTCCTTGGCACTGCGCACTTGAGTTTTATGGTTCTAAATGAACATGGACTTGATATACAGTTTGACTGAGTACAGGATGACATGTATTCTGTGTGCCCTGGGCCTGACAGTACCACTTAATTGCGATTTTAAAGGCTGCAGCTGATTAGGCACCCATGAAGGATAAAACAAAAAACACTGTTCCAAACCCTGTTCCATATTTCCCCCAAACTAAAAGAAAGTTTCAACTTAAAGGGAATGTACATCATTGGCTTATGCTGTAATTTTCAGAAATGAACTATTTGAGGGGTTAGTAGCCTATAATAGATCAAATATTGTTACACTGACATTTTTGAAGTTTTGTGTTCGAAAAGGTTGGAAAAACCAAGAAAAACAAAAATGTTCAAGTAGTCTGGTTCCCTGACTCCACAAAAGATAAAATGGATCAATTTATAGATGATGGAAAATTGTAAGGCAAGGGAACCAGTCTAGCTGGCCTGCACCCGTTCATGAACATGTAATCAATAGCAAACAAAATTTGGACTGAAAAAAATGGTAAATTTGGAGCAGTAGTTGAAAAATAGTTAGGTTATTCCAACGGTGGTCGGCCGACCACCGTTGGAAATTTACAATAAAATACCACTTTTCTTGAAAATGACTCCACACCAGGTGCCATAATTTTACAAGATGCTTTAGAGCGTCCTTTACCAACATCCTAATAAACTGTTTCGTAAAAAATTGGTATTTTGTTTTTTCGATGTTTGCAAATGTTGTATATTCCCTTTAATGATGACGCCATCAGAAAAATTACATGCTACAAAATCTGCCCGAATTCAGCTTTGTGTTTTCAGTCTAGTGTACTTGGAATGTTCACACCAAAACAAAGATGATGACAGTACCCATACACATTGTACATTCTTTTGTAAAATAACCCTTCAAAAATTTGTTTTGTAAAATAACCTTCCAAGTACCTCATTACTTTTCTATATTAAGAAATTACTGACAGACAGTATGGGTGGGGCTCATTATTAAGTGGACTGTACTCACGCAAATGTTGGTGCTACTAAATACACAATGTATTTGAGGGGGGAAAAAAGGAAATCAACATTAGTCTCCTGTCTCATATTAATAATTATTAAATTGCACAGGAAAGTAGAAACTAAATTTTGTGAAAACTAAAACCGATTTGTACCGAATCCTTTTCACAAAAGATCATTTGACTCCTTCCATGTTACCGTATATTAACCCAATGTGATGAGTTGAGTATGTGTTTTATTGATCACTTTGAACTTTGTACAAATGCACATACCGTAGCATGTACGTTTGTACCGTACATCTGACGGTGTATTCACATATAGCTTAGTTATACACTTCAAAAGTATTATGCATGTTAATGTATAATGCATATACCAGTAAATCGTTATTTTTCCGAAATATTAAATCCTTTATATTTTTGCATACATGTATGTATATAACATGTACACGCTTAATTGAACATTTACATACATTGTACGTTTCCCAAACACTCTAGAATGTATGTACCGGTAGTAACAGCTGAGTTGAATTTTGATCATTGTGACTGGTTGGAATTCTATTGATTTACTGATTGATTTCTTTTTTTATGGATTTCAGGTTTCCCTGTGTGGCCTGGAATGTCTGACATGTCTGGTCGACAGAATGGAAGAGAAATTCAAAACACACATTGGAACAGGTAAATAAACATCTTAAGTCTTTTCAAGGGTCCATTGGATGAATTTGTCTTAGGAACACATTTTGTGCAACTTTCTTACTCCTCTTAAATGTATGAAAACTAATGGACATTCCTTTTTGGTTAATTTTATTAAAAAGTGCACTTCTTTAAACATTTAAAGTTTTCCATGCTTTTCCGGACAACTGAGGATGCTGTTGCTGTGATGTCATTTCAGGAAGACACTGTTCAGTTTAGGGGTTTTCTGGTCAAAAATTGTGAACCCAAAAATGTGCTCGTTTGAAAACATTTGTGAGAAAAGTTTGGTCATTGGCTTACTGCTGCCATGCATTGACACAACAACGAATCACCAAAGAAAAGCAAATTTACGACAGCAAAGTATCCAAAATTCTGCCAACTTTTGCCGCTAAAATATATCATTGAAGTTTTGCCTGAAATGATGTCCAACTTTCGCTCATGAATATGGGAAATGGCATCAGCATAAGAACCAAAAAGGCACCAGTAGGGTATACCCTTCAAAATGTCAAAACGAAAATTGAAAATAAGGTGAAAATGGGACACAAAGGTGCATTTTCGAGGATTGCATTTTTAAAATTACATGTACATTACATGGGCCCTTTAACATGTTTAATATGATGTTGGTTTGGACCCTTGCCAATAAACACGGCACATGAACAGGATACCTTGAAGCAGTTTTCATGAATATTCTTATTTTAGTCCAATTTTTTTTTCCATCCATGACATCATCACAATATTTCTGCAAGCACTATTTTATGAATGTTCGGTTTAGAATCCAAAAATAAATGTGCAAAAAAAAGCCATCAGTTCAATTAAATGTCTGTAGAAACATGTACTTATTATGGAGTTTTTCCCATTCACTTTATGCATAACGTAACACTGGTCTGTTGTATCTGATGTGATTGTAGAATTTGATTTATTCACCAACACGTAAACCCGCTTAAAATTCAAAGTTTCTGTGATGGGTATCTCAGTATATTTACCCAAACCTTATCAAGAAGATACACAACAAAAGCTGTGATATTATATTTCTCAGATGATCATATTCTAACCAAAAAAAAAATATGTATTTAATATCTCAAACTGTCAAATATGCAAACAAAAACAGACGATTATGGGATTGTATATCGTACATGGGACATGTGAGATGGTCATTATTTTTATTCCAACGTGGCCTAAGCCACCATCCATGTTTGTCATTAGATTAGGTCTGTTGCCTGCTATGAGTCATAAGGTGATTCCCATTTGAGTTACCGGGATGGCAGGGTACCGGTTCGTGCTCCTGTGATAATTCATGTCTGTCATTAAACATGAAATTGTAAAAATGGGAAGCTGTGAGGACAACCAATCGTGCAAGCACAGATCGGGGGGGGGGGGGGGGGGGGGGGGGAAATCCCTTGGTATCTCTTTTCTTTCCCAATTTAATTTTTATTTTTGGGCGGGTGGGGGGGGGGGTAGTAATACTTATTACACAATAGGTACTGGTCCATGTATGATGATAATTTTAATATATAACTGAATGTGATGTTGCTGCATATTTCGCAGATTCAAGATTAATTTAAGGCTGCAAAGGAGCCCGCACATTTTTACAATAATATTGAAAAAGAACACATGATAATTGCTGACAATTGTAATGAACATACATACACCTTGGCAGGATTTTAAAAAGTGACAGTTTTGTTTGATGATAGTCCCGACATAGGCCCTACTCTTTTCAAAACACTAACTTGCTTTCACTTCAGGTTTTTGTTGATGTAAGTTAATAAATTTCCAAAATTCAAATTATTTATAATCTTCCTTGGAAATGTTTGTACAAATTTATTGACGACTACCGGTAGTCAAGGTAAAATCATGTATTAACTTTCAATATCACCATTGAATCATAACATTGTATACATGTTTCACTTAATTATTTGACAAACACACATGTATCTGTAACTTTATAAATTGATTAAATAATGAATTAATTATGAACTGAATTGAACCAATCTTTGTGAAGTACAAACATTGATGCTAACTTCTGCTTGTTTCTTTACCGCAGTACTACCAGCCGTTGTGGATCGTCTCGGTGATGGAAAAGACCAAGTGAGTATAGACGTTACAAACTTTCACAAATATGGCCATGGAAAATACATTAAAGCTATAGTCCATCATTTGTAATTTGTGCATTTTGTTCGTTTGAAGCAACAAAAGGGTTCAAAATCTAATGAAGGATACTGAACAACTAACCTGATGAAGTTTCAGCTAAGCTTCAGCTGTACATATCGAGAAAAACAGCATTCTAAGATCTCAATTTCAAATCAAAAGTTACTGAATCATGTTTTGAATTGTTTTGAATTGCAGCTATATGCGGCGTCGCGCACTGATCCGACGAATTATAACAACCGCGCGGGCGTGTGCGTCGTTCCAATACTTGTGCGCGCTGCGCTGAATAACAAAACGAACTACTAATTTAAATTTTCCTACGGTGCTTCTTAAGAATCACCGTTGGAAATGCCCTCTTTCGTTGATTACTTCAAAATGACAGCTTCCCAGAAGGAATAATTTCACAGGGAGTTTAGTTCCCTTACTATCTTTCAACCAAGTTTGTTTTTCAACAATAATTACGCCAGTTACTTTTCGGATGGCTGCAAATGATGGACTATAGCTTTAAGGCGACCAATGTTTCAAATTGGATTCTTTCCAAGAGTCACAGATAAGAGTTGACTCCAGATCTACCTCTCAAACAAAATAGTTTGTAAACCGCTCCATAAAATTACCACTGAACTGCAGTTGTGAATCACGAATGTAAAGTCGGTCGCCGGTTCAGTCCCTCTCTAAACAAGATCATTTATTGCGTGAAATCTGTTTTGAAGTGGCTTGAATTTGAATCACGGGGGAGCTCAAAATAGGCACTTCAGGGAATGGATTCTACACATGTAGCCAGCAGTAGAACGGAGTTACGTTACTAAGGATATACGTGTACCAGAAACCAAAGACAGAGTACCCAATGTTGCTAGGTTGACATTCAGGAAGATGACCAGGGCAATTAGCCATCAGCATCACGGAGAGAAACCCGATAGTAATATGACGTGCAATGCTGTGTATTTATAGCCTTTGTGTTAAGATGAGTCTGTCAACAGTGGGATGAGGTTCAGGCATCATTAAAATCATGGAAAAAAAATTCAAAGCCTGATAAAGTCCTGAATGGATTTTATCATGGCATTGAAAATGCATGCAATGTTTAGACTTAGCACTGCTTAAAATCACATGTGGAAAATTAATTTGTGCGTTGGAAATATAAACATGTGTTTAGGCACGCTTTGAGAAAAACATGCAGGCTGAATGACTGATGGCATACACGCATTGTTTAATAAAGAAGAGCACAGATGTCTTTGCACACAGGTGCATACGATATTTCTGCTCAGAATATTTTATGTACATGTGCTCATGTACATGTACATGTACACACAGGCCAATTGTGTGCATACATGAAGTTCATTTGTTTGTACCAGGAAGGGCTAGAATTGTGTGCTATAATTGTGATAAACATAAATTAGGTCCCTCCCAAATTCTCCCAAATCCTCTTTGCAAAATGGAGGATTTTGCAGAATTTAAGCTGTACAATAGCCTCATACATGATGTATGACAAAAAAATGTGGAGCTGATTTTGGTGGATGCACTGTGTCAAGGTCTTAGGCCGGACCTTGTGTTGTTTTCGCTCAGCCGTGCATAAATTTAGGCCTGGATTGTACCTGAAATCCTCTGTACTGCTCCAGGATGTCACTGGCTCTGCCTCAACATATACGCAGTGCTTGCTGGAGGGTTTTGCAAGATTGGGGCAGTGGTCACCCCACCATTTCAAGAATAGCGGATGATTTTGGAGGATTGAGGCTGTATGCAATTTTTTCATGGAGGCAGTTGAAGGATTTTGCAGGATTGAGGTTGCATCCTAGCAAAAATGCCTAGGGAGTTAGGGTTAGCAGACAAACTGTGTACAGCGTACATTTTGTACAAGTGGGAAGTTTGTGGTGAGAAATATGTCTGAACAATGACCCTAAAAAACAACAATAATTTGAAACAAATAATATGAAAAGGGACTACAAATAGAACAGTGAAAAAAAGATGAGGAAAAGTGACATTATGGTCAAAAGTGATCTCTTGTGCTGGCACAGTTGTCTGTAATGCATTTTCAAGAAAAAAATCTAAAATATTACCATTTTCATTTTTATTATGTTTATATGAACGTGTAGTAAAAGTAAGTTTTTGTCTACTTAATTCTAACCAATGTTCATGTTGTCATGTTTTTTTTTCATCCCACGCTTCATGAATATTCATGACCCAGGCTCCATACAAACACCTGTCTAGTTATCTCATTAATCATTGTCTTTGTCTCTGACACAGGTGCGTGAGCAAGCCCAGGCACTCATCCAGAAACTGATGAGTCCAGCCGCAACGCCCCAGGTACATGTACATGGCAATTAATGATATGCATGACTGAACTAAACCATCATGCTGTAATTTGCATATCTAGCCCCGCCCACATTATGCCTGCTCGACCTGTTTCATGTTCATTCAAGGACAGTGTAATGTTTTCATTTTGTGTGCATACAGTATGTGTGTATGACTGTATGACTGTGTCACAGCAAAAAAGAAAACAATGACAATGAAATACGGAACTGTTTTTATAGGATATTCTAGGGGTTGTTTGTCTTGGTTTGGTGTTTTTTTATAATTTTTTTTCATATTCTGAATTTTCCAAAAACAAATTGAGAGTTACACATTTTGTTTTTAATTGCAATGTTTACTCTGTACATTTTTGGGGCAAATAGAGAAAATAATCAAATAAAAATGTAATTGTTATTTTCTTGAATATACACAGCATTTCATTATAGTAGCAAACTAAAGTGCATTTTCACATCGTCCTTGGTAACTCAACCGAATCCTATATCTGTGAAGGGCTAATCACAATAGGAACTTGACATACTGGGTCAATTGTCTAGAAGCTTGGTCATGCTACAATGGACGATTACAAATGAGGTGACCTATTTGATAGAGACACAACTAGAAAGACTACAGACATTGCATAAAAAAAATTCTAGATTTGCACTTCCAGTGACAAAGTTTTGTTTGTGAATGTGGTACCTGCAAGATTTTTCGTTTTGTAGAGGTTTTATTTTTTGGCAATGATTTGTCTCCCCCCCCCCCAAAAAAAAGAAGAAAATTGTTAATTTAAGCATGTATCACTGATTCCCAACCATTTCTGAAAGTAAAATAATATATTGGATATTGAAAGGGGATATGATCAAAAATTGTATAAAAAACTTGTTTTTCCAGTATGTTTTTGAGAGGTTGATGAAGGGATTCTCACACAAAGGCTGGCGGGTCCGTGAGGAGATTTTACTGTGCCTCAACCAGACTATCAATGTGTAAGTATAACCATCATGGTGCTTATGTTGCAAATTATGACCCCTCTTCATCAGGCCATGAGATCAGCTGATTAATGAAGTGAGTTATCCTTCTTGTGACTATTAACCCTCCCGCTATCTGAACAGTCATAGACAGTCAGAAAATCAATCGTTGTCCTGTGCCGTACCTTTTACACAGGCTAGTCACCAACAGTCAGATCATATTTCGAGCAAGCACTGTGATTAGTCAAATTCAGTCAACTGACAAAAGCAGACAAGAGGTAGGCACAGCTGTCTTATCAATCACCTACAGTCAAAGCATAGCTGTATCAAGTTACATAAACAGTCCCAGCCAGTCAATCCTGCTTTGTGTAGGCTGGGAGCTCTTAAGTGTTGAAAACAGTCACTTGATTGATTTTGACTGAAAGGACAAGTTGGCACAGAATGTATGTTTGCATTTCAGCCATTGGCCTTTCTTATTGAAGCGCTTGGAAGTGTGCAGTGAAGTATATTTTGTGTTGCGTGTGAGAAAGTTTGCCTGCTGAATGGGGATATTTGCAGTACAAACTGTCCCCAAAATGCAGTGCACCTTCAGTGCATATTGTGTGGTCCGGTAAAACCTGGGTTCATCTTTTGCTTCATCTTTGTTTCAAGTAAGAGAGGAATATCCTGAAATTTCTTAATTGCTTTCGCAGTATCAAACAAATGTTTCAATAACTTATTATTTCAACCCCACTAAAAGGATAAAAGCTGAGCCCTCTTGTGGTCACATCCAGCCAGTCTACCGCCAAATCAGTTTGCTGCCCTCTGTTGCCTGGATATCTTTTTCCCCATAATAATATTACTGAGTGAATCATCGATGATCACTCATGGGTGTAAACATCTCCATAATGTATGCCCAGCAGCTGTGATTAACTGCACCTGAAACGGGGCAGATATTTATACCAGACTGTAATTTGTTATCCGCCCAGGCAAGCCAGATGGCATCACTAAGGGCCGTTTTTATTATTATTATTTTTTTTTAACAAACTTGTGAATGATGGATGATGACTCAGTAGATGTCTTTTTCATGCCTTTTGATGATGTATCTTCAGGCATTTGTGCCCCAATTACCAAAGTAAATAGTTTTCAATTAAGATTTTTGTTGGTAATTTTTGTTATTATTAGACATTTTAAAATATTTTGATATGGGTCAACAAATTTGAGAATCATTTTATGTAATGTACAGAGTGTGCCAAAAAAAAAGTGCAACATTCAGAAAACAAACAATTTAAACGGTTTAATGTTTATTTCTTCAATGAAATTATATATATTACATAAATTTACATTAAAGCCTGATTTTTTCTCAATCCACTTCTTTTTACCATATTCCATTTGGGTCCCTACATGTAGATCCAGAAATACAATCAATGAGGTGAAAGGGTGTAAAAAAAAAAATTGGGCCACTTTCACCTATTCAATGCCTATTCAATGCTTAATCCAGATTCAGCATGTCCAGGTGAGAGTGGCCCAAGTAAAATTTACACCCATTCACTTAATTGATTGTATTTCTGGATCTAGGGACCCAAATGGAATGGGGTAAAAAGGAGTGGATTAAGAAATAATCAGGCTTTAATGAAATATATATTTTCATTGAAGAAAAATAACATTAAACAGTTTTAATTACTGTTTTCTGAATGTTGCACTTTTTTGGACGCACTCTGTATGTCTTCGTGTAATTTTATATTATGTTAATAAAGTTCTTAACTCCATCGGAACAAATTGCAAGAAATATTTATATTAATCACATTAAGCACTTTTCAAATGCTTTTGTTAAGATTTATGATGAATGATGTCACAGAACTGCCTTTTGTAAAATTGTTCCATAAGTGCATGTACAGTTTTGATTGCTCCTCATCTTAGTACTAGTGAATATTCAAAATGTTTTTTTTTATGCTGCTTCATTTTCATGTCTAAAACTACTTTTTTTTTCTTGATCTACTTCTGCAGGTTTGGGGCGGCAACCCTGTCACTCAATAAGATAGTCCCTTCAATCTGCAAGTTGCTGGGAGACCCTAACAGTCAGGTGAGTCACTCGCACAGAAGCTACTTCATAACTTAAGTACCACTTCTCAGGCATTCCACCTACTAAATTACGGCAGACATCTTACTACTTTGGCAACGAAGTTCTGTCAGTGGTTTGAGTGCCAGTGATTTAGAGAGACTGCAACTTTGATGAGGACAATTGAAAAAAGACAAATTAAAAAAAAGCAAATTGAAAAGGAATATTTATAGGCAGAGATTTTTTTTATACAAGCGCATATGAATGAACGTTGCATAACAGCTGTTCATAATTAATCTGGATCTTTCTCAACCCTCCAAAATCCTCCAGGCAGTTTTCAAGGATTTTGGAGGATTGAGGCTGAGTGGCCAAAAAGTGACGGTTGATTTTGGAGGATGCATTGTGTCCAATTCGCAGGCCGTACCCAGCGTGCTTTATGTTCAGCCATGCATAATGGAGCCCAGCGCTATGCTCTATATCATCCGCACTGCTTCTGAATGTCGTCAGCACTGCCTCAACCCATTAACAGTGATTGTTGGAGGATTTTGAAGGATTGAGGCAGTGGTCACCCCGCCACTGAACAAAGTCAAGAAATAACGGATGATTTTGGAGGATTGAGGCTGAATCCAATTTTGTACATGGTGGCAATTGGAGGATTTTGCAAGATTGAGGATGTTTTCTAGACAAAAGGGCCTAGGGGGTTACGGTTAAGCTTAGATCACAGTAATTGCTGAGTTTTGTTGCACTGCATACAGAGTGGTAGACAGGAACGTGTATAGCAGGGAAGAGTGCCTGCTGAAACCTGCCTGGTTAGAAACCGTACTTGTAAAATCAGCCCTTCTGGAAATGCTTGCTGACCAGGTGTCCCTTTGTTCTGCTACAGTTTGATCATGCTAATCCCAAGTTGATTTGATGATAAGTGCTCTTCGGAATTTCCAAGGATAGATGCTGCACTTTTTTTCTCACTTTTCTGAACAAAGGACTGTCATTTTATTTTCCCCACTACACTTTGAAAGGGTTTGTTATGAGTTCCATGATAGAAATACCAGTTGTTGTCATTGTATTGTATTCACTAGTGCTTTGATTCTCAATGAAACTAAGTTGTTTGTTTATGAATCCTGAGGTTTTTTTGTATGTAGTTGAATGAGATGAACATATGCTATGAAATCGAAAGATAGATATTAAATTCACTTTTTGTTTTTCAAAAAAAGTTCAATTTCATTATTTAGGACTTGCAATTGGGACTTTCTCCAGCTTTGAAGATATTGTTTGCTGACTATCAAAAAAAACAAAAAAAACAAAAACAAAGAATGTTATGGTGTGTGTCTTTGTGGTCTGATACACTGTGCCCTCTGGAGACATGCACACAATAGGGAACAAAAGATTGAATACATCTCCACAGGGCAATTTCTATAGATGAATACATCTCCACAAGGTTTCACGAAATAAATATATGGATTTTACTCAAAAAATTTCCAAGGTATGTTGATCATTTGCAAATGGTAGAGTTTTAGAAAAGGGATATTAAGTCCGAATTTCAGCCAAGGAAATTAATTCTGGTTAAATTAACAGCATTTTGAAACTGTACTTTCAACTCGAAAACTTTAGTACACGAGAACAAAGAAATGTCTCCACAAGGACACAAATTTCAGTTTGTGTGAAGATAATGTGTTTACAGAAGGGCAATATCATTTTCAGTGGTGTTTAAAACAGGTTTCAGTTTTTGGGTGAAATCACAGCTTTTGGATTAGAATTGAAACTGTCGATTGGACATTGTGTCACTATTTGTGTGGTTTACTTTGTTTTTGTCAGGTGCGTGATACAGCCATCAACACACTCGTTGAGATATACAGGCACGTAGGAGAGAAAGTCCGGATTGACTTGGGAAAGAAAGGCATCCCATCATCAAGGTAATGGACGATGACATTAAGTTGGAATTTGGCCTGTACTCAGCACTCACATACTGAGGGGGCTGGTGCAAGTTGATTGTATACCGCCCTCATGAGACAAATGTGTGTAATGACATCTAATCAATCTCCTCTCACACGTGCTCTGTAGGTGCATATCAGTCAATAAATTGCCATAAACACCAATTATAAATACTGTTGACTCAAACTACTCAAAACTCTTCAAAACACATATCTTGATTTACATTCTACCCTAGAATGTTTGTACATCATGTACATTGTAGAACTCAAAATTCCATACATACATTATTGGTTCTTAAAGAAACGTCTTTCAGAAACCAAGTCTCTGTCCATTAATCACAATTTACATCTTTTCTCATAAATGTGCCTGAATCCTACAAAATCAGTCACTTTTCGAGACCCTAAAGACATATATTTTACATGAAATATTCAAAACAGAAAATTAGAGGGTTTAACATTTCAATCCTTAGCTGGACCTCTTTGAAGGCAAAAAAAAGTTTAAGGGTATTAAAAAAAAAAGTTTAATAAAATTTGAACATACTGAGCCCCATGTGAAGTAATAGCGGCTGGGGTTTACCTTTCTCGATCCTACAAAATCCTACAGAATATTCTGGTAGATTTTGAAAGATCCGGGTGGAGTAGGGTTTATAGAAGTGATATGAATTCATGTAGTTTACCTGTTGCCTTATTGGCCTTGCAGGTTATCCATCATCTATGCAAAGTTTGATGAAGTCAATCGATCAGGTCGAATGCTGGTTGTCTCACCTGATGGTAAGTTACACACACAATATTTGTAACTCTTGCAAGGCATTTCTTGCAAACATATGTTGTATTAACCTCCTATGCAAACATACATTCTGTGCCAAGTAGTCCTTTCAGTCAAAATCAATCAAGTGACTGTCTTCAACAGTTAAGAATTCCCAGCCTACATAAAGCAGGATTGGCTGGCTGGGATTGCTTAAGTAACATGATTCAGCTATGCTTTGACTCCGGGTGGGTGATAAAACAGCTGTGACCACAACTTGCCTGCTTTGTCTGTTGACCCAGTTTAACTAGACACAGTACTTGCTTTACATACGGTATGATCTGACTGCTGGTGACTAGCCTTTGTTAAAAGTATAGCAGGGGAAGTGGAAGTGAATTTTGACTGTCTGTGACTGTTTAAATAGCAGGAGGGTTAAACATGGCTGATTTTAAGCAAAATCAGCCAAATATTTCAAGCAAACACTATGATCAGACTGATAGTATATTTCTGATATTTATAGATATTTTGGTAAAAAGTGGCACTGCTGCACAGGACAAATGTTTGGATTTGTGTATTTTTTTTGACGCATTTTCTCATGCCAACTTGGCCTCATATGATCACACTAGATGTAGTTGTCATGTTGGTATAATGATTAACAACCTAAAGCAATTTTGGTTTGTTGTTCGCGGTTGATTGTGTTGATTCATTTGTTCAATTTTACATAATTAACATTAACACATACTCCATAAATTGTTGTTTCTTAAGCCGCTTTCGCATTGGACTTAAATTTGCAAACAGTTACTGTGAGTGATTGTTAACATTCCGTTGTGGTTATTCTACTGTGCGTCTGCACTTTTGGCTTGTGGAAAGTCATTCATTAAGTAAAACTAACAATGAAATTCTTCCACGGTCCAGTTGGCCCTGTAACACTTACCACTGCGGATCGTGAAACTTATAATTTACAGTTGACACTTGACAATTTGGGAAGTTTTGACAGCAGTCTCTGTTAGTTTTACCCAAAAAATCCAATGCGAGCACAACTTTAGCTTATTCGTTTTCTTCGCCTAAATTTGTTTTTCTGCACCTAGGTCAGGATAACCTTTTTTTTTTGCCACCTACAGCAATTTGTTTGTTATTATGGAATAGGGATTTCTTGATTCTGAAATTCCTTCTGAAAACTACCTTTCTAATGTTGCCTTAGTACTCATGTACATGTATACAAAATACTGGTGTAAGAAATTTACTGGAACTTCAAAAGTGAAATCACTTAATCTCAATGTCATTTAAGAACACAGCACAAATTACTAATTTCCTGTCAATGCATACATATTCACGTGTTAAGACAAAAAGCTGTACCCAGACATGTACATGTATGGTTGCACATGTACATGGAAAGGTGCCTATATTGTGTGGCCACACTCCACAATAGTGTATTCGTGACTCAAATTTCATGCACAGTCTTTATTCTTCAGCAATAGTGTTACTTTATGCTACTCAAAATTGTAACGTGTAATGAATAGTGTGGTTAAAATAGTAGAAGTCACTTCATGAAAGATGACCTGAATATTATGTCAACAGTCAATGCACTTGTTGGGAAAAAAATAGTAAACTCAATTTTCAGCTATATGGCTCTGCTGTATTGAAAAACATGCTGATACTTTATCTTTGCCAGACGTGCCAAAGTTTTTGTGTCCTTACCATATATGATTAGAAACTTTGTAGAATTTAAATCAAAAGTGTTATCAAAAATATAAAGTGTAAAATATAGCCTATACATGTAGGTATATATGTTGTGCCAAATTTCCTAATTCATACCCCAAATATAGTCATTTCATTGGTTTAATCCACATTCCTTTGTGAACTTTAATTTATGGAATGTCTGCGTTATTCTCCAACTTGTACAAAATTCCATAAGCAGCTTACCTGCACAAATCTCTCATAGGTCCCGAAGCACAACACAGTTCAACTGTTCTCTGGTCAACTTTCTCTTCTCTCCTTGCCCTACCAGTAGGGAGCTGTTTATCCTTCTTTGTCCCGCTTCCGTGCCCGAGAACTTCCATTGTCCAACGGTTTCTGTGTGAAACTTGCAAGTTTCTTTGTTGGTGACTTAATCTTGGACTTGAGCAAAATGCTGTGTAGTTGTGTGCTGGATCTTAATGTAGGTGCGCTGACTGAGCGACCGAGCCTGTCCAGGAAATATTAGTCAGACAAGCCAAGCTGAGGCCAAGAAGGAATGAGTGCTTCCCTCTTCCCCCACCCCCCCCCCCCTTCTTCCTTTCCCCCCTCCACCCAGGGGGTCACGCAACCCAGGCAAGACATTAACTCCACCTCCAGGGTTGTCAAAATAACACTGCATACCTTCCAAAGTACAGTATTAAATCCTGAGCCACCTGGTCGCCACCTCTTTAATGAAAATATGCCGAGTCCCGCCAGCCGTAGATATGAAATTCTGGGGTATTGTTGACAGGAGTCTTCGGTATTTTGCAGCCAGCATGGATTTGCAATCATTGCGGGGGAACCAACCATGCATCACATGAAGATGAAATCGGCTCGGATATCCACATGTACTGATTCTCAGTGATTTTGTCCGTCACGTTCATTGCTTTTCTTTTTTCGTTTTGTGGTATGATGCATGGACTTAGTTTTGGTTTAGGTGATGTCATTACTCATTTCCTGTCCATTAACATGCTTGTTCCTCTGCAAACATCGTAATCCCCGATTCCCACAGGAAGTCAGTCATTGATGATCAGTATTTAAAGTTTGTTGTAGACATCAGCTGGTTGGTCGACTCGGCGAGTCCACCTCTCCTATCGTGTTTGGATTGTCCCTCCCCAGTGGAGATTCGGGAGAACTTGCACTTCTTAGCTTTTGACATCCCTAGAGACTTGCGGACTACATCTTGGCAGCTTCATCCATCGGTCCCTGCCTTCTTGCGTGCTCATCTCGCCCTGAAGATTACTCCGTATTGATTGGAAGGTATTTTTCGTGGATGAGGTTTGCTTTGCCGGCACCATCATCACTTTATTGATCATCTGGTCAAGGGATTTCCCCACGGAGATTTCAGGCTGACTAAAAATTCCAACATCCCAAGTTATCTTGAGATTGGAGCCAGTGGTCAGCGCTTGATGTTGGTAATCAATTAACATACCGCATCTGATGTTGCTCTGGAATGACAGAACTGTGTTGGAAGATGCACCAAATACCAGCAGACTTGCAGCGATATGTAAACCTCCATTCGCATCTGTTTTAGACATCAGCTGGAGCTCATCCAATGAAAGAAGTAGTTTCGAACATTGAACATTGTCAGAACATCAACTGTGGTCTCTGGTGAGGGTCAGAAATTGAAACTACATGTACACTGTACCAGTACCGTGGTGACATGTTCTGATCCCATTGCTTTGAAGATAACAGGATTTGTGTACCAAAACAACTGTCTTCAACTTCATCAATGCATCAGTGGTTAGAATTTAAGTAAAACATTGCTGAAACCCTTGGATGTAAAAAAAAATCAACAAGATCAGGAAGCAAATCGGTCATGATGGGGGACAAGAAAGGAGACCAGAAGCGAGATAACTTCCGTCCGTTTGACAAGGACATCTCGCTGATTGTCAAGTGTCTACTCAAGGGGAATCCTTTACCCAAGAAGCATGAGAAGATGGGACGTAGGGACCGGGACAGTATCGACTCAGGAGTGGGAAGTTTAGCAGATGAGGATTCAGTCAGACCTGGTAGGTAGCGCACACTTACCGGTACTTGTAACGACTTGGTGGTAAACGTACATGTATGATGTAGGCCAGTTTGCCAATTTTCAGGGCAACTGTTATCAATGTATTAACCCTCCTATGCAAACATACACTCTGTGCAAAGTTGTCCTTTCAGTCAAAATCAGTCAAGTGACTGTTTTTAACAGTTAAGAGCTCCCTGCCTACATGTACTTAAAGCAGGATTGACTGGCTGTGACTGATTATGTAACTTTTCACAGCTATGCGTTGACTGGTAGATGATTGATGAGCCAGCTGTGCCTACCACTTGTTTTTTTTTTTTTTGGTCTGATGACTGAATTTGACACAGCGCTTGCTTGAAATATGATCTAACCGTTGGTGACTAATAATAGTAATAATAATTAAAAAGTTATATAGCGCCTTCCATTAAAAAAAACACAAAGCACTGTACAAAACATAAAACCAAAGTAAATATAAATCGCCTGTGTAAAAGGCATGGCAGGGGAAGAGGATTGATTTTTCTAGGCTGTACAGCAGGAGGGTTAATGCACTGTACATGTACATGTACTTGTACATGCACATGGGCAATGCCATTATTACAGACGTTACATTAAGAGCCTAATATCAATTTGAAACAGAGTAAAATACTTGCAGTGAAATGTTTGAAATATGAAGGTCAGACACAATTGATTTTGTGCCTGTCATTATCTACCAGGAAAAAAATGCATGTACAGTGTACATGTGTACATGTACGGACAATTAAAAAAGTCAGAGTGGACAGTTGCACTACTGGATATATACATGTACATGTACATGTAGTTCATAAAATAGTGAAATGATCTGTGAAAAACCACATGAAATTTGATTTTAACTCCACTGAAACCATTGCAGACAGAAATTAAAATCATATGTCATATAATGTTAAATTGTTGGTTTTGATGTTTTCCTTCAGATTTTATAAGGTAAAATTTTTTTTTTATCCACATTCAAGACACACTACCAATTTTTACGCATTTTACAAATAATTTGTCAACCTCCAAATAATTTGTCATCCCAATTACTTCGTCATTGGCATTCAGTGTGTTCACAGTGATTTTATGACAAACGAAAATAAGCAGGCCTCCTGACCACGTCATCTGGCAAAGCAAAATGGAGATGAAAAATTAATGTTGAAAAAATCCCTACTTGTGGTTTGTAATGACTGATCTTTGGAATTTAAACAAACATGACATTTCTGCAGGAGGACCACAGATGGCTTTGCATCACTGTGTGGTGTGGTACAAGAATCACAGACTGTCTGGGAT